TCTATTTCAGTTGGTGTTTCACAACTAATGTCACGGCATTCATTCTCTTATATAAAACATCCTTTTATTGTACAGCACTAACTCTTCCGGTTGCATTTTGTTACAAGTAAACGGATAACATAAGAAGAATCCTAAACTTAGCTTTTAGATTTTAAAGCTGAAAAGCAAATTATTCCTCTTTTAATGAACAAAAAAATTAATAATTATAAGAAACAACATTGGAAAAGCTTTCTGGACATATTCTAGCAGCAGTTTGTAAGTTTGATGAAAATTCTTTCACAAACTAAGGCTCCCTACATATGCCACATTTTATGAACCCGGATTTGTAACATTTTCCAACCCTTTTGACAAATTATGAACACACCCAGCGGCCACAGCAAACCAAACTCGAGGCATAGACATGCCAAAAAACCCACTGGTTGCATAGAGAGAAAGCGGGATTAGAAAATAATGTATATTGATTTGAGTTGGTTAACTTAACCTCACACACACACGTACGAATGCACGCACACACACACACACACACACACACACAAGTATGAATAAAACATGTAACTGTCCAGTACACTATTTTTCCCACACTCTTGACTGGCAGTCCCAAAATTTTATTAAAATTTCATGAGTTCTTCATTTCAGAAAGGCACTGAAAAGCATTGTTCAGATTTTTTTTAAAGTAGATTTTCCACTTTTTTCTATTTCAGCTGCCAATCAAACATTTTAATAGCTTTATTCATTATAGGGTGCAGTGTCACATGAAGAGCACGTGATTGTCTCCTTTTTTTTTATTTTCATCAAATACTTTCCAGAGCAACAGTAAACTCAGGAAGGTCAGTTACATAGAGCACAAAAAAATTGTTTTTGTTTTAATAGAAAAAAAACTTTTGTATTAAAGGTGTGGATCACTGAAACATTTTTTTTAATATTATTTCTGATTAGGATCGGTCACAGGATTTTCATGCAGGCTGAACACAAAAACAGTCTCCTACACCTATCTTCTGCATTAGCTTCAGATAAAGATGGCGAAACTCTAGGATTTGAAAATTCTCACAGATCTACACTGTAAACCAAAATTGTTGAAAATTATCAAATATTCTGAGTAGGTTGAACTCATAATTTTAAAATAGTTTTAGAACCAAATGACTAAAGTCGTCATTTGCATTCTTTTACTGTTTGGGCATCGGAACGAGCCCCCGCACTGAGAGAACAAACATCTCAGCTCTGAAGCCGATCATACATCACAAGTCACATGACCAGGAAGCAGAACATCGTTTTGGGCCGTTCCGGTAAAAAAAAAAGTGAGGCGCGAACCGGAAAAGTGTCTTCCGATCACAATTCAACAACGGATTATGAAAGAACGGATAACGCTCGAAACACGCAGATTCTTCCTGATGTAAGAGGTGAGTCTCCTTTGTTTTGGTTGTTTTGGCGTCAACATCATCCTAGTGTGCAACGTTCTGTAACTCTTAAAAAACAGTAAAAACGGTGAGAAATGCTGGCAGCGAAGGTCTTTAGCGATCAGGAAACAGCTGGCAGTGAATGAGTTAGCCCTCTCAGGCTCAAAATAAGATTTAATAAAAGGATGAACAACTAAGTCCTTCAGGGGCACTTCTGAGTTAAAAAATGCTCATGAAATATGCATGTGGAGTAACCAGGTAGGTTTTAATGTTGCACATCTGCAACGCCTGCCTCCAGAGGGTTAAGTACATACAACTCAAACCTTTTAATTAATATGAACAATTTCGGGGTTTTTTATAGTAAGTTTAACCTAAATAAATTAATAAAGAATAACTTCACTGGACTGAGTAATATAACTAAAAAGTGATTCATTTATAATTTTATGTTTCTACTTAATTATATACATCTTTACTTAACCTTAAAATGTGTTTGATAAACAAACATATATTTTTTAAAATATTTGTGGACCTTAGGGAAGCAACCTTGCCTGCACCCGTCCCCCCTCTCTACTGTCCACTCCTTGTTCCCTCCTCTCCATGACTGATGTCAATGTTGTTGTTACTGTTGTTGTTAGCCTCAAGGGCAACATGCCGATTATCACTTGTAAGTCGCTTTGGACAAAAGCGTCTGCTAAATACATAAACATAAACCAAGGACAAGCAATTTTGGAGGATTTCAGGAACAACAAAGAACTGGTGGGCGAGGTGCATTGTGGGTAGTAGTCACATTTGTGGTTATTTTGTTCTATTTGAGGGTGTTTATGCATGTTTATTGGAGGGAGGGTAGGGGGCTTAATTGTTCTTATGTATTACTTTGTTCAGTGTTGCAAATGTGGTGTTACTTGTTGTGTCATGTTGGCACCATAAGTGAGAAGGTTGGTCGAGGGAATGACCACGCTGTGATGACCCCCTATTATTAATGATTATGTGGTTCATGCCAAGTTCTCTGGACTTGGCTTTGGGTGTTCCACTCTCACATATTGTCAGCAACCATGGGTGTGTGAGGCATTCAGTGTTGGTGTTAGCTTCCACCTTCACCTGACTGTCACATTGCATTAAGTAAATTAAACTTATCTGGGTTAAGAGTGGCATAGTTAAAAATTTCAAGTATTTTATACTTGATTTAAATTAGTACTACAAACTAACAATGTGAAGTACAGAATACCCAGAAAAATATATGTACTTAATTAAAAAATATATTCACTCCATTTACAAATATTAATCTAAAGCAAGTAAATAAAGTGTGTTTTTTTTCAACTATTTTTGAGTTTCATTAACTTCATTTTTTTATGTTATCAGTTTCACCCAAAACTTTAGAGTTATATCAACTTATCGGGTTTTACAGTGCATGTCATTGTGAATCTGCATTCATGGCCTCGCCCATCTTGGCTGGCAAAGGAAGGCCTTTTATTTGCAGCGAGGAGAGTGGAGAGTGCCTTAGGTCTAGTCCACACGTAGCCGGTGTTTTTTAAAAACGAATATCCACCCCTCCAAAAACTTGCATCCACACCACCTCGTTTAAAAAAAAACTCTCCACACGTACCCGGATAAAGCGAGCGCAGCTCTGAGGGCATCCATGCTGTCGGCTAGTGCAAACACAGGTCGCACACGTGATGTCAGCATTTTTTGTCGCGGAAAGTGACGTTGCGGACCTTAAAACTCCGGTTTTGTCTGTCCACACGCAGACACCCAAAACGGAGAAAACGCAGATCTTCACTTTGGCCGGAGTTTTGAAAAAGATCCGTTTTCGTGTGTAAAAACTCAATTTTCGTGTGGATGACAGGCCAAAACGCAGAAAAATATCTACGTTTTGGCAGATCCCCGGCTACGTGTGGACAGGGCCTTAGTAACTTTGCAACATGGCTGAACGTGTTCTGTTAGGCAATCAGAAATCAGGTGTGTGCATATCATTAATAATAATGCGAAATCCTGCAGTTTTCAGCCCACTTCTGCATCAGCAAACGTCTGCATCTCAGAACAAAATCATCATAGTTTTTTAATGATTCATAAGGCATTGATTTACACTAGAAAACACTACAATTGTATTGAAACAAGAGTAAACCACTTAAGGTAGTATTTTAAAACCGTTTTGGGTATTCTACAGGAACACTAATTGCACATTACTCCACATTTTTCCTTATCTGCTTTTACGGATTTTCAGTCAAGATCTATTTTTAGCTTCGTTTAGGATTTTCTATTTGGTTTGATTTAAGTATGGACAAAAACAGCATCAAGGCAGCCATGTTTTATCCGCTAATCTATATTGCTCACCTCTGTATATCAAATTATCCCCAAAAGTACTGACAAAGCAGATTGCATAACTGTTTCCTGATCATCCATTACCAGTGAGCATAGAAGCTGTGCTGTGTGTTGACCCTAATGTCGGCCAGAAGCTGAAACACATCAGTCAGGGTTCATTTTAACTCTGCAGGGGTTGCATAAAACTCTGCTTTCACATCCCGTTAGGTCAGAGAAACCCTAAAATAAGATGCTTCAATTTAAATATAATTGCTAGATTTTATTTGTTACAGATAAATGTTTTTATAACCGACACAAATAAAATAAATCTAATAAAAATGTTACCTGGTTCCCTTCCATGTGTTTTTCTCCTCTGCGGCATATTAGAAGGGTGTTCATTTAAATTCCTGACTCATCATGACTTCATCTCCCACAAATACCTTGGACAGGCATCAGAGAGCCAACCTGTTAGAAGACCTGCTGATGCATATTAATTCAGTGTCTGTCACCTGTTTGTTATGCAAATGGTTCATCATAATGCAACCGCTTTAATGCTCATCACAGTCCAACGTTAATCACAAAATGTGCCATTGTGTTGCTGGGCGTCATCTGAATCCATTAACCTAACAGAAACACCTCCAGTTGCCCTTACATCTTTCAGCCCGCCGCCTCTGTGTCAGAGCAGCAACTTAGTACATAGATGATGATAGTGTCAGAGCGGGTTTAATTACTATATAACTGTTCTGGGTCCCAGCAGATTAGGAGAGCAGCTTAGTGAAGACTACCTGGAGACAGTGACCTGTTTTTTTCTCCAGCAGTGAGCGATGAGGAGAATAAATGGGGATGCTTGGCACAGGCCTGGAGGCTGAGTCTTGTTTTTCAATCGCCCGTCTGCTGTGGAGGATCACGATTCCATAGCAAAAGTACCAGCTAAATCAGGAGGTACAGCTTCAAGCTCTAACTCTAAGGTATACGTTTGCTCATCTGCTGCATCTCATAGAAGTAAAAAAATATACACTTTTAATGAATTTTTAGAGAAATAAGAATATTTAAATGCACTCCTGGGCAATTTAACTATTTTTCAGTGGTTTGTGACATATAAATGAAGGAATGGTGGACAAAAGTGAGTCATGCTTAAGGGATGCAATCTCCAGGGTACAAGAGGAGCACTCTGCACACACACACACACACACACACACACACACACACACACACACACACACACACACACACACACACACACACACACACACACTGCAGGTTTTGTGGGATTATACTGTTTAACATCAATATAGGAAGTGAACTTACCGCTATCATCTGGTTCACGTAGCTCTCAGGGCCGGTGTACTCCGTCGGATCCTTCACCCTCACCAGAACCAGGAAGTAGAGGTAATGCCACATGTTGTGCTCAGACTTTATATGTTCCTCAAAGGACACCGTCTTGTTGTCAAATTTGTCCCTTTCCAGTCCTAAAAAGGAACCAATCAGCAGTTCTTAACAAGCACGCTTCTAAACAAACCGTTTCATCACATTCCTGCAAAAACATTACATACCACAGATGAAACAGGAGGTTTTCAGAATTTCCTCCTTTCTTTGTTTTTCGCTCCTCAAGTCAGCGAACGTGTCGATGATCACACCAAAGATCAGGTTGAGAATGATAATGATGACGACGAAGAAGAAGAGGAGGTCGTAAACCACTCGGGCTGCGAAGAGAGGCTCCTGTAGGGTTCCAGGACAAGTATGACAGGTGACGCGTCACTTTATCTTTTTAGTTTCAGCCCAACGTACCAACACAAATGAAGAGAAAGTAATGTGTTCATTATAAAATCATCTAACCTCCTTGGAGGGTCTCCGGAGGATATCCCCCACACCTCCTCCGTTACGTAATCCCTGGTTCAACACAGTGATTATACACATGCGAAGGGTGTCACACACCCGCTCCATGCCATCCTCATCATCATCTGTTCCAGTAAAGAAGAAACTGCTGTTAAAGGCAGTCTACAGGAAAACAACCATCCTCTTTCCATCATTGTCACTTCTTTCCTCTATAATTTATTCTGCTGAACAGAAAGTTCTCACCTATAATGTGGGTTTCTGAGGAATGCTTTTGAACTCATATGTTCCCTGTTGTAGAAAACTCACTGATAAATAAGAGTTCTGACTGAATTGATGAGCTAACTAATAGTCACAGTCATGTGGAAAAAGGTTTAGAGCCGTGTTAATTTTTTTTACAGCAGTTCATACGTGCACTATTTTATTAAAGCAGGAATCTGGAGTTTTTGTCCTTTTACAAATTATGTAGGATTTTCTTTTAGAGATTCATAACAGTGAAAGTGCTAGATGGAGACAAGTAAGTCTTTAAAATTTATATCAGTGAATAAATGGCATATTGTGACAATATTAATTTTTAAAACAATATGGTTTAGCTCTGTTGGCTGGCTCAAGGTGCGCATTCATGAAGGACAGGGGTTGTATCCAGCCGTAATCACAGAAGAAGCGAGAGGGGATTTAGGTGCAGTACATTTTTCCTCCTGTAGATGGCGCCCTCATAGGAAGAACTCCAGATTTCTGCTTTCACCTCAACGCAGCCATGAAATTTGCACTGATAGGGCCTCATTTATAAAGCTTGGTTACGCGCAAAACGGGGTCTAAAAACTGCGTAAGTGACTTTGTGATTAATAAAGAAAAACTTGATGGAAAAATGTGCACATTTTTCAGCTTCGGGCCTGGCGTAAGCACACTTTAGAGGTAGTGAGATGCAAGGGCGTTTGGCATGGACGGAGGTGACGTGTCCCCACCAATATCCAGCGATGACCAAATAGTTTCCACCAATAATTTGACCGCCACCTCTAATAAACAGCAAGCCATTCATTGTCTCGTTACCCGAGAGGTGAAGAAAGGGTTAAATGACATTCTCTCCTCATATCGCCTGTGTGATTGGCTGCACAAGCGGAGACTCACGCGATGCAAACTACGCCGGTAGTTGGCAGCACCAAAGCTCGAAGGAAAACGTTCCAGTCGTATGCAAGACTCCTGTGATTGCAATGCGACACACATGAGGCCGAAAGTGAGTGAGTGTAACCGAGGGTCCTGAGAGTTTGGTGGACTTACAAGTCCTCACCAATGTCAACAGCTATTCTATGCTAATGGTGAGATGGTAAAAGTTTTAAGTTAGGACACACTTTCACACTTGTAAACCTGCACGCACGCACACACACACACACACACACACAGCCCCATCTCTGATAAAAATCATATCTATAATTAAAATATAATGTTAAGATATTACTTTCAAATGTCTTCAAATTTCTTATTGGTGCATTATTTGTGTCATGTGCAACATCAAGCTATAAAACCGCACCACAGCGAATGGGGCAGAGGTGCACCTGTCAGGGTTTCCTTTAACAGGTGTTCTGATGGAACACCGACTCGTTCCAGCGACAATTCGCTGACCGTCAGGCTTGATATTTGTTTGATATGATCAGAATTTCCTGCCTAAAGCTCTTTTGGGTTAAAATAAATGTTTTCATTTAATGTTCCCAGAGTTTTAGAGGTTGGAAAATTAGTTGGCATAACAGTTTTCTTTTGCTGACCTTAAGTAGGGTTTTAGTTGAGATTCTACGCAAAATTTTATAAATGAGACCCGTGATTATTTACATTAAATTCTATGGTAATTTTTTTAAAGTGAAAATTTGACGTGGTCCTAGGTAGCAATAGCACTTCTGGTTCAGAGGGGGCACTTTCAGCAGGAATTTCATAATATTTGCAACAACAAAAAAATGTAATGCAAAACTAACTGTAGTTTAAATATTTATGAAATGAGCACATAATAAAATATTTTATATTAGAGCTGTTTTAGAACACCAGTAATCATTTCTGGTCTTGGCCCCTCCCTGTGACTACCCATGAGCTTGTCAGTATGCTCATCTTTTTTATTCAAACTAAGGTTGTTCAAACAGCATCCTACAGCAGATAAAACAATACAATTTATGTTAAACAGAATCCACTTCAAAAGGTCTGGACTATCATATAAAATATGTTTTTTGTAAATAAATTTATTTAGAAAGAGTTTAAAAAATAATTTTTTTCTAAGTCTGACCCAATAAAAACTTTTGACACAGCTGACAGTGTTAAGTGAGGAAGAAATCAATTTTCACGACAAAAAAAGGACTACATGGTGAATGGATGAATTCAGCTTAATGGCTGAGGAGGAAGATGTGGATGAGAACACGTGTGTGTTCCTACAGTGCAGGTGATGCACGGATCCAGAAGTGTGAGTCACCCCCGGCTGCCTCATCAAGTTTCTTTGTGTGCATGCCTCAGTGTGACTGTGTGTGTGACTGTGTGTGACTGTGTGTGTGTGTGTGTGTGTGTGTGTGTGTGTGTGTGTGTGTGTGTGTGTGTGTGTGTGTGTGTGTGTGTGTGTGTGTGTGTGTGTGTACATTGCAGTGTGTGTGAGTAACCTTTCAGGGACTCTACGGTTATAAATGTCTAACACACACCAGCAACACCAGTCAGCCCATTAAAATCTTAAAAATGAGTCTACTTGGCGATTTTTCTTTAATGGGACAGAAAATTACAAAGTTCATTTATTTAAACTATGACGTTTACCAGGAGGTGATCTGGAAGGCGTTGCAGGGCAACTGTCTTTAAAACATGAACCTGTTGCTCCACCCTTGCTCAGCAAATCTTGTTTACCTGCAAACCAAAAGAACCGGAGCTTTATGAGCTGTTTATTATTTCTGATAACAGTGTGGTAAATTTCCATATGGATTAGGTTGATTACAGTGTTCCATGCATTCTAACATCTTACTGTTAATTTGAATTAGTGTCAGTAAATGCAGCAAGGAAGATATAGTCAGACATTATGTAAACTGAGGCAGCAGCTGCTGGGTGGGCGGTCAGGAGATGCTGAAAAAATTAAAATCCTGAACATATCATTTGCACAAGGGCAAATCCCTGGATCAGGATAAAAAATACCACTTAAATGTGATCAGGTCGGACCGACCGGCTTACAGAGAGCGGTACTCCTCATCCGCGGCCTTCTCAAAAAGCAGCAGGTCTGTGTGACAAACTTAGAGCAGGGAGTGGAATTGGAGAGGACTGCGAGGGTCCAGAACTGTAGACACGGAGCTCCTCGGGTTCTCAACTCAACCCTGAGCTAACATACAGACAGGCGTGAGCCCAGCTGGTTACATAACCCCACACTGCTCTGCTGTGCTCCATTCAGCAAAACACAGGATGGCGCGGCCACCAGGTTATGCAACAGGTGCACATGTGCAAGCAGGATGTCTCCCTGATCGTCAGCTCATTAACAACACCCACACTCTCCACAGTGCTATCAAAACATGTGTCTCAGGGATGTGTGTGTGTGTGTGTGTGTGTGTGTGTGTGTGTGTGTGTGTGTGTGTGTGTGTGTGCATGTGTGTGTGTGCATGTGTGTGTGCGTGCGCGTGTGTGTGCGTGTGTGCGTGCGTGCGTGCGTGCGTGCGTGCGTGCGCGCGTGCGTGCGTGTGTGTGTGTGTGTGTGTGTGTGTGTGTGTGTGTGTGTGTGTGCGCGCGCGCGTGTGTGTGTGTGTGTGTCTACACTGAAGAGAGGTTAGGTATTCTCATGGATGCTGATCAAGGATTTTTCTTGGGAAAACACTAAATTAAAAGTCTAAAACAGGAGTTTTAAAACAGAATAAACCACTTATGGTCAAATAAGAGTGAAAGTTGTATAATAAATGCATAAAGAGGAGAAAAATATTAGGAATTCTGCACCCATTAAACTTTTCTTGGATATCTGAAACTCACACATTGCATGGCTTGCATGTCACAAGAATCCCATTCATGGAAAACAATGAAAGTCAGAGATGCATGGACTGCTTTAGCATGGATTCCAGTTTGTGCCAGGTGTGGGGAAAAGGGTTAATTTGACAATGTGCACAAATTTTTATTAAGTCTATTAATTTGGCAAAGGGAAACATTTTACAGTTTGAGAATTAAGAACAATACTGACTGTATTGTAGGGGTGAGTAGCAAGAATGCTGCAACATAAATACAGAACGATAAATTGCGATACTAAAAGTCAGACCATATTTTTTATTTTAACACTGAATTTAATTGGAAAGCTCAGGCCAGATGATTCCCAGAGACATCCAGTGTTATCGCCAGAGCTCGTTGTTCCGTCGGAATGAAGGCGGTAAAAACTGCTGCCACCCTGCCGTCAGAGTTTGAATTGCACTACACAAAATAAATGTGGTAAATGTTTGCATGTAATTCTCTAATAAATCGATACAATGCTGTAAAAAATTGATTTTGTATAACAACACAAAAATTGTACTATTTCAGTATATCAATATTTTCTTCTTACATCCCTTCCCTACTATACATTATAACAAAAAGGACACGTTTATGCGTCCTTCTCAGGAAACAGGTGCATAAATTTGGGAGATTTTGATTAATCGTCATCTCTTCACTCCGTAGGTTTTTTCTAAATTGCATAAAACCTTTTAAAAGTTCTGACCTGGTGTAGGGAGTCGGTCCACCTCCATGCGAAAGTCGTCCTTGAGGAAGAGGAAGCCAATGATGGAGAAAAAGTAGACGAGAAAGATGGCGAGAATAGCCGTCAAGATGATGGAGCGCCCATTCCTCGTCACGCTTTTGATCACATTGAGCAGCGTCTCTTCTCTGGACACCAAGTCGAGCAGCTGTGAAGGCAAAATTTTTTCATCCTTAGCAATCAGGCAGGAGAAAAATATTGTTGAATTTAAGGAATCCTCTACCAAAAAGCTGTAGAAGAACTCGTGGACAAAGAGGCCCAGGACGCAGATGAAGGCGTTGCTCAAATGGTAAACAAACAGCATGTCCATCACAACCGCCTTGTAGCCTCGGGTGAACGTTCCCTGGTTGCCAACAAAACTTACAAGAAACACTATCTTGTTGAAGAGCTGAAAATAAAAAAAGGAAAGCCAAAAGATGAAATAAAATTTTTATAACTTTTGTAATATTCCTGCTAAGGTGTGGTCAAATAGCCTTTACTTACATTTATTGTACCAAGCAACAACAAAGCCGGGGCGAGGCCCATCGTGTAAATGGCTCGCAGAAGGAGGGAGACGAGGAAGGCTATGATGCCCCATTGCTTCGGCAGGACAGGAAGTAGGGCGCTGGTGACCCCCAATGCCACCCACAGTGAGACGTTCCAGAATGAAGACAAGGTGCCTGAATAAAGAAGAGAAACCGTCAAGGTTACCAGGCTTTGAAACGTGACAGGTCTCTAAATTATTCATCTACGAGAGCTTAACTTAGTTCACACTGCTAAAGGCAACACTTAAAATGTCAAACAGCCATTTACAGACTGCAGAGCGAACCAATGGAATGTGACGACTGAGTGAGAACGGCTGTACGTTTTCTCAATCAGACAAAAAAGCATAAAGACGGACAGTTTGGAAAGACTCAAACCACACTGGTTAATGGGAAACTGATGGCAGAAACACGAGACTGAGCTTTTAGTACTCAGGAGTTTTCTGACTAAACTGACATATCTGATTGGTGGGTGAAATTGGGCGGCGCCACTGTAACACAAAGGGTCACAATCTTAGCCAATAAAGTCGACCAAAGTCCGACTTGTTCCCCATCAAAAAGGATGAAGTGTTTTACCTAAAGTAATTCTGTACACACCTCCTTTATCCTGAGCAGAGGTCAAATCAGAAGCAAAGAGGGAAACGTTGACGTTACAGAAACACACGGCCGTTTTCAGGCGTGAATAAACAGCAATCATACCAGTTTAGTGCATTCTGGAGTAGGAGGGCGAACATTAAAGTATAAGGGATGAAATCATAGGTGACAAATCAAAATACTGATGCTCTTTTACCCTCATCTCCATCGTCGCCAAAGGGGTAGAAAACAGCCACGGCCATGTTGAGGATGCAGGCCAGGTAGAAGGAGATGCTCCCCCAAAGAGAGATGTGGCGCGAGAACCAAAACAGAGCTTTGTTTTCTGTGTAAAAACGACAAAAATCAGCCACTCCAAAATTCTCCATCCTACAGGCCGATTCTGCAACTTCAGTCACTATTTTTACTGAAGACTTACCGCGGATCTTCTTCTGCCATTTCATCTCATTGAAGAGGTTATCGAACTGCTGGAAGAAGTCGTTCACCTTGCTGCCTTGGTCGTCCCTCTCTGTGGTGGTGAACACGCGATTCTTGGACTCTTCGGTGAGGTATTCACAGATGTTGGGGACTGGAAACACGATCTGCTCCATGGTGCGATCAAGACGCACAATCTGTAGAGAGACTTGTTTTGTCAGGAAGTTACGGGGACTGGAGGTAGAAATGGACAAAACGAGGAAGAGGACTACCTCTATCTGGGCTGTGTGATTGGCGTAGTAATCAAGAGCTTCATCTTCATCATGATCCGGCACCAACCCTAAACCCGGCCTGAGGCTTTGCTGCAGGACTTTGTTGTGCCGAGCCAACTAAGGAAAAGAAAACATGCGTGAGCTAAAACATTTATAACTCCATTCTACAGCTTAAAGTTAAAGGTGAACTAGGCTGTTCTGGCTTGCTTTTAGCACCCCCTAGTGTCCATTTGTAGAATCAAACGTCAAACCTATCTCCTCGCTGTGCGTTCCTCTTTTTACCATCTTAATCTAACGGCTGAAATGTCTCCCCAGCCTTCATTAGTGTCTAAAGTAGTGGTTCATCACTAAATTAAACCAATCAGCTGTGTTCCTGATCTAAAACATGCAGGAAACATGCTAGAAGCAGACTGCAAGTCCCAACAAAGTGGCTGCCAGTCTGAAGTTGCAAGTGGAATATTCTGGCCACAGGGGGCAATAGGAGCTTTGTGCCCTTTCGTTAGCCCTGTGGGTCATTTTAACACATACTGGCTCAAGAAAATGATTTTAAATGATGAAAATGTTGCATAGTATCCCTTTTATTTACAAAACATAAAATCAATGCTTATTTTGCCAAATAAAAATTCAACACTGAACCTGTGAAGTCAAATACTGTGAGATATATATTTTTTCATTGTTATTTACTCATTTCAAAATTGATGCCCCTAGAAAAAGTTTTGAGAGTTTGTCAAAGAACAAGGTTACATCTGTGTTGCATCACCTCATTTTAAAGGCCACACAGCTGTTATCATGACAATCCCCTGCTGATTTGTTACACTAGCAGGACAATTACACACGATATGTAATTTACATGAACAATTCAGACAATGTAAATGTTTTTTCTTTATTTATTTGTTTAAAACACGGTCTTTTTCATGTAAACAAGTAAAGTAAAACCCACCTGTGTGGTAAACATGACAACCAGTAGATCCGTTCAAATAAAAGCACAATATTGTGTATAAAAAATAAATTTGTCATTAAGAGTTTTAAGATGCTTTTTAAAGTATCGTGAAAAAACCTATACCAAAAAACTAAAATAAATGGGTTAAAATGGCTTTGCTGCACAGTAAAGTACAACAGGGAATTTATTTTAAAAAAGGGAAAAAATATTGCTTGACCAGCAATTTACATCTGAAACGAAAAGAAATAATTTACACAGAATAAAAGGATGAATGTCAAATATAATTTTCGGCTATATTTGAGTTTATAATTAGCACAATTCTAAAAAAAATACATAATTAAGAAGCCTGTCTCTTGGTTTTGGATGTCATCAGCTGAAATGAGAGTCAAACTTATTTTTTCTGTCAGTTAAAAGAAAAGATGAAACGCTTCCTTATCATGATAAAAACCAGCCTGTCTGACACGCTGCTCTACGGAGGCCGAAGTGAAAACCTGCTAGACTTGGCTTGCCCTTTCAACCTTTCATAAACCAGCTTCACATCATGAAAACTAAGTTTAGAAAACTGCCAGAGGAGTTTGTTCACAGAGGAACAGCCGCCCATCTTTGATTATTCCTGGAGTGTATGACCCCTGAGGTCAGCAGAGGGTCACAAAGACAGAAGAAACACACTAATGTCTGAATCACTGACAAATTCACGCTCAGACTTTTTTACCTGGTGAGCCAGGATATAAATGTTGTGTCCTACGTCTCTGGGTTTGATTTCATCTCCAGCTCCTCTGTCAACCTCACTCTCCAAACTCTGGGAATAGGCTTCCTTCATGACACCCACCTGAAACACAGACAAACACATCAGACCTAAACTCAGGCTGAAACTGTCTCAACTTTACCTATTAACACTCTTTCACGCTCTTACCAGTTCATTAGGTCTCATCTTGTCAAGAATTTTCTCTGCATTCTCGCTGTCATGGCGACTCTCCATGATGGCCAGCAGGAGCTTGGATGCATTATTCTACAACAGAAAGCTGCTCTGATGAGTTTTTATATGATTATGAACAGCAAATATTGAGCACTGCAACGCTGATGGTTGCGTCCCAGCTGGAGGGTCTCTTTTGATCTCAGGGCTCACCTTCAGCTCCAAGACCAGGTCCAGTCGATACTTCTCCAGGGGTTGAATAGGATTGACAATCAGAGCAATAATAATGTCAATGCCGTTCGACTCATGCTGGACTATACAAGTCTGAAAGACAGCAAGGGATATGCAGCGGTTAGCGTTGAACACAACAACAAATAAATCGGAATTGGGCAATCCGAAACTTAATTTCTGATCCTTGAACCACAATCCACTGTCAAGGGAATGGCAGTGAATGGTAATATATGGTAAGCACAGAGGCGCCTGAATCAGCACGGACAAGTCTGCTGCAGCAGACTGCAGGACTTGGAGTCTTATTTTATAACATTTGGTCTTCAAAGTGGATGTTTCATCTCCACAAATAACACAAGCCTGGAGGAGTTTCTGCAGTGTGGTGGAGTTGCTAATGCAAACTGTTAGCTTCCCCTAACTGAGACGTTCTCCACGGTTTCCTGGACGCTAAATCAACAACAGCCACCCCTGTCGTGAGTCAAGATGGGGGAGTCCAAGTGACCGTTTGACGTAAATTTGTGGAACTTTTCAAATCCTAGCATTTCACTGTCTATTTTCTATCAGAAGTTAATGCAGGAGATAGGTGTAGGAGACTATTTTCATGTTCAGTCTGCATGACAAACTCAGAGTGACCAATTATGATCAGAAATAAGATTTAAACAATGTTTTTTTGGCATTCCACACCTTCAAAAAAATCTTGTTTCCCAAGATTGCTAAGTGTTAATTTATGCTAGAAACAACAGAACTTCCATGTTCTACTTCAAAAATCATAACTTTGAAATTTATCAGATATTAAACGGTTTCAGGCAACATCTAAAATGTTTTCAACTGGCTTCAAACTACAGAAAAATATGGCTAGACTTGAAAAATTTCTTTGATAACACAAACGAATGCGTGATATTTTTTTATTATTCTAGTTTAATATCACCAAAGCAATTTTCTAGACTGACTAAAAAAAATAACAGTTTATTTTCTGAATATCAAGACTAGCTTAGAAATCTATACAGACAGGAGCCAAAGTAAAATGCATGTTGGTCTAGCCATGCTCCATAGAAGCCTCGCCTGGTTTACCACTGGTCTGAGAAGTGTTGTTTTATACCAATCACAGCGCTCCATCGGCTTGATGAGCAGGAGGGTGTGACTGAGCAAAAACCAGAAGGTGGCGACGGCTTGTTTTAAACAGCTTTGGCATCAACTTTGGACTATTTAGCTTTTCTTTGAGTCAAGAGCAGATAGGGTACTTAGGTCCTTTATTTTGAAAAATTATGTATTTGTGTCTTCTTCAATGGTGTATGGCAGACCGCCTTGTTGACTGACATCCGTAGATGTGATGTTCTTTATCCAATAGCATGCGGAGACGGTTTGAAAGACAACCATAGATTCAGCCCAAGACTGAGTTCCCTCTATGGGTCGTGGCCAGTCTATATAATCACATATATAAAATGGCTTGCCAGGCTACATTGGGACTGCATTTTGATTCAGTAACAAAAAGGTGTCTTAATAAACTTCAACGGGCCAATTGCACCCTAACCTAGCTGAAATGGGGCAAAATGGAGCAAGCACTCAATTTTAATGGAAAATCAACCTCTAACAGAGCTATGGGAGGTTATTCTGTTAGATGCAGTGGTGGGCAGTCAGGGCCAGCAAAGCCTTCTCTGCTGGCCTAAACATACTCAAAAGCGTAAATGTATTTTTTTTCCTTTGGTAATTATTTTTAAATAAAAAAAATGTTTACTGGTCTATTTTCTTTATATCCTATTATACCCACTTGGCCGCACTGCTTCCAGTGTTAAAATACCAAGGCTGGGTGTTATCCAATCAGATTTAAGCTAGCTTGTGTTTTCAGGCAGATTAAGTCTGCTCTAGGCCTTCAGAATCAATCGAGAAGCCCACTGTCCGCTGTAAGTGAACAGAGACGATCTAGTTGTGATAGCCAATCAGCTCACGAGTCAGCTTGGCCCGGGCCAGCTAGCTGGCCTCACGCAAAAGTTGACATGAACGCATCCTGTGATTGGATAAGCAGTAGTTAGAACTTTTCTAGCGGCACGAAGCAAAATATCAAAACTAAACACAGAGATTTGTATCTATAGGCAGCTATCGGTGTATTTTTGAACACATGATGGCTGAAAGAGGAGAAGAGACGGACTTGGTTGCAGATTAATTTGCCACACCATTTTCAAGACGGACCTTTCAAGAAAAAATGGATCTTGTGAGAACAGGTCGTCTGACCCCAACGCTAGCTGGCTTGTCCCAGCAGGAGAAAGGATTTGTTCGTCATTTTCAGGCAAGCAACTATGAACGGTACCCAGGGCTAACAGCTTCAGAGAACCGCTGCAGGTTATTCTGCTGGGAATGCCCGTTGCTCGCATCAGATGGATTTGGTAGCATTAAAGCGCGTTAAAACGTACGCCAGAAACACGACTGGGCAGACACGGCTTTCAGCCTCCATGTCCGTAGAAAAGGATCCACTCATGGACCTGAAGTGCACAGATAAACTGTATGACAGAGCCATTGAGGTTTTCCTGAGGAAAGAAAGAAGGATGGATTTTATTTTCTAATGAGCAGGAGAGGAGGAGATCCATGCTGGACATTTATGTTGGTGAGTAGAAACATGTTATTAGTATTTTTTTAATGTTTTGTCATTTTATTTTGTTAATAATCAATAAATGGTAACGAAATAAAATGGCAAAATGAAATTATTCTGTGTTCTGTTTCTATGCAATTTATATTGTGAATGACGTGGTGTGTGTGTCATGAACTCCTCCTCTTAACCTCCTCTAAGGGCCGGGCTGGCGCTGCACTCCAGTTCCCAGCATGCCTGTCACCGACGCTTCCCGGTGACGTCATCCCGCTGAGCCTATTTAAGGACCTGTCACAGCGGAGCCGGCACTCAGTCATCATCTAACGATAGACGCCAAGCCATTCTAAGACCTAAGACACTAACTCTACGAACCATACGGGAAGAGAACTTCCCACGCTGCCACATATCAGTCTCCATCCACCATTCTCTCCGCGCCTGGGTCTCATAACCACTCCAGCTCAGCCCATCGAACCTGACAGGATGACTGAGTCCCGAGTAGACCCAGCGGAGATCGCACAGCTGCGAGCTGAGGTAGCGCAGCTGCTCAGCCGAGTAGAACGCCAGGAGGCGGACAACGCCCAACTCCGTGTGGAGAACAATCAGCTGCGTGCTGTTACTGATCGCCTCGCATCCAAACTCGATTCCGTCACCGAACTGGTAGTCCAACTCTCCTCAGCCCTCCAACGACAGTCATCTGCCACTCCTAACGTGGTGGAGCCGTATCTAAATCTCCCAGAGAAATGGGATGGGATTAAAGGATCCCCGGAGAGCATGTTGGCCGTTCTGTCAATGACTTTTGAGTGTCAGCCGGCACGCTACCCGACTTCCTGCTCTCGCGTGGCTCTGTTAACCTCCCTGCTGACTGGGCGAGCCGGTGAATGGGCGGCTGCTCTGTACCATCAGAAGTCCCCAGTCTGCAACGACTATGAAGCCTTCGTGAAAGAACTGAAGAAGGCATTCGTTCATCCCAGCAGCGAGGTCGCAGATGAGACACGCCTGCTCCAGCTTCGACAAGGCTCTCAGACCGTGGCCGAATTCACCTCACGCTTCCGGACCACCGCTGCCCGTCTAACCTGGGGTGATGCCGCGGTGAAGGCTGTGTACTTGGAGGGATTGTCACCCCGCATCCGTGAGGGCATGATTGGTCACGAGGCTCCAACCACCCTGGACCAGGCGGTGGACCTGGCTCTCCAGCTGGACCGCTGCCTCCTCACCAGACCAGGAGTGAGGGCGGTTCCCGTACAATCCCGAACTTTCCCCCGCCGTCAGGAGAACCAACCCATGGAGGAACCCATGCAACTGGGTCATTTGCCCCCCGAGGAACGGGCGCGCCGTTTTCAGGAGGGACGATGCGCCTATTGTGGGGCTCTGGGTCATCCCCGTGCAACATGCCCCATACGCCCGGGAAACGGTCCCTCCGGGTCGGTGTAGGAGCTGCCTCACTCGGAGTTTCCACTCATGCAGCTCCTCATCACACCACCCTCTCGGTCTCCTTCCAGCTGAGCCAAGGACCGGTCCCCCTGGTGGCCCTCCTCGACACCGGAGCTGCAGAAAGCTTTATCGACCAGGGGTTGGTCAACCGGCTCAAGATTCCACTCACCCTCCTCGATCATCCCGTTCCCGTCACCTCAGTGGACGGGCGCCCTCTCATGCCATATCCGATCACGCACCGAACCCAGAACCTCCGGATGACCATCGGAGAACACGTAGAGACCCTTCATTTCTTGGTCATTCACGCCCCTACGACTCCTCTCATTCTGGGTCATTCCTGGTTCCGCCTCCACGACCCTCACATCTCCTGGTCCACCTGTAAAGTCATGGCATGGGGTGTTAACTGTCGCCTTCATCATCCGTCTCCAGGATCACAGCCTAGGGAGACACCACCCAAGGATGTGGATTTAACACTCCTTCCAGGATCACAGCCTAGGGAGACACCACCCAAGGACGTGGATTTAACACTCCTTCCACCCCAATACCACGATCTGGCTCGGGTCTTTGCAAAGGAGCCTACCACCAAGCTGCCTCCTCATCGCCCCTACGATCTGGAGATCAGGCTTCAGCCCGGAACCACCCCGCCTCGGGGTCGGCTGTTCTCGCTCTCCCCAGCAGAGACCCAGGCGATGGACGCTTACATCAATGAGGCTCTCCAGAAGGGGTTTATCCGACATTCCACGTCTCTTGGGGCGGCAGGGTTCTTCTTTGTGAAGAAGAAGGAAGGTGACCTCCGGCCCTGTATAGACTATCGTGGGTTGAATAAAATCACCATCAGGGACCGCCATCCTCTTCCCTTAATGAGCACGGCTCTGGACGCCACTGCCCAAGCCACACTGTTTACCAAGCTGGACCTCCGCAGTGCATACAACCTCATCCGCATAAAGGAAGGAGAGGAGTGGAAAACCGCTTTCATTACACCCACTGGACATTATGAGTACCTGGTCATGCCCTTCGGCCTCTGCAACAGCCCTGCCGTTTTCCAGCGTTTCATCACTGATGTCCTCCGTGACATGCTGGGTCGTTGGGTTTTTGTTTATTTGGACGACATCCTCATCTACTCCCGCACGGCCGAGGAACACACCCAGCATGTTCGAGCCGTTCTGTCACGCCTCCTGGAGCACGACTTATTCTGTAAACTGGAGAAGTGTGCTTTTCACCAGGAGTCCACCTCGTTTCTGGGATTCATCATCTCCTCCCAGGGCCTGCGCATGGACCCACAGAAGGTTCAGGCGGTCGCGCAGTGGCCACTACCCAAGACCCTGAAGCAGTTGCAGAGTTTCCTGGGGTTCTGCAACTTCTACCGCCGGTTTATCCGCAACTTCAGCGCCCTGGCGTCACCATTAACTTCCCTGACGAAAACAACCAATCAGCCTCGCCCTTTCCGCCTCTCCCCGGAGGCCGTTGCTGCCTTCCATGAGCTGGTCCGCCGCTTTGTAAGCGAGCCCATCCTCCTCCACCCGGACCTAACACGGCCTTTCGTTGTGGAGGTGGACGCCTCTGAGACGGGCGCGGGAGCCGTACTGTCACAACGTGGCCAGGACTCCAAACTCCATCCCTGCGCATTCTTTTCCCGGAAGTTCTCTCCTACCCAGCAGAACTATGGGGTCGGGGACCGGGAATTGTTGGCGATAAAGTGGGCCCTGGAGGAGTGGCGACAGTGGCTCCTGGGTACCCCCACTCCTTTTCTAATCTGGACTGATCATCAGAACCTCATCCATATTCAGACCGCTCGCCAACTCAACCCTTGTCAGGCCCGGTGGGCCCTCTTTTTCGAACCTTATAACTTTCACATCGCCTACCACCCCGGCTCAAAGAACCTCAAGGCGGACGCCCTGTCCCGTCAACACACCCAGGATCCAAGGCCTCCTGAACCGAGGTCCATCCTCCCGACCGAACGGTTCTTGGCCGCCCTGCAATGGCCCCTGGAAGCCTCCATCCGGGCGGCTCTCCCGGCGGACCCGGCGCCCCCAGAGACGCCTCCTAACCGCCTTTACGTTCCGGCTGTGTGTCGACAGGAGGCCTTGAGGTGGGGGCATAGTTCACGGCTCGCGGGACACCAAGGCCAGGCTCGTACCTTCCAGTTCCTCCGCCGGGCCCTGTGGTGGCCCTCTATGAGAAAGGACGTGCGTGAATACACCGCTGCATGTGACACTTGCGCCCGGTCTAAGTCCACCACCCAACCTGGAGCCGGGGAATTGCAACCGCTCCCTGTGCCTAAAAGGCCGTGGTCGCACATAGGTGTGGACTTTGTCACGGGGCTTCCCGCTGCCGACCACCTGGACACCATCCTCACCATCACCGACCGCTTTTCGAAGGCTGTGCACTTAGTGGCTATGGCAGGGCTCCCCACGGCTAAGAAAACGGCGGAGCTCCTCCTCGATCATGTGGTGAGGCTCCACGGATTCCCCCAGGACGTGGTGTCTGACAGAGGGCCTCAGTTCATCTCACGTTTCTGGAAGGCTTTCTGTCGGTTGGTGGGCGCTTCCGCCAGTCTGTCGTCAGGCTATCATCCCCAGACTAATGGTCAGACGGAGAGAGCAAACCAGCAGCTTGGGCGTTACTTACGCTGCTTCGCCTCGTCTCAACCGTCCACCTGGCCTCGTTACCTCCTATGGGCGGAGCTCTCTCACAACCTCCAGACGTCCTCCGCCACGGGTCTATCGCCCTTCGAGACCTGCTACGGATACCAGCCCCCTCTTTTCGACCATCAGGTGCTGGAGGTGGAGGTTCCGGCGGCTCAGGATATGGTCCGCCGCTGCCGTCTTGCTTGGATCAGGGCTCGCGCCGCCATCACCCAGGCTAATACGGAGTACTCCCGACAACACCGCCGCCGCCACCGGCCCGGCCCTGTGTTCCAGCCTGGTGACCGGGTTTGGCTCTCTACCGCAAACCTCCGGTTTCCGGCTGGTTCCAGGAAGCTGTCGCCTCGCTTTTTGGGGCCCTTCCCAGTCCGAGATGTCCTCGGTCCGGTCGCTTACCGGCTGCGCCTCCCTTCCACTCTTAAGGTGCACCCGGTATTCCACGTCTCACAGCTCAAGCCGGTGGTGTCTTCTCCTCTCCATCCGCCTCCGGCCCGGGTGCCGACGCCCCGAGATGTCGATGGGGACCCCGTCTACACCGTCCGCAAGATTCTGGACGCCCGCCGCCGGGGCCGTGGATGGCAGTATTTGGTGGACTGGCAGGGTTACGGTCCGGAGGAGCGTAGCTGGGAGTCTGCCCGCTCGTTTCTGGATCCTTCCCTGTTGGCTGATTTCTGGTCTCGTCGCCCTGGGCCTTCTGGAGCCGTCCCTCGCGGGGGGGGGGTCCTGTCATGAACTCCTCCTCTTAACCTCCTCTGCGGGCCGGGCTGGCGCTGCACTCCAGTTCCCAGCATGCCTGTCACCGACGCTTCCCGGTGACGTCATCCCGCTGAGCCTATTTAAGGACCTGTCACAGCGGAGCCGGCACTCAGTCATCATCTAACGATAGACGCCAAGCCATTCTAAGACCTAAGACACTAACTCTACGAACCATACGGGAAGAGAACTTCCCACGCTGCCACATATCAGTCTCCATCCACCATTCTCTCCACGCCTGGGTCTCATAACCACTCCAGCTCAGCCCATCGAACCTGACAGTGTGCAACTGCGCCAACATGTTCAATTGTTTCGCGGTACAATTTTCTGCAAAACAAATGCAAATAATGTGTTTGCTTTACTTATTTATTTTATTGTCTCATCTCTTAAACCCGTCTTTCATTTCTGAGATTTGACGGTATCCGTGGTCAGCTTCCTACTCTCAACTGGGAATGCGAGTTTGATTATAAAGACTCTGGAAATTGTGTCTTGACCAGCCGTGTGTGTGTGTGTGTGTGTGTGTGTGTGTGTGTGTGTGTGTGTGTGTGTGTGTGTGTGTGTGTGTGTGTGTGTGTGTGTGTGTGTGTGTGTGTGTGTGTGTGTGTGTGTGTGTGTGTGTGTGTGTGTGTGTGTGTGTGTGTGTGTGTGTGTGTGTGAGAGAGAGAGAGAGAGAGAGAGAGAGAGAGAGAGAGAGAGAGAGAGAGAGAGAGAGAGAGAGAGAGAGGTTTCTCCAGCTGTGATGTCCTATTGATGGTATTTTAAGGTGTATTAAATTAGATTGGACTGAATAGGAAATCACTGAAGGCCCAGGGGTGGAACGCACCGCCCGCCACTGGTTAGATGTGATGGTAAACACAATTTAATTTGTTGGGTGATTAATTAGAAGTCACATGAATAAATAAGACCATAATAGAGATCTGATTTTTTTTTAAAGGGATGTTGCTGATCTGAAGAAAGTCTGTCAGGTCACAGTGACAGAAAACATTCATTAATAAAAAAAAATGTAGAAAAACTCAGAACTTTCCTCTCAACTCGCCACTAACAGACCTTACATTGGCTGTCTCTGATTGGCTTAGATCCTGAGTGGACAGGAAGATTCTGTGATCATAACAACTCAGAAATAAGTCGTTTAATGATAAAAACCTTTACAAGAGACTCACTTGGTAGCATAACCCTACCTGGTTTTCGTGGCACGGCCCCTGGCAGTACTCTGTGATTGTTTCCAGCGTTTGGCACACCAGATTCACATTAGTCTCGTTTATGTAAAGTCCCAGCAGGCCAAGGCCTCCTGTGGTGCTCCCACAAATGCAATCCAAAAACTGAAGAGTCTCACACACCAGATTGTAGTTTGTCTTGTTGTTCTGATTGCGCAGGAAGTTCTGAAGTCAGCAGAAAAGCACAAAGTGATGCAGAGCCGACACAACAGTGCATGGGAGTTTTTGATCAGATCCGGTACCTGCAGCTCCGAGTTGTGGTTCTCACACAGCAGCTGGAGAAAACGAAGAATCGGGTTCATGATCGAGATGCTCGGGTTCATCAAAACGTCTTCTTTCTCATCATCAAGGGCCACTTGGTCGCTTTGGCCCAAACCCATGACATCAGACTCCACTTCAATCCTGTAGGTGACGAAGGCCTTGGAGGTGGCTGCAGAGGCCTCTTTTAGCTGCCCTTGCATGCTCTCTCTCATCTGTAGGCCCTGGTCTTTGTCTAAGATCACACGTTCATGTATAATCACAGGTAAACAATCATATCCAGCATCAGCATAAGGTTACAGTTTGTAAAGGTTGGCTGAAAGCTTTTTAGGCATGTTTAAAAACAATGAAAACATTTTAGAGACGCCTTTGATTAGTGAAGCACAATTAACTTAGGTTATGTGGCATGAAACCACCCCATCCTGATACAATGGGCTTTTGATAAACTTGTGATACGGGGTGTCACATGGCCTCTGACATGTGACTGTGGCGGCCTGTCAGCAGAGCAACAAAGATCGCTCTGGATTTATCCGACGCTGCGGTTCCAAACACCACCCGGCACGCTGGAAACAGAAATCTGATGTTTTTTTCTACTCGTCCAGATGTTTCTGCAGCAGTGATGGTCTGATGTCAGGACAGGACGTGTGGAAGTATTTTAGCGATAAATACAGCTGCTTATATTTAATATATAAAGTAAAACAAATCATTTTGACTTTAATGTTGATAAAAACCAGAGGAGTTTCAATTTTACTTTTCCTAATCCGGGAGCTACTGGGTCCTTCGTCGTCATCCATGCTTCTGACATTAAACTCCAACGCGTTAGACGTCATAGCAGCTCGGATCTCTTGCTGGGCCAAGCCCATGCGATCATAGAAGACCTTGAAGAACTTCTCCGAGTTCTTCTGTTTGTGCAGCAGGTTGTAGAACGAGTACTGTTGGGAGGAAGAGATGGATGAGATTGTTTGTAAAAAGTCCAAAATTTTAAGGGAAATGTTGAAAATCAGCACCCTCACCTGTATCTGCGTGTTTCCTTTCTGTAGAAGAGCTGTTCCAAGTAAGATGCTCTCCTCGAACACAATGTCGTTTTTGGTGTTGACTACCAGATTAATCACCAGCTCTGTCGCACCAACCTTGTCCAACAGAGACTGGATCTCTACCTCATCCATGACTTGCTTATCAGCATCCAGAACGGCAGAACCTCAATGATTAAAACAATTAAGATTTACAGTTTAGCTCACAGAGAAGATTAATTATGCTGTAAAACAGACACAATAGAGCAATTTTAGCCAATCTGAAATATTTTACTAACTTTTTATTGCATATTAATCTCAGGATTTTATTTGTAACACGCAAAGACTTCTATTAAAAATATTTGGATTCAAAACCTCTTCTCACCATTTTAAAGGTGTGGGAAACCTGTTTAATCAATACATTTGCAGTAGTTTCTAGTAGGAATGAATGCCTTGCAAGCCATACTCAGGGCAAAGAAAATCCAGACATGCCTGTATCAGCATAAAGAGGAGAGAGTAACACGGCAGGATTTGGAGTCTTATTTCCTGGTATTTGGACATCTTGCCTCAGATTTGAAACAGCAACGCGACTATCACTGGGTGTTTCTTGATGTCAAGGAACCTCGCCTTGATCTCTTGGTCCTGCCCCGGTTGCCTAGGAGATACATCATCAGGAACTGCCAAGGCGTGTTCCGGCGTTCATGTTCTACCGAAGGCATCTGTTCTCTATTTGTTAGCCGTTTAGCTAGCTGAGCAAGAATACACGGGAGGTGCCTTGTAGCCTAGTCAAACATTTCCCAGAATACAGTGCAGTATTTTCAAAAGGATGGTGAATCAGGAGCCAGCAGCTACTTCAGGGCAAATTTCCAGTTTAAATGTAAGTCAACTAATTGTAGCTATCAGGCTGATATCTAAAATGTTTTTTTTATATCCAAAGCAGTTAGCTATGGTTGGTTAGTTGCTCAGTAGTTGCGGCTTCGTCGGCTAGTAGGCAGTAACTCGTTTACATATTTAACTTAATCAATATATACACCATTTAAAAAGTTAATGGCTCAATATATGTTTATATGAAAACCTATATGTATAAAATATAATGGTACCTCACTTGCCACGTGACCGCGGCGGTCACGTTGTCTAAGTCTGTTCCATTTAACTGTTTTCTATGACCAAGGAAGGACAGTGTCCTTGTAAGCAAGGCCTTGACACTGAGAAATGCCCACAGACTCCGTTTGCTCTGCAATGTTGAGGTTTCATCTCCACAAATAACACAAATCTGGAGGAGCTTCTGCCATGCGGTTAAGTTGCAAACGCTAATGGTTAGCTTCTGCTAGCCGAGATGTTCTATGCTGATTCTGGACGCTCAAACAACAACAGCCTTCCATTACGAGCCAAGATGGGTGAGTCCAAGTGACCACTTGACGTAGATGTGCTAGGCTTTTTTAATCGTAGAGTTTCACCATCTATTTTCTATCAGAAGCTAATGTAGGAGAAAGACTTGGGCAGTATTACGGTATTACCGTATACAGCCAGTGCTAAAAAAAATAGCAAATATGTCAGTTCTGATACAATCATGAAAAAAAATAAACAGTGTACGTAGGAGACAATAAGATAAAAAATAAAACTAAGTAAAAATGATAAATATATGTAATTTAATGTGTAAAACTGATACCTGGTTGAATTTTCAGATTTACTTAAATAATTTTAAATGTTTTGTCCAAATTTTTACAGAAGTTCTATAAAGTTTATGAACGCGCGGGGGGGGGGGGGGGGGGGGGGGGGGACCTACAGCACCAGCAGACTTGGCGTCTAAAAGAACACAAATTCTGCAGTTTGGGAGTATTTTGGGTTTGCATTGAACTTCAAAGGAGAACTAGTTAACACTGATGAGGTAATTTGTGCAAACAAAAGATAACCGCAAAAGATGCAGGCCCCATCAGCACTGCAGAGCCTTGTTTGGAGCCTGTTATTAAAAAAAGACGACAGCACACTTTTCTGGTGGAAATATACAACCAGCCTTCCCCAAATGTTGCGACTAGCTCCTATGTACACGTATGTTTGAGCCACAAGCTCATCAAAGCAGGTTTTCCAGCACTGAGGCAAAGCAGTCGGTCCACAACGTCCTATGCTGAAGCGGGAAAAGGTAAACATGCTGGTTTTTCAATGTTCCACAGCTTTAAGCACGGTTTTCTACTGGCTGTATCCTACGTAAGTTTCCCTCAACAATCAGCGGCCAAGCAAGCAAGAGGAAAACTGAAGACAGAACTTTGTTTTTTTTAACTGTATAAATAAAATGTACATGTTGATGGTTTTAATTATCTGAGAAGTTTTTGTTTATAATTATGCATTTTACACTTTTACCCAAAGCAGTTTGCCCAAGGACAAAATGTCAGAATGACTATGAGCCAGAATCAAACAGACAACCCTGGATTGGAACCCTGACTCATGCTCAGCTCTTCATCTATTAAACATGACTGGTTGAACACATTTGCTGTCCTGCAGGAATCCCTTTACCCAGGAATTCCTGAACAAGAAGCAGATAGATGTCATCGTGTAAGCCACTTTTGCTTCCTCTGCAGTTATTTGAGCGTGCTCTGGGTTGATCTGAGTTTTCAGTACCTCCAGATGACGGTTTGACAAAGGCGCCAGATGAACTGTTTCCACTCCCGAGCTCTGGCTTGGAGAAGAGCTTTTGATTTCCAAAGTAGCGAGTGAGAAGTATCTTTCTCAACTCCATTTCCTGTGGAGACAGAAATCGTACTATTAAATCCATATCTCAGCACTACACTCTTCAGGCTTGTACTTCTTAAGATAGCAGATCATTTGAGCTGATGATGGATTTTCTTTTCTTTTTGAAAACTAATCATGAAGTATTGAGGTGAGTTTTGTCCTCCTCACGTAAAATCCACCCAATCATACCAGAGAAGGCTGAGCACATTTTAGCCCAATCCTCCTAATGGGAATCATCACAATTATTCCATGATACATTTCTGTCTTGATGAGAATGATGGCTTGCGGGATGAAAACACTCTTATCAACAAAGAGAATTGATGCTCGAGAGGAGGCGCGGTAACCTGATCGTCTAATAACTCCATAATTTATAGGAGAATCTCCAATGGTAGCAAAGAACGTTTAAAACTGAAACCATCAAAGCTAAAAACTGGGATTTGTAGCTCTATTTTTATTTGCTTCTGCACGTTATCTGCACCAGTTCTCAGACAAACAGCACTTATTTTCCCTCTTTCCTCATAAATATCTCTCAGTCAGTGACTTTGGTGCCGATGAAGAGAAATAAGATGGAAAGGGATAAATGTTGTGATGGACAGAGTGATAGAAATTAAAGAAACTCTTCAACGTGGATTTCTGTGGCAACTGGTATTGACCATCGCAATAGACGAATGCATGGATGGAGAGATGGATAAACAAACAGGAGGAGGAGGAGAAACACAATGATGGCAATGGAGACACTTATGGTTTCCATGGAAACCTGTCAGTGGTAGATGGCGGTTAGAAGGTGCTGATCTAACTGGACAAACTCAAACTACAACAAAGAACTAACGATTAATATCTTTTGAATGATAAAAGCTGTTTTGTTAGATGTTTATGAGAATCTGTGAAATTGTGGATGATGATGAAACAGCTGAAGTTCTAAAATCAGCTCTGAATCTGACAAATAAATAAGAATTTTCACACTGACACATTGTGCCAATTATGATGTGACTTGTTTGTGATTTTTTTAAAGCTCCGTTTTACAGTAAACTACAACTATAAGTGTCAAATGAACCATAAACGCATGCATTTAAGATGCACATCAAACTTTCTCCATCAGTATTTTTGGTCCATGTGAATAAAAGCTCAGACTGAGTGCAAAGAGGAACAAAGATGTGCAGGAGCATGTGTAGCTGATGCTCCCCGTGTCAGTAAACACTCGATCTCATCTGCAGTCAGCAGAGACACTTGTCTGCCTGCACTGTCTGGCAGAGCCGCCTCACGTATGCGCGCACACACACACACACACATACATGCGCCTTAAAAACTGAAGGTGATGATCCATTGTTTCCACTAAGCGATTCACGAACTCTTTAAAGCATCCTGATGCAAACTCTGATTACAAACTGAGGCACGTTTATCTTGAATTCTGCCCTTTTTTTTTCCTTGACAGAAAACCTGTCGGGTTCGACTCTCAAAGAGCCGTTAAAGGAAGACTCCAGCAGAAAAGGGTTGAAAGGGGTGGTGGGGTGTGTGGGGGGAGGATTTCTCTCCTTTTTGCCTTCCCTCTGGGCGATGCAGTCTGCTGGCTACGACTGCAGAGAGAGGAGAGTCAGCCCTGCCTGACTCATCTGCTCGCTGCTGCATTGACGAGAAAAACTCCAGTCAGGTGATGTAAGAGCCACGAGAAAGAAAGATGGAATTAGAGTTGGGAGCACTGACAGAAGTCAGAAGTAGGAAAGGAGGAGGCAAGCACAACGTAGCGGGAAGCAGACAGTCATAATGCTTTAAAATGTGCACTGGCACGCCACACTGCGGCTCTGGTGTCCGAGCCGAGGATGAGCTGCCGAACCCCACCGCTGGCATCTCTACACCTCCTCGTCTTTCCTCCCTCCCTCCCTCCAAAACTCTTGCAGCTCTGCTGTCTGCAAATGTCTCAACTCTGCAGAGTGGTATAAAGACAAAGAAACTGTGGATCTTGTGCTGCTTTGGGTGGTCTGGAAACTCATGTGGGTAGCAGAGGGCAACACTAGAGCTGCTCGGTTCAAATGAGGTTAGCAGAGTTTTAAAAAAAAACTTTCCTTTTCTGCTATCTGTGTTTGTCTGGGACTCAGGAGACTGCTATACAGCAATTTTCTTCATAAACCAGAAAAGTTGAACAACTTAGGCATCATGTGTACATGATGAGACCTCCGTCATGACACTTTGTACAAAAGAAAGTATAATTTTTATTCCCAACACTTACTAAACTCAAAAAATCCTTTAATAAAACGTGTCCCTGTCCTTGTGCACGAGGCCAGAGGCACAGATAATTCACGTATCCATCTGCAAGAAACAAACATCACGAGCTGCTTTTTTATAGCATTTGAACGTTTCTCAGCAAATGAAAAGATTTTAGCCACTAAACAGGCACATCAGCAAAACAAAACGAGGTCACATGTGAGAGAAATCTGAGACTCAGGGAAGAACAAGACCAGCATCACAAATGAGTAATCAGTAAAAGATGAACTGGTGGATAACTGGAAGTGTTGTTAAGCACAGAGAAATAATGTTCTAAGAAACGTTTGTTTTGTGTACCTCACTTAAACAGGATGTAATGGGAACAAATCAGACCATTTTTTTTGTTGTTTCACCTCATTAATGGCTGAATTAATAAAAATTTTGGAAATGTTGCCCAATTAACAGTCCCAAAAAGGAAAATATATGTTAACTTATAGAATCAAACAACATATATCATCCTATCATATTCATGTGATCTAAGGGTTGCACTTTGTCAAGCGGACTAGTTTTAGTGAATTTTAAAGTTATAACTTTTCCAAGATCAATCTGATGAGATAAAATTATAACCCAACACAAAGATCCTTATTCTCACCCTTCTTTAAAAATATCACTCAATAGTCTTTTTGTTAGTTTGTCCTCCAGCTGCGTGACCAAAACTGAAACACAGAACCTGAACTGGCATTCGACGCCTCCTCCTGTCGGTCATGTGTCTCCTCCAACACAACGGGCTTAACTCACATGCGATCGGCTACAAGTAACGCACCACGAAGTGTGATAAAACACCACCCCGTTAGACAGTGTCCTGCCCACGGCCAAAATCACACAGATTAAATATCAGGCTTAATAAAGCCAACCATGGAAATCTCATAAATATTAGAACTAATTCAACTGAGCAGAAAACTAGAAAAATTAAATGTGGGTTATTGAACATTAGGTCTATTTTTTCTAAGACTTTGTTAGTTAATAACTTGATTTGTGATAATCACATTTCTTTGCTTTCACAGAATCCTGGCTGCAGCAAAAGGATTATGTTAGTTTAAACGAGTTGACTCCTAATTATTTAAATCATCACATTGCTCGAAGTACAGGGCGAGGAGGAGGAGTAGCAACCATTTTTCATTCAGACCTATTAATCAATCCCTTACCAATTAATGGTTACAGTTCTTTTGAACATTTTATTCTTAGTTTTCCTAATCCAGATTGCAAAACTGTAAAACCACTCTTGTTTGTAGTTTTGTATCGGCCACCAGGCCCTTACTCTCAGTTGTTGGATCAGATCTCTGATTTTGATTTGGTGCGAAATACTGATGAGGTCATTGTAGTGGGGGATTTTAACATTCATGTGGACACTGAAAATGATAGCCTCAATGTAGCCTTTGGTAATATCTTAGACTCAATTGGTTTTACCCAAAGAATACATAGCTCCACCCACTCCTGCCATCATATATTAGACCTTGACTTATGGAATAGAGTGTGAGGAAATGACGATATTTCCACATAATCCAGTCCTCTCAGACCACATTTTTTATAACCTTTGAGTTTTATATAACCGAGTTCTCGAGACAAGCAAGTAAATTTCACTATAGTCGGTCTCTATCTGACAACGCTGTTAGATCCTTTAAATCAACTGATCTAACTTTACTATCTTGAGCATCTCAAAGGAATGTAGCAGAGGGCAATATTTTCATTTCTAGCCCTTCACAAATTGATGATTTAGTTCATAATGTTACTTCTTCTTTACGTGTGGCATTAGATGATGTTGCCCCTTTAAAAAAAGAAGGTAATTAGGGACAGGAAGTTGGCTCCCTGGTTTAATTCTCATTTACGAACTTTAAAACAAAACTCTAGAAAATTGGAGAGAACATGGTGCTCTACACACCAGGAGGAGTCCTACTAATCCTGGAAAAATAGTCTTGTGCTTTATAAAAATAAGCTTCAACAAGCAAGAACTGCTTATTTTTCATCGGTAATTGAGGAGAATGAGAATAATCAGGGGCGGATTTAGGACTGAAGAAGATCCGGGGCTTAACACACACGCGCGCGCACACACACGCGCGCGCACGCGCACACACACGCATGCGCGCACACACGTGACACGCACTAGTCAACATCATATATATTTGTCTTGTACCACATAATGTTTAATCTGAAGCTACATATTCAGCATATTCAGGGCAGAGTATTGTTCCTGTTAGTGTTTAGTGTGAGATGATAGTGAATATTCCCTTTCTTTCTCCAACAACTTTACCTGATAGTAAGCTAACTTTAGGCAAACCAGCAGCACAACAAATATTTTCAAATAAGACTCACAAACCTGAGTCAACACCAGTCTCATCAGAGCTGGGGTTCTGTCGTTGTACTTTTGGTCTAAAAAAACGTCCTTATATCCATCTTCACTCATGCGTTTCAGACAGAGACTGCAGAAGCCAGCTGCTGAAGGGCTTCTCTTCAGTCTCAGGTAAACTGTATACTGACTAAGTAGCCTAGTGGTAGAGTGTCTGCCCTGAGATCGGGAGATCAGGGGTTCGACTCCTGGTCGGGTCATACCAAAGATTTTGAGAAAATGGGACCCAATGCCTCCCTGCTTGACACTCAGCATTGGATTGGGGTTGGATTGGGGGGTTAAACCACCAAATAGTTCCCGAGCGCGGCGTGTCTGCAACTCAGGGGATGGGTCAAAATCGGAGAATAAATTTCACCACACACCTGTGTGTGTGACGACTAAATGGGACTTTACAAACTACTGCCAGCTGCGCCCTCTCTGTGTGACTTTGGTACTGCATGTTACTTCCGCGATTTAGATCCGGGGCTTATCATGAAAGATCCGGGGCTTCAGCCCAAGTAGCCGGGCCTAACGCCGCCCCTGAGAATAATCCTAAATTTCTTTTCGATACAGTTGCCAAACTTACACAGAAACATAGCTCTGAACCATCTATTCCCTTAGCCCTCAGCAGCAACGACTTTATGGGATTTTTCACGAGTAAAATTAATTCTATTAGGAACAAAATAATTAGCATCCTCCCTAATGCGATTTCTTCTTCCTCGGTAAGTGAGGCAGCATCAGAGGTGACTGTAGAACCTCACCTGTGTTCTAGTTGAGCTTTCAGAGTTATCAAAAATATTAGTTTCATCTAAATCTTCAACTTGCATTTTAGATCCAATCCCAACCAAATTATTTAAAGATGCTTTTCCTTTGGTTACTGCCCCCATTCTAGATATAATCAATCTATCCTTAGTAAATGGATATGCACCACAGGATTTTAAGGTAGCTGTAATCAAACCTTTACTTAAGAAGCCTTCTCTGGATCCAGATGACCCAATGAATTATAGACCAATATCTAACCTTCCATTTTTATCCAAAGTCCTGGAGAAAATAGTGGCCATCCAAGTATATGAGCATTTAAACACTAATGATATGTTCAGTCTGGTTTTAGAGAGTATCACAGCACTGAAACTGCATTAGTGAAAATTACAAATGATATTCTCATGGCCTCAGATAAGAATCTTGTGTCTGTTCTAGTCTTGTTAGATCTCAGTGCTGCCTTTGACACAGTTGATCACAATGTTCTTTTAGAAAGGCTTGAACATGTTGTATGGATCAAAGGAACAGCGCTAGATTTCATTTTGTAAATGTACATGGCAAATCTTCTTCATACTCCAGGGTTACTTGTGGAGTACCACAGGGTTCAGTGCTAGGATCAATTCTTTTTACTATATATATGCTTCCAATTGGTAAAATCATTAGACAACATGGGATAAACTTCCACTGTTATGCTGACGATACTCAGTTATATCTATCCATTAACTCTAATGAACCTAATCGTTTAGTTAGAGTACAAGCTTGTCTTGAAGACATAAAAAATTGGATGACTCTAAACTTTTTGCTTTTAAATCAAGACAAGACTGAAGTTCTCATCTTTGGACCTGAAATTCAGAAAAGGAAATTGCTTAGTCAATCACCTGACCTGAATGGCATTAAATTAATCTCAGAGAACAAAGTAAGGAACCTTGGTGTTATCTTCGACCAGGACATGTCATTCAAATCCCAGGTTATTCAGGTTTGTAGGATTTCCTTTTTCCACCATCGGAATATTGCTAAGATTAGAAGCATCCTTTCCAGGAGTGATGCTGAAAAACTAGAAGTCCACAGAATGTCTTCAGCTTGTCCAAAATGCTGCAGCTAGAGTTCAGATGAGAATTAAAAAGAGAGATCATATCTCTCCTGTCTTAGCTTCCCTACCTTGGCTGCCTGTTAAATTCAGAATATATTTTAAGATCCTCCTTCTCACATATAAAGCTCTTAATAATCGAGCTCCATCATGCATCAGTGACCTGATTGTTCCATATGTTCCTAACCGAGCACTTCGCTCTCAGACTGCAGGTCTACTGGTGGTACCCAGAATATCTAAAATTAGGATGGGAGGCAGATCTTTTAGTTATCAGGCTCCTCTCCTGTGGAATCAGCTCCCAGCTTTAGTCCATGAGGCAGACACCTTGTCTACTTTTAAGACTAGGCTTAAAACATTTTTATTTGATAGGGCCTGTGGTTAAAATCGGCTGTTAGCCTGGATCTGGACAGGTGGGGGAGTAGAGGGAGGTGGAGTGTACAGTCAGTAAAGACGGCTCTACCTTGCCCTGCCTCCAACATGCCTCCATCTAAAAGGCTAGGTTATCCAGAGTTGTCTCTGTAGCTATGCTGCTATAGGCTTAGACTGCTGGAGGGCATACTGACCACTTTCCACACTCGACTGCTTTCTTCTACAATTTACTCTTTAACTCTATTATTTCCCATTTCAGCTGTTAACTTTATTTTTTCTCTAAGTGTTTTTCTCTCCAGAAGAAGCTACAATGATCTGCTGACCTGTGGTGCCCTCATGGTGGGGGCCATCGGCTTGAACACTGTTGCTAACCATTTAAACATTCTCCCTCTCCTGATAACATTTTACTTTCTTTGACATTGAATGTGCTACTACTCGTTTACTCAATTAATTATAGATTCACTAGGATAAAGACAATAAAGTTTATCTCTCACCAAATAGAATATTTAATAAGAAATCACAATGTAGCCATAGAAACATTACTTGGTATATTATGTTGTGTTTGTGTGTAGGTGGGCTGGTGTTGGTGTGTGCATGTGTCTGCTCTGTCTTCTCGATCCCCAGTGAGTCGTGGCGGATGGCTGCTTATACAGAGCCAGGATCCTCTGGAGGTTTCTTCCTGTTAAAAGGGAGTTTTCCTTTCCACTGTCGCTAAATGCTTGCTTAGTATGAGGATTGTTGTTGATGCAATTTGCTGGGTTCCTTATACAGGAAACTTTTTTCCGATTTGCTTAATGAACTGACCTGTATTGGAATGTTTGCTGTGTGAAGTGCCTTGACACGACTCGGTGCTATATAAATAAACTTGAATTGAACTGAATTCAAATGCTGTTCACAGAGACCGCTGATGTTGCTCATGGTGGCCCTGAGGCCAAGCTGCTCTGCTGCAGCTCTGGAGGCATTTCCACATGTCTAACATGTAGACCTCCTTTGCAAATTCATGACTAGACCAGACAAACATGTTAATCCTGCATCACCATGGAGACCAAAACATAAGGCTCCAGACACATGACTGATGGGAGTAAGAAATATGAAGGCAAGGGATAAGAAAGACCACCGCTTTAGCACAAATTAGCCACCATTTTTTAATGGTCCATGAGCTCCATTTATCTACCCAACCTGTCCTAACTTCACTTTTTAATGCCGCGTCAGCTTTAATACCACCAAATGTCAAACTTTACGAGTTACGAAGGTTATATCCCTCTACCTGAGACACCATTTCTATAAAATGCTAAGCTATGGTCCAGTGGGATGCCTGTCACTCTTCATCATTAGAGGAAAACCCTGCAGGACGAGTTCACAGAGACAGTCAGAACGGCACCGTGCAAGTCTCAGCGTCTGCATGCATGCATGTGATGCACTTAGCATCAAGAGAGTGGTAATCTGTAAATCTGCTTTGTCTTTGGGTGGGTGGTGAGAAACTTGGCAGGCGACGGGGACGGACGGACAGAGAAACGGAGTGTGTGAATGACAGGGATGAGTGTGGAGGAAAGGAAGTGGCGTGCACGTTACATAAGTGTACTGTAAACAAGCCGTGCGCTGTACATATGACAGCACATGACACCCGTCTATTCAGAGACTTAACGTTTAAAATAAACATCTTTAAAAAAAATCCTCTTTAGATTGTTTAAAGTGATTATGAAAGCTCAAAATAACTCGAGTCATTCATAAACGGGTTTTAAAGCTTGTTTTTTGTTTTGGTGAGAAATCATCTTATGTCCGTTTTTAACATGAAACAGGAGTCCGACACCCTAAATCTCTTCGGAACACATTAGATCACAAACGTTTCTACAGCAGCCCTGGTTTCAGAGATACGGGCGACACATCTCTGTGGTGTGGCTGCAGGTTTTCCTTCGTGTTGTCCAACAGCACGCCTGACGTGATCTGGGCAAACACAGGTCAGGGTCTGGGAGGGATTAGGCGGGGAGCATATGCTGGTAGTGCAGGCTGAATGCGAGACTGAGACGAAAGCAAAGGAGGAGAAAGCGGAGGGAGGGAGGGAGGGAGGAGAACGTGATAGTCCACGTGACTCTGGCTCAGCCACTGCAGGCTGTTACATAAGCGCACCCCCTGCCCCGTCTCCTCATGGACCGAGCAGACTCCGCTTCTCTCCAATCCCTCAGACGCCCCCCCCCCCTCGCCTCCACTCTCCACCCTACTCTCACATGGCTCCTCACATGGCTTCTTCCTTTTCTCTGACTCTCCTCCACCCACTCATTGTACCCCAAGGGAGCCACCAACCTCTGCTGCCTAAGCTGTCACTCTGTTCCTCTCCTTCTGTTTTTGTCTGCCTGCTTCTCCCTCTCTCATTATTTCCATCAGTCGTTGTCTTCTCCCTCTCCCTCCCGTGTAGCGAGGCTGCAGCTCCACACTCAGGCTTGAAGGGAAATGACAAAGAAGAGGACCCAAACACCTGCTCGAGAACGCTCTCCAACACCCACACAGACTGACACTTCACACATCACTACGGTGTCGTCTGGCTTTTGGGCTAAAACAGGCTGCTTTTTTAAAAATGACTGCTTCATACTTTTAAATCCTTTACGAAGTTAAATGACAGTCGGAGAGCTCCACAGTTCTGGAGTATTTGTTGGATTTTTCTAAACCTTGAGAGGTGAAAAGTGATTGAAATTTGGGGATTGTTTCATCGTCTCTCACCAATGAAACTCTTCGCCGATAACGCTACCTTCCAACCAAAACCTTCACCTCCCTTCACTAAAATCTTTTAGGTTTGTGGTGGGGATGGACGTGCAGCAGGACACGGGGTCCTGCACGCCCCTCCTGCTGCAGTATTGATTTGTTTGTTCAGTGCCTGCCTCCCCCCCTCCCCCCCCCCCCCCACCACCACACACACACACACACATTCTCCTCCTCCCCTTGCTTCCTCCTTTCTTTTCTCCTCCTCAGTGCGAGTGTGTCCTCGAGTGCCTCCCCTGCCTTATGTAACACAGCATACTGATGAGGGGAGTCTGGGCTCTGGGCCGAGAAAACCTGCGAGAAAACACAAACTCCACTGCTGCACTGCTGATGGGAGGACAGTGCTGATGGCAGATGGAGGCAGGCCCTTACCCGCTGCACACCTCTGAATACTTTCACCTAATTAATGCGACACGGGGATTTTGCACAAGATAAAAGTTTGCATATTTAATCACTCACAGATTCCTGAAAAGGTTCCCTCTTGTGCAACATCTTCCTGAGAGTCTGCAGGATCTTGATGCACAGTTTCTCCTCCTTGTCCATGAGACTCTTGGTGTGCTTGATTAGACTGGCAGAGCGACAAAACAAGGCCTGTATCATTTATAGTAGTTTCCAACAAGTGCGGCAGGGAGCTCATAAAACAAAGCGATGCATTATTGACCGCCACAGATGAGCTGTAGCAGAATAACTGCAGGCCTGGTGGTTTCATAGTCTGTTTGATTCATTTTTTATGCAACAAGTTAAATGTAGCACAGTGTACCATCGCTAACTTGCAAGTTCCTTTCATTTTTTTATTGTTTTGTTTCCAGGGCCTCCAAATGACCTTAATGGTGTTCATATTTAAGATGTTTTTCCAAAAAACAAATCTGCGTGACGTCATTAATCATCAGTAGCTAGATAAGTGCTTTAATCAGCCACTCACGTGGTCATGAAGGTTTCACTATCACAGCGTAGCCGCGCAGCCTCTGGAAACAGCAGCTCGGGGCTGTGAAGAACATCCACCAGGACAGAAAACTCAGCCTGGATCTTTGGGCCGATCTGCTTCTCCAGACAGCACACGACCAGCTGCATGACAGACAGAAATGAGGAGGCCAACATTTTATTTCATTTAATTCTCGACTCAAAAACTCCAGTAGACCTAAACTACACAGCAAGAGACTTTTAACCAAAAAGTACCTGCAAATTCTCAATGATCTTGTAGTCCAGGCCGCCCAGAGGCTCCTTGCGAGGGCGACGAGCAGACGTCCTCCAGTCTTTGGCTGCTCGTTGCACCACGTTGGTGTGGACCTTAAGAGACATTGTAGTGACTTGACCGTCCAGATCAACGGGGATGGCTATGTTCAGAGTTTTAGCTGAGGAAAGAACATGAAAAATGATCCACCGGTGTAAATGTCACCTAAAACCAGTTTAAATCTGGACCAGCTGAAAGTCACGACTCACCTACTTCAGCCAACGTGTTGATACAGATCTCCACGAGGGTCTTCTGACTTGGGCTTAGCCAGGTGCAGTTGTAGATCCTGAAGCATGACTGGATCAGCTTGATGAAGACAGAGTTGTTAATCTGCAAAGAGGAAAAAGGTTGAAGTTCTACGCGCACCACTAAATGAGAGCAAATGTCAGTTTAGATGATGCCAACGTCGTCTCTGTGCAGAAACACCTGAAACCACAAGGTTCTCGATGAAACGGGGGCTGTTAAGTATTTTTATCGTAAGAAGGTTAAATGTTTGAAAGCATGTCTGCTTTTTAGAGACCGCAAAATGTAACCTGCTGTGAGGAGTTGTTGACACAAAAAGGCATGTGGAAGAAACCCTTGATAAAAGCCATCACGGACTCCATCACATACTTCTCCAGGGCCTGGTCGGCATGGTTACGGTCTGTGGTAGTGTTGCACATCTTTAACATAAAAACAAAAAAAAAACACGATCTTCAGCCCACTCTTGATGTGCACGGCCTGATTAAAGAGAGAACGACTGGTTTGTGTCTTACAGTAGCCATATCAACCAGGAAGTTGTCAAAGAGACTCCACATGTGGGGGGAGGTGTAGATCTCCTTCATTTCTACTTCTGTGTCAACATAGCAGTGGTTCACAAAGTTCACATAGGTCATTTTCACCTGGAGGCAAAAGGAGCAGGAAATCGTCACAAAACAAATTTCCAGTTTTTTTCTGTTTTTGCTTTTTTTTCTGGAAAAACTTTATTGTTTCAGATCAGAAAACACATTTTTACATCAAAATGACTCTGTGGTAGAAATAGTAAAATAATCTGGGGTTTACCTCTGGAATGCAGTTCACATCAGTGACAACTTTAACAATGTCATCCAGAGGTAGCAGAGAGTTGCATTTCAGCTCCGTGAAGACGTTCTTGCCCTCGGTGCAAGCAGCCATCAGATCCACCAGAGTGTTGTGATACGCCAGAGCTCCGTTGGGGTCTGACCTCTCCTGCTCAGAGGCCATCAGCTGCAGCAGCACCGGGAACGACGAGCGGTCGTTGTAGAACACCAACACGTCCTCACCGGCAGTCACCAGCTAACGGGAACAAAAACCAGGAAATACACCAAATATCAGCAAAGAAGCTGCCATTCCTAACTGTATTTGCTTCTCTTTCTCCTCACCTCAGTCATGACTTTGTCCTGACATTTCTTCACATACTTCCCGTCAACTTTCACAATGGTTTGCAAGAACCTGAGGTACTGAACGTGCCTCCCGTGTGTCGCGATGCAGTGGACGAAGTGATGGATCACGCGGTCACTGATCTCGCTGCACAGCTGGAAGTTGTTCATGAAGATCTGACGCATCGTCTCGGCTTCCAGTAGCTGGGGAGGAAAAAGCCATGCTAATAGTTTGGATGATGATGATGAAACATTAGAAAGGGTGTGCTAATGTCAACAAACCCCAGGAGTGAGGAAAAGGTTCAAGTATTTATGTAGCAGGACTTGATTCTGAGGGTTTGCCTGGCAGAAGTTTTGCAGAAACTGGTGAGCCTGGGCCATGATTCCCTTCATCTTCTCATCCGGCTGTGGAAAAACAGTTAAAGACACTTTCAGAGAATCGGACAGGAAGTCATCCACTAGATCACATTGGGTGGCTTTCTGTTCCCCTACCTTCTGATAGGGGATCTGCAACAAGTCCAGCACCACCAAGTGGGCTCCCATGTTCTTCAGCAGCCTCTGCTGCTGCAAACGGAGCTTCTTACCAGGATTACACAACTTAATGAGCCGCGCGAGGATCTAAAGATGAAAAAATATCTCATTTTCAGTCCAATCTGTGGAGGACCACACAGCTTTAATGATACCACAAAGACACGCCTCTCACCTCTTTAACTATGGTATAGTTGTTCTCCTTGTTACTGTCGATCTGAGGCTTATTGTACCCATCCTGCACTGGGCTCAGGATGCCCTCCTGAAAAAACGTTGTAGATTAAGATCAACTCGGGTTTCAAAAAAATTATATATTGAAACAGCAATCCAGATTTTTCTCCCTTTCAGGAATTGTGTACGATTTTTTTTTTTTTTTAGAATTCTGTTAAAGTTACAGTCTTACCAAAGACTTTCCAGTGGATGTGTATGTGGCACACATAGACTGTACATACTGGACAATTCGATTCCATAGACTCCAATAACACGTTTTTTGTCTATAATGGGAGGTGGCCACCACCGCCATTTTGACCGTGTCACAGGTTCCGTCCAGCCCAGACAATTCCATAAAAGGGAAGAGAGGAGGAGCTGAGGGTGGGGCTGTAAGGCTGGGATCGAGTGACGACACCCGGGCGAACTAGCTACGAGCTAACCTGAAGCTAACCCTGGCTAACCCAAAGCTAACGCGGAGGTGGGAGCCGAGCTAACGGATGTAGCCACCTAGCTTCAACCCTACCGGAGCTAACTGTAGAACACCCATCGACCTGAACCTAACACGAAGTTTAGGTGGAGGTTTTCGGCGCCTGTTCGTGAAAAGTACCTGGATTAAAAAAGTATTAAATTGGTAAGTTTCGGTGGCACATAATGGAAGTGACATGTGACAGAAGCAGTGTGTAACAGAAGTGTCGCTTAACGTAATAGACGCATTTTACCCACAAACTCCCTTCCCACCGGGAGCGTTTCAGATGCTAAACGGCAGCCTAAGCGTTCCACACAGCTGGTCCCGCCGTAAGGTCACTAAATCACAGGAGACTTGAAACACCACGCATGATTTCAGCAGTTCATGTGATAACAAGCAAAGAAAAAGATGACAGCAAGAATCCAAAAAGGTTTCACAGGAAATTACGAACATATTTTTACTAGTTAAGCAACTGGAAATCTGCTTGCGACTTTTTTAATTCAACGTTTCTGGACGTTTTCTCTCCAGGAAGCTGGAATGCTTGTTTGCATCGGAGGCTACTGTTGGCTCTTAGATGAGCCGTTGTGTGTCTGTATCACTCGCAGCGTTGCAGAGAGGCTTTTGACTGGATGTCAAAAGAGATGGTTTCTAGATTGCTTCTTCCCCAATTTGGCCGAATCGGGAGTCAGCTGGAAACTGAATTAATCGGGAAGTAATTTCTGTTTTATCAAACCCAAATTTGGCAAATCTGGCAAATCAGAATTTGACTCGTTTGAGGGCTTTGGTGGTGGTCAGAGTGCATGAAAGCATCTTTGAGTGTCCTAAACAAGCGCTATATAAGTTCGATGTATTATTATTATTATTAAAACATCTCTCAGACATCACGCCTTCACTCAGATCCTCCGAGAGGTTAACTCTTTGTGGGAGTGAGAATGTTTTAAAACACTTATGTGAAGAGAATATTAACATTAATAATTATCTTATTATAATGTGTATGAGCGTAGATATTGATTAACTTGTTAAATCAAACACATACTGATCTGGTGTAGAGAAGATCTGAAATGGATCATTGCAGGAACAATATTCATTTTAAAGCCATCATTGGTTTAGGCACAGATTATTCAAACATCTGATTCAAACAGCTTGTTCATTCAACACATGATTATTCCAACTTATAAGCTGTACAGTTATTTATAATTCAAGATGACTTTTCCTCAGAGTGAAAATGCAAGAGTCTGCATGAGGCCTTGAGTGAGAATGATTTGTCTTCTTGCAGCAGCAAGAACTAGGGCAGTCTTGTTTTGGATTTGGTGCCAAACAGATGTCGGGCTTATGTCTGCAAAAGAAAGGTCACTTTTTGCTCAATTTGATGGTGAAAAATTGACCACTTGGTACGTTACACCTGTGTGTGTGTACACGTGCTTGTGCATGAAGGTTTCTCTATAGGAGTGGGTTAAAAGGGGGGTTAAACTCTAAAAGAAAGTTGTATAATTCGCCAAATAAGACATACATCTTGATGAGTTTGTGTTAAAATGTTGGTGCACTACCTCCATGTTTGGCTCTTTGCCCTGCCCAGCTTCTGGGTCTTCATTGCTGTAGCCTCCACTCTTCTCCACCCACAGCTCAGATTTCTCCACAGTCAGACGCAGCTGATCCAGGTCTTTCTTGATCTGTTTGTAGTTCTCTATGTCATTTTCCGAAACAAGAAGCTGGACCTGGAGTCCACAGAGACAATGGAAATTGATGGGAAACATCAAGAGAATTCTTTGTGCACTTCTCAAGAAAATCACTGTATTGTAATAATAGCTTTTTAGCTAACCTTCCCAATCCTGATATGATTTAACACACTGACATGTTGGGTGTAGGTACCTGTTTGAAGGCCTGTAGCACCTCGTCCCTCTGACTGAAGTGTTTGAAGATGAGTTGCAGGGACCCGGACACCAACGGTGGATAATCTTGCATGATGAGATACAAGAGAACCCTCAAAAACGTGCGGCCACCTTCGTCGTCTAACTCCACCGTGTTTAATTCTGAACTGAAGACACAGACGTGTGCATCTATTAAGCTTGGTTTGCTAATATCTAGGAAACAACTTGAGTCACCTCTAGGGATGTCCCGATCCGATCACATGATCAGAAATCGGCCCCGATCACGTGGTTTCAGACTGATCGGGACTCGGGCTTTACTTCCCGATCCAAGCCCCGATCCGGAGTTGGATACTGGATTCAAATTACAGGAGAGAAACTTGGTTCTCCTTAAAGGTTGTCAGGCTCCCCTGACGCCCTTAACTTACACACCCAGAAGGAGCACAAAATAGATCCAGTTTCTACCTATATTATATGGATTATATGGAGCAAGAAGAAAGCGGCGGGCAGACCGCTGATTATTCATGAACTCCAGCTGCGTTCTGCACATGACCACAGTAACATTTTCTAAGTTTCTAAGTGGCGTCACCAAAAAAGTATATAATTAGCACACAGTCATTCTTGTCCGTTCATTTTCTCTCTGGTAAGTTCTGCCTGTATTTGAGCATGACGTGTGGACACGCTCGCGCTGCAGCGCTCGTCACTGGCGCAGCCGGGCAGCGTGACCCACACCCCGCTTTTTTTGCGATCAATAGATCAATTTGATCTGCTAGTTAAAAAGTTACTTGTGAGGTGAAAAAGAAGGAAGCAGGCAGGAGTTTTTCTGGAGGACTGAGAGATGCAGGAAGATCAGAGACAGACAGGACAGGAAGATAGGGAAAATAAAAACCAATAAAACAAAACAAAGTTCTTAAAAAAATAAAATGTAGGTAGACTGATCCCACTACACGTTTGTACCTGTATAAAGCAGTAATTTATCAGCATGTAGTATTTATATAGTTGATACAATTCAGATCAGCTTCAAAACACCGTCCCATGCCCAGGGACGTATCTAAGCATTTTGGGGGCAGAGGCCAAATAGACCCCTGCCAGGTATTTTAACTTGAAGTGCTATCTGCTTTTATATTAGACTTTTTATATTTGCAATAAAGTCCAAAAGTGAAGAAATTATGTTATTTATTGTTTGATTGTTCAAGCTACCTCACAGGTGATCTGTTGTTAAAAATTTAAATAAAAAGGTAATTAAATAAAACATAAGGAACATTCTGGAACTGTTCCTTCCTTTTCTTTCTTTATTTTTTTTTATGTATCGAAAGTATCGGATCGGGACTCGGAATCAGCAGATTCTCAAAATCAAAAGACTCGGACTTTGATCGAGACATCCCTAGTCACCTCCCAGCTTACCTTCCTGCAAACATGCTCTCCGCTTTAGCAGCAATCTCATCTACCCGTGGCTCATAAGCTGAAGGACAAATAAAAACAATGAGCCAATTTATCAGTGACTAAAGTTTAAGAACAATGAGAGATTCCTGGAATAGAAAGTAAAATCTCACATGAAGTAAACAAAGGCAATTCAGCTAAAGAGTTGTCCTGTTGCGTCATCTCGTCAAACTGTGTTTTGTACATCGACAACAAGTGCGTGATCCTGTAGTCCAACCTCACGCTCAGGATAAACTGGCAAGGGGGGAAAAAATAAAGAGCACACACGTTAAAAAACGTTGTGACGAAGAGCAGAACGACTTTTGGGGGTATGCAGCACCAGCACATACTTGCAAGATCTCGATGATCTTCAGCTTGGTGTCCATCACCATCACATCTTCATTGATGGGCAGGAAGTGGCCTTTCTTGTAGCGAAGAGTGGGAGGTGAGTCGGACATGTTGTGGGGCACGCCTCGACTCATCACCATCTGGGTCATCATTTCTCCGACGCCGTGAATCGTTCGAAGGACATTGTTGCCTAAGGAATACACAATCGAAAGACTTTTACACAGTTAATTATTTAAATAAAAATGAGGAAGAGACGAAGCTCCTTCATATGGTCTCTGCACTGACCGGCGTCTGGACTCTTGCCGAGCCTGTTAACGAAAGGCGGTGGTTGGATGATGATGTCGAGGATGGCCAGCAGGGTGCGGGTGAGGCCTAGCAGCTCACGGAAGTTATAAAAACCAAAGTAAACCAGGTTTCGAGCCAAATTCACCACCTAAGGGAGAAAATAATGCAGTCATTAATAAACAAAATAATCACATGAATTCAGTTTTAGTTCTTTATCATTTTTCAAATAAGACAACTTAAATAACTGATTTATGTTCATGTCTCCATTGTAAAAATCTTATAATGAAAATATTTGATGCACTAACTGTAGTAAACAAAACTGACCTTTTAAAGCATTGTCATGATCGGCTTCATCAGTGAAGTTTGATTTATGTTCCTGACCTGTGTCACTCTCGGGGGTGAGGGTGTGTGTGTGTGTGTGTGGGGGGGGGGGGGGGCACCCCACTGGTCCTCACTGGTAATTTACACCTTCTTTTACTACATCATACTCATGTTCAAATTTGCGTCAATTCATCTTTCATTAGGACAGAAATGTAAACACCTATAAAATATATACCATTAATGAGTTCAATAAAATATAATTTTAAATAATGTATAAATGTCACTGCTGCTCATCCTATTCAAATGTCCCTTTGTATTGTGGATGTTTTGTGAAGACAGCAACATGCATTAAACTCTTCTAACATTCAAAACAAATTTTGTAATAATAATAATAATAATAATAATTCAAATAACTGTTTTTCTGTGTTTCAGTTTTCAGGCAAATGTGTTGGATGTATGTGGTTCTTTAATGGAAATGAGCAGCCACAGGCTAAACTCTCCCAGTGGTACCATAAGTGCAGATTTGGAGTGCCCCCCCAAATCGCCCCCCATGAAAATGTTCTGGGAACACCACTGCTACGAACATTAGTTTGTTCATTCATTCAGTATATTGACCACTTATTTCTCAGTAGTTTTGTGGGGAGCTGGTGCCGAACTGCAGCAGTCATTAAGCGAGAGGAGTTGGACACCCTGGACATGTCACAAGTCTGTAACGTGGACACATAGACACCAACACCTCGGGACAATTTAAAGTCTTAATTAACCTGACATTCATGCTTTTAGCCTATAGAAGGAAGTCGGAGCACCCAGATAACACCCACACAGGCATGTGGAGAGCGTGTAAGTCCATGCAGAAAGGCTGCAGCTGGGATTTGAACCTGCAGTGGTTAGATTAGGTTAAACGTCGCCACCACATGACTGAATCAGGATGGTGCTATAAAACCTCAAATACCAAAAAGAAAGGGCAAAATTTAGTAAAAAGTTATAGATTGTTTTTTTCTGTTGTTTTCATCCTGATGCGGAATGAGGCTAATAAAGTAATGACCACTAGCTGAAATAACAGCATTTTTGTGATTACGTAACAGACAGTATAACAAACTATCCAGCACAGGCTCCAGGCCTAAGTAGAGTTTATTTACCTCCAGAGTGAGTTCATTCTTGTCCTCTTCCCCAAACGGAAACGTCTGACTGACCACCTCTTTAAGATATTCTTCAACAAACACCATGGTGGGCGTGAACTTCTTCTTCATCTCTTCTCTGGAGCGGTCAGTCGACTCATACACAAAGCTGTGGAATCAAACCAAATGAAACATCCAATAGTTAGGATGATGCGGTTGATGGTAACACAGATGACCTCAGAAGGAGACGCTCACTCGGCGATGGTGATCTTGGAAGGGATCTCGTTCCAGAGGCGGGCGTAGCGTATAGGAACCACAGACTCCTGAGGGTCGCGGTCCACGTGCATGTGCAGCATGAGGCGACAGAAGGAGGCTCTGAGGTTGTAGGGCAGGCACTCGTCAAACATGCAGCGCAGGATCAGATCCACAGGTAGCTGACTTGAGATCTGGTTGATAGCCAGATACTGACGATCCAGACACATTTTAGCAAACAAGTCTAGCTGATACCTGCAGAGGCCAGAAAGCAAGTGTGTGTGTTGTTAGGTAATTTCAAGAAATTTTGAGTTACTAAGAGATAAAAGGATTAGGGACACTGTAAAAGCCTAAATCACCTGTAGTAGGTGATAATATCTATATCATCCCTGTGGTTGCCCTTGGCGTCCTGGGCCAGGTGGCGGATGGATTTGCCATGAGGCTCCTTGTTTATGTCGATCCAGTAGAGCCAAACCTCCTCCTCTTCCTCTTCCTCCGTAAGAAGAGAGGAATGTACAGCGGCGTCTGTGTTAGGGATTAGTCTGGTGGAGGGCAAAAAAAGAGGAACATGGTGTGCCATATAAAGCAGTTAGCCACTATAACACAGATTTAGAGCTGCTGCTGCTGCAGAAAATACCCATTTAAAAAGAGGCCGACACACTGGAGGAAACCTGCCCCGCAGAGAGCATGTTCATGTCCACACATGCTTAAATATTCACAATACGACAAGTTGCTTAAAATATAGGCGGCACTGGGTGTGACTCACTTGGTCTGAATGAGGATATCTGCGTTGATGGGGTTCAGCATAAATTTACAAATAAGCTCCTGTATGACGGGGATGGCGCTCTTGTTGGACACACAGAGATCAGACAGATAATCCAGGAATCTGACAAAGAAAACCAGGCTTGAATGAATATTATTCTACATAAATGAAAAGTTTTATTCTTGACTTGAGGTCAGTTTGTTGTGCGCACGTGTGCACGACTCACCTGGGCTCTCTGTTGCGCCGCAGCAGGTTGACAAAGGTCTCGATCTCCTTGGCTGTGATGTGTTTTTCCAGCAGCTTGCGGTTGTTGTGCAGCAGGGCCGTGATGGTGTCTTCAGCCAGAATCTCATACCCAATCTGAGACTGCATGATGGAAAACTTCTTGGCTATGTATTCCTACATGCCCAAAGAAAAATAACCCTTTGTGATGACTTTTGATGAGCAGAGCACATTTTAAACAACTATATAAATGTCATTATCTTAAATACGAGTTACTTTAGTCAGCCTGAATTTATAACCAAAAATAAAACGGTCTGTTTCAGTGAAACTCCGCCAATGCCCGCTCCAACAACAGCCGACAACAGCACCTTAGGCGAGTCATTTGCTGTATTGGTTATGGTGGTCCAGTGGTTAAGGCATCCAGTCTAGTGCTCTAACCACTGGACTACCAAGTCTGTTTCATGACAGCAGCAGCTAGCAACATGTCCTGTGCTGGCCAGAGGAGGCAGGTTTCAGACCAGAAACTAGTGTCTGGGAGAGGAGCTGGGCCTGATGATGAGATTAGTTTCCATTGACGCTTTACAAGATTTTTAAAGTTAAACGTAAAATTTGCTGCTGAAACACGGAAAAGCATGAATGCAGCCAAAAATGGGTTTGGGTTTTTTTTCTCATAAGGGAATAACAATATACTAGGGATGCACCGATACCGATACTGGTATCAGTATCAGTAAAAGTTAACTGATACCAATGCAGTTGCTTGAAAGTGGCTTCACTGTAACTTACCATTTGTGTTCACCTAATATTTTAGTTTGGTGATTGTTTCTATTCGTGTATTTTACTTTTTATCTACCTCACAGTCTTTTTCTGTTGAAAGCAGAGAAGAAAATATAACCTGTATTCCAATTGATAGCATTTTTCTGTGTGGTTGAAGTATCAATATCAGTAATCCATATCTGCGAGTACTCAGATCCAAGTATCGGTATCGTATCGGTTTGGAAAAAAGTGGCATCCCTACAATATACCACGGTAAAAAGCTCCAAAAGTGGATTTTCCATGATATGACCCCAACCCCTTTGGCCCCATTGGCAACAATTGTTGCCAAAGTGTGTAACTCATCTTTCACTCACAATAAAAAAATCACATTGGTACTAATGAAATTTTTTCTATTTATAAGCTAGTAGACAACTTAGACAAAGGTTTTAATTTGAAAAATTGTTTCCAAGTGCTTCCTATTGCATGGCATCATCTGCTTCCTGCTCCTTCCGGCGGAAGACATGGCGAGTGCACATCTTCCTAGAAAGAGATTATTTTCTTAAATTTCTTATGATTTTTCCCCAAAACAATTTAGTAATTCAAGTCTCTAGCGCAACTTTCCCCCAAAAAATTTTAACTAGGATAAATATTCTTTTTCTTTATTCTTTATTTAAAAATGTAGAACGATGTACAATGGCTCATTTTAGTTCTCTTAGAATACTCTTCCTCACTAAATAAATTCATAAGTATTCAAGGCCTTTATAGGACTTTTATACGTTACCACACATCATTTTCTTAGCTGGCTAAGTCACAGTAAAGATGCTGATGTGAACTTTTCTTGAAACACAAGTACTTACTGTGACTTCATGATTCTTTATGAAAACTTTAATCATTTTTAGTTCCAAACTGCTTTTATTACCACAGTTGTCATTTATTAGCCAATGTTAGCCCAATTACAATCAAAGCTCTTTATTTTGGCTTTTTAATACTGTTTCCAGTCAGAAGTCACCTTATTTTTGACTATACCGCATGTTGGTAGTTAAATGTCAGCAGGCCTTGATAACATAGTGGAGAAAACTGTAATTTAGTCATGTCATACCTGGTTCTTGCGATAGTCCTGTTGGGAGTGTCGCAGCACCCTGTAGCAAAGCCTCATTATGTACTTGAAGTGAGAATTGCGATGATCTCCCAAATCATTCAACTTCAGCATTGGACCATCACCGGTTTCGTCAAATGGAGCCGTCAGGATGCCAAATACCTAAAAAAAACAGTAAAGGGAGAAAGCCACATTTATTTATGCAGATCATGGTTTTATGTATTTTTTATTTGTTTTTATTCATTGTTTTTAATTATTCCATACATTTTTTCTGATTTCCTACTGTAGCACTTTGAGATTTCATTGAAATGTAAAGTGCGTTACAAATAAAAACGATCTCAGAGCCGGTCAAAATAAAACAACAGTGCGTTTGCACCAGTGTTCTCCTGGTGCTGACCTGGGCGAGGATGTTTTGTTCCCTCATCAGTTTCTGCCTCTCTCGGTTGGGTGTGGAGGTGACCACGGACAGAACATCCTGACCATTGTTTGGCTCCACGCACACAAAGAAAACAAGGTCCTCCAGCAGCTTCGTCAGAAACCTGAAACCAAAATAAAAGACACATTGATGTAAATGCGTCAAAGCTGAAACCATGCTGATCGTGTTGGCCGTACCTTCTCTCATTCTGAGTAATGAGGGCGTGCTTAAGCTTTCTCACAGTGGACTCCAAGACCTTATTGGCATCATTAGCAAAGTCCAAGTCTCTGACCTCAGACAGGGGGACAGAAACAATGGAAAAGGCCTCTTTGTCCTCTCTAGTGCTTGTGGTACCAATCTGAAGAAGAACTGAGAGTTAAGTTACCCTGCCTATTTAGCTTAGGCCAGTGAGTGAGTGAGTGTGAAAACCTTGAGCATAACTGGCCGTTCTTCTTCTACATCGATGGGGACATTAGTGCTGGTCACCCAGGTGTTCGTGCACAGGTTCCTGAGTCTCACATAGGAGTTTCTGAGGAAGGATGGGATAAATTACCAGCAAATTCTTGCAACGCTAAATCAATGCAAAGAAATAAATTCACCAAAGGGAATCGATAAAGTATCAATTAATGCATCCCGGTGAGATAATGCAATGCAATGTCATATGTGACGGAGTGTTGCTCCCACCTGGGGACTAGACAGTCAGACCGCTGCAGCGTGGTGGCATCCAGCTCGAACAAGGAGGCGATGTCATTCCCATGGGGAATAGAGATCAGGATGAAACCAATCTTCTCGGCTGCCTGGTGCTTCCTCTTGGAGTGCATTGTGTCCGTCTCATTCTGCAGCATATAGGAAAGAAAAACTAGTGTGATGCGTTGGAAAACTTATTAGAAATGTGCATCAGATTGTGTTTTGAAGCAGGAGGTTATGGGTAAGGGTCACATGTCTCTGTCGTTAATATATCTGGGATCAGAAAAAAAAACTTTGGGAACTGTTTTTATGTAGAATTAAGTCCATGAGATAAATAAGTTAGTAACGTCAGTCATTTGTGGGGGTTCAGCTGGAAACACCTGCACTTAAACAAAGCCCTCAGGGCCACAATTTACCAAGACACCCAGCATAAATCATACACCAAGTTACAATACTTTAAACTGTAATCACAGTTAGCCTATAAATAAATCTGAGGCCCGGTGCTGAGGACCGACACGCTTAGTGTCACGCTGCCTCATCTCTCCACGCTTAAATTTTGACAAACGAGCTCCGCTGTTGATAAATGGTGGTAGATGCTGCTGCACGACTGAGGACAGATGGATGTGAGCCAAAGCACCGTGACAGCATTTTACACTAATGAGGTATCAAAGTGCACAGACGTGCAAGCGGAGAGCCACAACTTTGCTGCTCCTTGAGTTAAACTCTGCAGGCCGAACAGCAGTGAGGGTTAAACTCTCCCGCTGTTCCCTGCATGTCAATGGGAAGTTCCCCAGAGCTGGCTCCTCACTTCAGCTTCTCCATCCTCCCTCTATCCCCCCCCCCCACCTTCCCCCTCCTCCGATGGTGACTCACCCAACCAGTTTAACACGGGCGAGTGAAGCAGAGCAGACAGCACGTCTGCCCACCCTCCCACCCCCCCTCCATCGCCTCTCGCTGGGCACCCCCACACCCAGACGTTATGTAAGAAGCCCCCTGTGAGTCTCGGATTCTGCATGTGCATAAGAAAGTGTGCGAGGGCTGAGAGTTTGTGTTCTTTACCTCGCCAGAATACAAATGTGCCGGGCTGCAACGAGCCGAAAGAAATGTCTGGAAGTAGACTTGGAGTTTGGCAGATTTTGTGTCTGAGCGTGTGTGTGTGTCTATGTGTGTGTGTAGAAGTCAGCACAGAGAGCTGAGGGAGAGCTTAACAAGTAGTATTGCATAACAACAGGATGAGGAGACAGAGACGGGCCTTGAATATCTGGCTGCTGAGATAATTGTTTCCGTCACTGGAACATAAATAATCTACACTAATGAGTTTCTATGCAAGGAAATAGACAATGCATTGAATTATTTTCACAAATTTTGCAAAAAAGTGTGTAAGAGCTCCCCGTTACCATGAAGTCACACATGTTTGAGTGAGTGACTCACCTCTCCTTCAATCTGAGCTGTGTCGTCTTTGAATTCAGGGTTTTTCTGCAGAGGAGTGAAGCATTCAGAGGTCTGAGAGTGACACCAGTTTGATAACCTACACCCATCACTGGAAAAATACTCAGCAGCAAAGGAAGTGTGACAGCAGGGATAACAATGGGAACACTGCCATCTACAGCACATCATCCAAAATCCCTTTTTAGTCTACTAAAGTCTCACGTAAATACAGTTAATAAATCAATGGAAATCAGCTTGCTTGTGTGACGTGCAATCTGAAGACATGAACTCAGTGACCAGGGACAAACGAGACCCACCTCTGCCGCGAGGTAATTCCCAGTTGCAAGGTGTTTAAATCGGAAAACGCTATTCCACTGTCCGGCTCCTCCCCTGCAGGGGTCGTGGTGCACAACCTGCCATGGAGACATGACAGTTTGGGATTAAACACAATGATGTCACCTCTTCTGCATCAAGCAACTAGGGACTTTTTCTGTAACAGATTCAAGAACAATTCCTGTTAAATATGAAGTTTTCATGCATAATAAAAAAAGGGCAGAAAGTCTTGATTTTTAGGTATTTTTAGAACTTCTTTGTTGAACAGAAATATGCACTTTTCTTCCTGCCCTGCTGACCTTTCAGCAACAAATCGCTCACTTAGGAGCATTGTGGGACAAGCAGCAGAGCAACAACAGGAACTTGTGTCTGCAGATAAAGAGGAACATGGGTTATAATCCAGTGTGTTACAGAGATTAAAGGCTTCATGCCAAAAGGGGGAAATTGTTACCTTAATTTATGACAGATCGACCTTTGATTGCAACAGAATTAGATCAACTGTTTAATACAGAAATGTTTAGTTCATTGGTTTCTAACTAAAAAAGTTCAGTTTAAAGTTTCTTGTGTGTAAAACATTTATTTGAAAACTAACATTTGAAAAACTGGAAATAAAAAAATAAGGAAATAAACTAAACTATTTGGACTAAATTCACCAAAAAGGTGAACATTGTCTTAAAAGAAGAAACTGGGTGCATAATATTTGAAATTTGCATAATATTTGGCTGAAAATGAAATAGAACACTAAAGATATTACTGAGTCATAGTTTTCACCCATTACCAGTGCTGGGAACGTTACTTTAAAAAAGTAACTACTTATAGTTACTGATTACTTTATCAAAAAAGTAACCCAATTACTTATCAAGTTACAAGATTATAAAAGTAACTAATTACCAAGATGAATAACTATTTTGTTACTTTTTTTCATTAAAGAATGCAAGAAAAATGGGTTCCCCTCTTAATTAAACTTAATTAATTTACTATAAATTACTACAGTACTGAAATATAAATGACTAATGACTGGAACATAATAAAATGTATGTCCAATGTTTTTTATAAAACTGAATAATTGAAATAAATGGGCACTTAACAGGGGAAAACTACAAACAGGAACATTACACTAATCTAGACTATTAAAATATCACTGTGTGCTATTTAACCAAACAGCTCAAATTTATAATTGTTTGAATGCTCTAAAGTGATCCTGTTTCTCTTTATTGTTTGAATGCTTCAAACTATAGTGATGTCACGGTTCAGTGTTGGTAGGACCCAAAACGCAGGAACCCAAGATGACACGAGGCAGGAGATGATGTAAAGTAAAATCCTTTTTATTAGGATGAGTAAAACAAAAATATATCCAAAGGGGCTGGAGCCAAAAACCAATAAATCCAAAGGGCTGAGCAGGAGCTCAAACAGTAGAGACAACACGAGCAGACTGACAGAATTACCACAATGGACCGACACAAGACAAAGACAAGACCGGGCTTAAATAGACTGGGAGGAACAATTAGGGAAACAGGAAGCAGGTGTGTGGAGTGAGGGCTGGAGGGAAGACAGGTGACACCAATTATCCAAATGGGGAAGCAGAACCAAAGGAGGGCAGATAAACACAGAACTGAACTAAAAGACTGAGGGAAGGACTCACACACACGCAATCACACCCAAATACACTCACGCGCACTGAATTGGGGAATGGACACACACTCACACAAACACAAACATACACTCAGTTGGGGAACAGACACACACACACACACACACACACAAACACAAAGCTGGGGACAAAGAGGCTGGAGCTACAACAGGAGGGGATGGGGATGATAGAATACCTACAAACAGAAAACACATCAATGAGACGCAGACAAAGGACACATGAGGGCGCTATGAGACACAAAAGGGAAGCTAGAGAGGGATGGAGGACACCAGGAGGCACATGAAGGAAGGGGCAGACGCAGACCATGACAAGTGATCCTGTTTCTATTTATAGTTTATTATTGTGCTTCTGTATGTTTTTTGGCATTTAAATACTTCCATATTCATTATTCATTGAATTCATTACTGTGTTTGTACTAGGGCTGCACAATATATCGAAAAATTATCGTCATCGCGATAACAGGACGTGCGATAGGCCCATCGCAAAGCACGTCAAAAACGGCGATAAATGTTTGGTTCAAACATTTCCATCTGTGTCATACATCAGCTTTTTGTAAACCAGCTCTGTTTTTTACGCGGAAGTATTATTTGACCAATCAAATGTAGTCCTTCTGATATGCGGCCAATCAGATGGGTCCGTTCACGTAATACACCCGCCCTCATCATCTGAGCTGCTTTTTAAGATCTAGGTAAACTTGTTCAATTTGGGGTTAAAACAAAACGTTTTCACATATTTTCCATGTAGTTTTTTTTTTTGCCAGTTCCTCTTCTGAAAGGTAGACAATTGTTTTTCTCTTTCCCTCAGAAAATCTTAATATTCTCCTAGTTTGGCCAAGCACAGCTCACTTCCCAATTGCAGCAACAGCCTTATATCATAACCACATTAGTGGAGAAAATGCTCAGTAGCAATGAGAGAATTTGCTGTTGCATTTAAGTGATGTTAACTATTATTTAACATTCAAACTTACTTTCAGATTTTTTCATTTATTCAAAAACCCTGGTAAGGGATGTTTTTCTGTATTTGGAGCATCAGAAAATGTTCTATGGTGGAGGTGATGTTTTAAAGTCACTGAGAAACTGCATTCATGCAGTTTGTTGTTTTGCTGCTAATACAGTAGCAGGTGCAGCTGCATATTTTTACAATGAAAATGGTATGTTGTAATGGAATTCATGCATTAGTTTTTGTTTGCTTTGAACCCAGAGCAGACATCACGCCAGACGACATCAACACTGCATACTTTAGTATTTGTTCATTTATCGTGAGTAATATCGATATCGCAATATTAAGCACTGTTATCGAATATCGTAGGTTTTCCTAATATCGTGCAGCCCTAGTTTGTACACAAATAAATACAATGAACTCTTACTCTTATAGGCTAACTTTAACCTAGAGACTTCATTCAAGTTTCAACAAGCTCACAAGACTTTCAGCTATTACTGGTTAAAAAATATTTTGATATCTATTACAGTTTTTCTAAAATCTCAGGTAGAAGTTGAGGTACGGTTTGAGATTTTCAGAAAAAAAAATCACAAAAATTATAATGGGCAGAGATAGGAGCAATGACCCTCCTTTGCTCCATTTCTGGCATTGTCCCGAGAGAACCGTAGGTCAGATTGAAATGAGACGCACGCTGGCTTACAGCTTACGAATATCCCATAGTTTTGAGCTTAATTTATGAATGTACTCCAAACATTGTGGTCGTTTTGTTCATTTCTTTGAGAATATTTAAATTTAAAAAAATGCTTCCCACCACTCTAAACTGAAAATTCCGCACTCTAACTTTTGACCTTCACATTTTCTGGAAACAACTCTTTCCAACACCCAGACCATTTGGACTACCGAAAAAAATTATATCTCAAAAAGTAGGAATTTTTGTCAACTTTTCAGAAGGGTTTCATTTAGTGCTGCTGAATTAGTAACGCACGCATTTCTTATCAGTAACGGAAACGACGTTATGATAAAAGATGGTAAGTAATTAGATTACTAGTTACCGAAAAAGCTATTTTTTTATTGTAACGCCATTATTTTAAACGGTGTTATTCCCATCACTGTCCATTACCCAGCTATGGTGGATGGATTTAGTTGGATACATAAATTTTCTCAACGTGTAAGTGTTGTTTTCCTCGTTTAATAACTGAAAATAAAAAAATAAACATTTACCTGTTTTCACTACACCAGCAGAAACATTAAGAAATTGTGAAGAGACATGCCACAGGTTTGCAAATAGCCTCCATAGTATCTAGCAGTGTTATTTAAATTAATGGAACAAAGACCAGCTGTCAGTCCAATCAGAAATAATCTCCGTTTCTCCAAACGGAGGTCGCTCAAACAGCTAAAACAGGGAAGTTTTTTTTTTTGCTTGTTTGTGACATTTAATCAGAAACCCACTTCAAAAAGCCTAAAGCTTCCTTTCAACTGCAGAAATTATAAAGTTCATTCAGCTTAGATGCAAAAAAAAAAAACATTCATGCGTGCAGCTATTTACAAGTTAGGGGGTGTAGCAAGCTTTTCAAAAGAGAGGGTGTTAAACAGTTTTACCTCTGCAGAAAAAGTTCAAAAAATTACTCTTACAGGGCTTTTCTAACATGTTGGCTCCAGTAAATGATAACAGCTACAGCTGTTCCTGAATGAAACGAGTTCCTGAACTTTAATAACGAATTTTATTTATGTCAATTCCAATAAAACCGCTGCTGGAAACATTTCATCCTGGGTTGTGCATTACCTCGACCTCCCAGAGCGCTTTGGAGCTGGTGGCGGAGGTAGCCGACTGTCGCAGGGTCGTCCTGAGAAAGACGTGCTGCTGCTTCTTGTAAAGGTCACAGGTCAGGAACTTCTCCTGCTCAGCATGGAACAGCCTCACCACATCACCCTGACAAAAAAAAATTATGTATAAAATAAGATGCAAAAAAATATATACCTCTCAAATTTTTACCATCTCTAAGAAACACACCCCTTTCAAAATGTCTTCCCTGTAGTCACAGAACTTCATGAACAGGTTGACCTTCCAGCTGGTGCTGCAGTTGACGGCGTTCACCTGCAGAGTGAAACAGGCGGTGAGAAAACATACGGCTCTGACTGAAGGAAGCCACACCAACGTGTCGTACCTCTTTGCAGCCGGGGTTATCTAAAAGCTCGATATTGCTGGCGTGAAGGGGCTGTCCGGCGTTCACGGGCATCAGCACCACCTTGTCTCCAGCCACAATCTTGGCGTCAAAAACAGACGGAGTCAAACAGAAGCAGGAGACACGAGCTGCACGGTCGTTCACATGACTGAGAAGGAGCGTGTGAGTGCATCCATGCAGTTTCCTGAATGCCATTGGGGTTTTTGCCTTCACAAGGAAGAGTAGCTGAGCCCTTCTGAGTAAATACCGTGTTTAGGGGGACTTGAACTCATACGAGCTGCTGGTGGAACACTTTTAAAGCCGTTTCTGCAGACACCCACATGCACACAGTGGCTGCAGAAAAGCGTGGCTCAAACTCTAATCAACACAGCGCTGGGAAGTTTGTCCACACACACACAAAAAAAGAAAACCCTCAGTCCAACAAGCTTGGTAAAAAGGAGGTGCTGCATTCATGCATTTCCACTTCATTCTGATTCCAACCTTATGCACAAACACCATGCACAATCGAGAGCAATACCTTCAATCATAGGATGCTAAAGCCAGAAGAGAAGGACAAAATCAGAGACGTTACTGGAACATAGCCACTGAAGGAGAGAAATGCCAAGTCTTGTTTGCAGAAATCCACGTCTGCAGAGGGAAACCTACATTGTCTCCTTCACTGCGGAGCTTCCAGAAGGGCTGGATGTTGAACCAGGAGCCCTCGTTCCCATCTGGGTCCAGAAAAACCCGCATGGCGTTCTTCTCGAGCAGCGCAGGCAGCCGTTTGTTCACCGTCAGGTATTTATTGCTCTTTATGTGGAGGAGCTGCAATAAAAAAAAATCAATCAGCATGGAATAAAGTTAAATAACTCAGAAAATCCAGGATTGAGACACTTTTAGCTGCCACTTGTTTTTAAAACCTGTCTGAGGTGTCACAGGCTGAACGACAGGAACAAAAGCTGGGTAAACAGAGATAAAACACCGCTTTGTGCTGCGGACGCCTGAAAGCCGCAGGTGTTTGCCGAGCTGCCACGCTTCACCTGAACTACATTGCTGTACTTGACGACGTCTCCGAGGAGCTTCTTGTTCTCCGATTCATTCTGCTTCTGCTCCAACTCTGCAGCGTGCTGAAAGATTCAATTAGGAACAAAGCTGGAAATTTACAGAAAGGTAACGATGAACATTTTGATTTCCTGACAGAAAGAAAAAGTCACACCTTTAACTTTTTAAACAGCTCTCCCTGATTGTTGTTGTTTCCTTGTTTTCCTTGTTTCGCCCTCCAGAACTGCTTCTGGGCCGAATACCTGCTCATGGGACACACCTTGAAGAGGCAATCTGCAAAGGATGAGATCAATTCAGTTTCGGCAGAGGTCGGAATCCAGACACGTCCCTCAAACGCTCTAATGGGCCATTCCCATCTGTACCGGGTCGGCCCAGGCCGGGTAGCGTAGGTTGTTTACATATCTGGGTGGCCTGGTATTTTTCCGGGCCAACCAAGGCTCATTCTCAGCCCTCTTCTCGAGGGGGTCTGCTTCAGGCCGACCAGGGCCAACACACCCACTGCTGACAGCAAATTCACACCTTCCATTAGAGCAAGCCTCTGATTGGTGGGTAGAATCAGCCCACATGGGCTTAAGGCAAGGATGTGAGGAATCAACCGGGCCAGGCTGGGGCCGACTGGGGCTACCCGGCCCGGGCCGACCCGGTACAGATGGGAATGGCTCATAAATCATCTCATCAGCTGACATGGCTTCTAACGAGAAAATGCCCAACACACCTCTGAATTTTTTGGGAGGATTGGTGAGGTCGCCGGCTTCGGGCTGAACCACACACCGATCGTCGACAAGCCTGCAGAGAGGAACAACATAAACACTAAAATGACTCCTGAACACAACAGTAATCCTGCCAGCACCAGAACAGCACTCATCCTGCAGCATGCCATTTCGGCTAAATGCAAACCCAACGAATATTAATTTATTCACCGGGATCCAGACGGGGCACCTGCAGGGTGGAACCAGAACCTGGAGTGATGCTGAATCACTTTAGCCCCACTTTGATCTGATATTTTATTGTTTGTTTGCTTTTTGTGGGGATTCTCTTGTTCTTGTTTGAGGAGAATAAATAGCAACTGGCACAGGAAGTACACAGGAAGTGTGTCATAATGAGAGAACAAACTGAATTCATCCACTCAAGCTGTAACTGATTATTACTTAATACAAAAGTCTTGTAGTTAATTTACATATGTTATCATTTATGACCCCATCTTCTGCCCTGCCTCAGTGTTTACCTTGAAGAGGACAAGGTTAGCTTCTAGCCGTCACCTGGTGTTTCCTGATAAGCATCTGCTCACATTAACACGGATCTGGCACCAAGGACAAACTCCAAGGCTTCACTCAGACTATGGAAAATGCATTCAAAGAATATGGAGTCATTTCAGTTTTCTACAGATAAAGCTGAAGTTTTCGCCTTAGAAGTGTTTTTATTTTATGGTTTTAGTTCCTTCAGAGGCTGGGAGATGAATGTTCAGCTGAAATGTTTTACAGAAATACTTTTTAAGTTAAATAGGTAACAGATGGAAGACTTTTACAGTCTTAAATGGGATTGTGTACGTCACATAGAGGTAGGTCTGATTATTGTTTTGGTCATGCGACGGTGGCACAGGAGTTAAGTGCTCGCCCCGTAATCAAAAGGTTGCAGGTTCGAGCCTCGCTCAGTCTGTCGCTGTCGTTGTGTCCTTGGGCAAGACACTTAACCCACGTTACCTGCTGGTGGTGGTCGGAGGGACCGGTGGCACCAGTGCTCGGCAGCCTCGCCTCTGTCAGTGCGCCCCAGGGCAGCTGTGGCTACATTGTAGCTCATCCCCACCAGTGTGTGAATGTGTGTGTGAATGTGTGTGTGATTGTGTTGTAAAGCACCTTGGGGGGTTCCAGGACTCTAGAAGGCGCTATATCAAATACAGGCCATTTACCATTTACCATGCCTGTGCCAATTGCCAAACAGGAAACAGAAGATGCAGCGGGCGGATGATGATGTTTTTGCATGTGTGCACGTTTGTCTGATAAAATATCCACTTTATGAGATGATTATCAGAATTCGTTAGATGAACATCTACCTCGGACTAACTTTTGGATCTGACCCATTGGACACCACAGCTCATCAGTCAGTGAACTAAAAAAAGCATGGCTGTAATCCAGATTTACAGATATGGAGGTAAACTTTAAAGTGTTCGTAGCTGAGAATCATTCATGACATATGATCAGTCATGGAAATAAACCAGCATTTGTCATAGAAAACTTATCAGTCATTTTCTACTTCATATCATCCGGTTTCATCTCCAGCCCTTCTGCACAACAATCACATCCATTCATCTCGTCCACAAGGGAGAAACATAATGCCAAGCACATTCTCCAAATTCATACGAAGCTGGCAGCTCTCATCGAGTGAGACCAGCTACTGCCACAGCACGATCAGCGTCATTCCTCGCGCGGTCTAGAATGTCCTGTCACTCTGCATCAGAATTACATCCATATGAGTAAGAGTAGAGCCCTGCAGGAAATATTAGCGACTGCTAAGTGGCTAATCAGGAAGGAGGCCAGGAAAAGTGTCCTGAGCTCATAAATAAGCAAGTAAACTGCGCTGAGAGGCTTCAGCACGGCCTGTAACCAAGTTAAACATAAACCACAGATAGGTCAAACAACCTGGAAACACACACACACACGTACACACACACACACACACACACACACACACACACACACACACACACACACACACACACACACACGCAATCTAATAATAGCTTTCAGCGAGACTGACACAATGACAGAAAAAAATACAATAAGAAAACAGGTTGGATGTGTTTTCCTGGGTGAGGGTTTGTCATTAAAGCTACAGAGGAAAAGCTAAATGGTGAAGTTTCTGGCAATGCAAGTTAAAACCTGCAGGAAAATCAGCGTGATCTACTTAGGTCTCACACACACACACACACACACACTCTCTCACACACACACACACACACACGTACACACACACGTCTTTCTATTATAGTGAGGACCCTCCATTGACTTCAATTCATTTTCGTGATTTCACTATGCCTAACCCATACCCCAATCCTAACCATAACCAACGCTGATCTATTCCTAACCTTAGCCTTAACTAAAAAGTCCTCATTTTGTAGGGAAAATGGTCTAAATGGTCCTCAGTATGTAGTATGTACAAGAACACACACACACACACACACACACACACACACACACACACACACACACACACACACACACACACACACACACACACACAAGTTTAGAGGTATGAATCACTAAAAGGAGAGAAGGTGGTTCTAATTAATGATGAACTCCAGGTTTCAAAACAAAATATCTAAAAACGATGTGAATAAAAAGACAAAAGTTGAGTTTTTGATGGAGTTTAAACTTTAGTGGCTCATCGAGCATTTCAGAATAACTTGTAGGTTACTGTGTGCTGAGACTGGCTGCAGCTCAGCGGCTCCTGCAGGCCCTCCGATTCCGCAATTTCTGATAAAACACTCGGAATCTGTGCCAAACTTCCTTTTTGTGGCATTTCGTCACAACGGGAGGTGTGTGAACAATCGCTGCTGGGCACTTTTTGCTTTTTTTTGCTTTTTTTTTCTTCTCTTTCACAGCGCCCGGGCTCACCGCTGCCACTTGCATTTGCATCACTGCAACCCTGTTGCAAATAAGGGAGCTTTTCAGCTCAGCGTTCATTGTGTCTGGGCCGACACATTGTGAATCAGGGAACGTTGTTTCATGCAAACGAGCAAACTGAGGACAGGATTGACAAATGTTACTTTTACAAATCATATGATGGTTTGTGAAAGGGTGGCATTTATTCATTTATTTATTGCTCAATTTAAAGGGGCATTATGGAAGTTTGACAGCCAAAACATGTATAGAAATAATACATTTCTTCTTCATACATTCTCCTGCAATGTCCTGGTCCTGTAGAATGAGCCCTGGCAGAAAAAGAGAGCTGCTCGGGTCGAGCAGGCTGCTTCATGCGCGTTCACGCTCACGCATAGCCCGTAGCATTTGCTATCCATAGCTTTAGCAGCAGAGAGTGAGGTAGTGCCAACTCAGCGACTTTATTGCCGTTCCTAACGCCTAGAGATGAACCTAGCTACATTTCTGAGGACCCTTAGCTACTTTCTTCTAGATATTTCCTGCAAACTAGCAACAAAATAGCCATTTTTGCTCCGAACCGTTCTTTGAACATTGTTTCAGCTGTAATCAAGGATATAAAAGTTACAGATACAAAAGATGTAACTGTCGCTGTAGCTCACCTAGTAAGATGTCAGACTCCAGGTGGAAGACCTGGGTTCGATTCTGGATGTGAACATAATTTATTTAGAGTTTATTTTTTACATTAATGGTATATTTTTTTACAGTAAGATGCCCAAATTTTGATTTGAGACTCGCCGAACGGCATTGAATTCACAGATAAAAAAGATGTGGGTTCAACTTTCATTTTGGAACAATTTTTCAAGCAAGGGAAGGGAATGATCTGAGCATGCAGGAAGACTGACCCATCTTAAACCTTTGTCGGCTGTGCTGAAGAGAAAGGTACAGAACCAAATTATTTAATTAATTAGCTGCGCGTTCTCCTGTCCTCTGTCCTCCGGGCCACACACACACACACACATACGGGAATGTCTCAGCTGTTATTTTCGTTAAGGAGTGTGCACGTACAGCATGCGCGCCTCGTGCACGAGCCTACTATTGAAGCTGCTGTTACGCTTTTGGCCTGAGAGGGCAATCGCGAGCATAAAAATTCAAAACTCCATAAATTCCCTTTAAACATTCAAACAGAAAGTTATTTGTGTTTCAGAGTTCTTCTGGATTTCTGTGAGGTTATCAGCTCATGAGGAACTGTGAACAAATTAGAGCGATATCTTGAGTTACTATTTTCTCCGACTGTCCGTGTTAAAGAGAAACTCCTTTTTTTTTCTCTGCAGCATCTGTAAGTTCTCATCTAAAAGCATTCCAATCATTTAGTTGACTTTCTGTTATAACTCCACCCTCCAAGAGCCTCTTGCACAAGAAACTCTTGTTAGACGTCTTCATCTGGCCTCTCGGGTCATCTGTCAGCTAAAAGCAGGAGGACGAATCATCAGGTCGGCTGTTCCAGACTTTGGGGTTGCTGCTGACTTCAGCCTTCAGACCCGTAATGCTTAAAATACAATGACGTACAATCTGAGTCACACTTAAACCATAAACAACAATCAGCATCTTTCAATGAAAAGGTGAAACAAACTGGATTTATTGAGACTTTACCTGTCATGTTCTCAAAAGCATAAGTTATGACTCATTGGTGCTGGGTTGAGGGTCTGAGGCAGTTCTACACCTCAGCCATCGAGTCCACCCTCACCTCCTCAACCACCGTGTGGTGAGCTGGAGCTACCACCAGGAACAAGAAGAAGCTGCAGTGGGTTGTACGATCTGCTGAGAAGGTCATTGGCTGCTAACTCCCCTCCATGCAGGGTCTGTACACCTCCAGGACAACGAGGCGTGCAGGTCGGACAACAGCTGACCCGTGCCACCCTGGACACAGTCTGTTTGACTCGCTCCCATCGGGCAGGAGGCTCAGATCCACTCGGACCAGAACCTCTTGCCACAAGAACAGTTTCTTCCCCTCTGCTGTTGGACTCATGAATGGCAATCCTAGCGCTGCCCACTCCAGTCGCCTGGTTTCAGTCACATGACCCTGTTGTGTTTGTACCTGAACTGATCAGCTCTGATCAGTACCTATAGCAACCGTTTCTCTAAGTATTGCCACTTTATATCATTATTTTATCATGATCATATTCTTACTTCCTATATTTACTTATTTCTTACTTTTATCTTTCTTTTTGCACCAAGTACCGTAGCAATTTCCTGATGTTGTGTTTCTCGCACGTATGGCAATAAAACCGCTCTGATTCTGGTTCTGGTTCCACTCCACGTCTCCAATGGTACTGCAGTAGACCCGACTGATCCTGGCTGATTGTTGACATCATAACTAATTATTTATGAACAGCCTTGACGTCTCATCTTTGCTCAACTCTTCAGCGAATTAAGCTACTGATCATTTTGCATATTTGACTTTTCATTCATATATTATTCTTGCATGTCAATCTACTGTAAATCTACTTCTCACTGCACGGCAGGTTAACTGTAATGTAATATAAATACCCTGCAGTATAGCCTAGTCTAACAGATCCAACTGCTGCATATCATTAAAAAGTTACAACTAGTGATGTGACGTTCACGAATGAATCGAATCTTTTGAACGAGTTTTCTAAGTGAATGATGAGAGCCGAGTCCCTGTAGAGAGCCATTCATCTTAACAAACCTCCCCGGAAGTCGGTCAAACTCACCCGCTCAAACCCCACCCACCGCTGTGACGGACATAGGAGGAACCATAGAAACATGGGTTTATATACATAACTTCTGCGGCTCTTTGAGGTAAACCACCGACTAATGAATGGCTCCCATGAAAGAGCCGTAAATCCCATCACTAGTTACAACAAGAAAGTGAAACTTAGACTAATACCAACAGGTCCTACAAGTCCTTATCTGTTTTCGCTCATTAACGGATTCCAAAGAATCAATATTTGAACCACAAAAAACGCAATCTGGCGTTCTCCCATGGGTCCCCGAACCATATTTTTGGGGATTACAGTCAGCAACCAAAGTTCAGCCTTTTTTTTTTTTTTTTTTTTTTGACACATGTGCACCTAGGAACCACGCTGTTTTGAATTCCTGTTGCACTTGTGAAAAGAATTTCCTGAAACGTCGTTTGCGCGCTGCCAGGCCTCGGTCGCCCGCAGAGAGACGCACGCTCGAGTTTTTCAAGCGCTTAGACGCGAAGGTGAGGAGGGAAGGAGGGGAGGCAACGTGTGTCAGAAGCACTTGATGTTACCTCAGACCTGAGGAGTGAAACAAGTGGGTGACTTACCCCAAAGTGCTGATGAAGCCATTCACCGATCCTTCCGCGTAAAGAGACACGATGTCTCCGATATGGAGATGGTCTGCCATTCTCACAGGAGAGCTGCTGTAGATCAGCTCTGCTCGTCCATTTATGACCAAATGGCACTCCTCTTCTCCTCTGCTGAGGAAATCCACACGTTCACTGCGCGCAGAGTTTAACACAAACCACAGTGATTCGCTTTCATTCCTCCAGTTTTCTCACAACAAATGAATAAAAGAGCGAAAAGTGCGCTAAACAGCGGGTGGTGGGTCCAAATGCGCTGTTTAAAGTGACTTATTGAACTTCTTCCTGTACGTCAGTGCGGAGAAACGCTCCTCTTCTCGTCTGCTTCAGGGGGAGGAGACTGTGTTCCTGTCAGGGTTCAGCAAATTCCCTCTGAATTCGCTCTGTTTGGTTTGCAGGCAGCTGCAGCTCACAGGTCAACAAACTTATTATTTATGAGGAGAAATCTATGGAGCTCCGACTTTAAAAGAAACACGCCCTCGAAACGGTCATCTAATAATTTGTGACATGGAGCTTCATGTCAAAGTCGAGTTTAGGATGTGAAATGTTTTGTTACCTTTTACCCACATTTATTTGGGAAAAAAAGAAAACAGAATCAAGTCTAAATATCTAAATGTTAAAATCTAGATGTGAATGTGGCTTTTTAAATTAATTATCAAAGTGGCACAAGAAGAAAGGAGCCTATTAAAAGAGAAAACACGCAACATAAATTTTAAAAAGTGTAGCTCAATAAGCTGGCAAAGAAGACAAAATTAGACCGTTCTAGAAATCCATTAGCCTAGTGAACTAGACCAAATTCTTGCTTTGCAAAGTATATATTCACATATATAGTCTGGCTTGCCAGGCTAGAAATCCATTTCAATAGGCCTGAATTTGTGCATTAGCTTAATATTTTTGAAATTGCCACAGTTACGTCGTTTTTCTAATGTAATGCAGTGATTTAATGAAATATATGCTAAACGCGTCATGTATGTGATCAAAACATTGTACTACATAAAAAAATGTTTTTGAATTTTGTTTTTATTTCCCAAACACCATCAATGCCAACAAGCAACCACAAGAGGGCGACATTTGTCTAGAAGAAGCAGAAGAGATTCAAATGTGACGAGACGATTAACTTCTTTACAGTTCAGAAATATTCAGTTCTCCACTTTGACTTATAATTAAAGTATTCTCAAATGTATTAAATTGTATTATGCATTTGATGCATGACCGATTTTTGGATGTTTTGATTTTTTATGTTCTTTTTATCAAATAGAAAAATATGGGAAAATGTGTGCATTTTGACTAACATGCATTATTATTATTATTATTATTATTATTATTATTATCAAATGTTATTTCAGTATTATTATGTGTATCAAGACATAATTGGTAAGAAACTGCTGTTTTGAAATGACTGTTTGTAAATTATTAATGGTTTTATCATTTCTAAATGTGAAACCCTCCTAAACACCATGCTGTCATTTAAAGTGTACCATCTACCACTCAGCAGCAGAGGGCGCTCCTACATCTTAAAGACTTGTCAATCAGACCTTTATGGGGTCATCCTCTCTTTTTTTCCATTTAAAACACAAACAACAAATTAATTATTTCACACAGTCTCCAGTGAGGAGGTTCCTCGCTCTCTATGAATAAAATTATAAATAAAACATGAAATCATTCATACTGCAGTGATAGCAGAAGAGATAACGGTTGTAAAATGAGACACACACACACACACACACACACACACACACACACACACACACACACACACACAACCCAAAAACCCATTAATGACAGATGTGTCTTATACAGCGCATTAGATAAAAACAGATGTATGCTGACACATCAACAGATTGTTTCTTACTGAGCAGCATCTTTACTGCCACATCGCTATAGAACAGAGCTTGATTGTATTTTTAGCTTGTAGGCAATTTTTTTTATTCTTATTGAATCGGAAAATTCAAATGTGGATGTGGAATTATGTCAACGTATATCATAGAAAATTTGACTACAAGCAACACCATGACTGAAACAGGAGTTGGTTAAAAATAGTTAATTCTGTGTTTGAGGATAGAAACTTGAGATAGAAACGCGGAGGGGTGAATTCATCATAAAATGCAAGGGGTGGGGACATGTCCTGTCTAAAACTACACCTAGAGGTTAAAAAGTAGCATTTGATAAAATTGCTTTGAAAGTTTTGAGATATGAATCTGTGTTTCTCCAAGCTGATGCCTTCAAAGGCTTTACTTTTCCTCAGAAAACAACACAAATAAACCTTAAAATAATGATAAATGCTCAACTAAATGTAGAACAACGATAGACAGATAATGTTTTTTGTGAGACGGTGATTAAATGTCACATGACACTGGTGCGGCAGTAATTGATGGCTCCGTGTAATTTTAGCCCAGCCTCATTCTACGTGTGACGTCATGAGGTTTCGGGCGTACGTATGGACGGACGCCAGGCTCGCGGAGTTTAATGTTCCCTATGCAGCCGAACAGTCGCACCTTCGCCACCAGCAGCGCTTCTCCCTACTCATCGCGCGGGACAAGTAAATAGTTTATGTACTTTCACCAGAGTTTAATCCATAAATCCGACTTTCATTCTTTTTATTTTGTTTTGTTTACCTCCGACATTTCCAGCCGGGCTTTCCCCCGGCCACACTTCACCGTCCGCGGCCGAAGCAGCGCTCGGATGTGAGAAAACCGAGACAAGACTTTCTCAGACAGGTGCGGTTTCCAACTAAGTTTAGCTCTTTTAGCAGCTGTTTATTGTGATAAAGTAATAAATTGTTTCTACAGGTCGTTGTTCATGTGGCTTCGACTCAAATTCACCTGTAATAATAAACGTTTTACTCATAAATTTTAATATTTGTTTAGAAAAGTTGAGCTAAGATAACTCCCCTTGCCGTTTTCAGAGACAACAACAGCAACAGTTGGCTTCTGCTCATACAGGTGAGCTGTGGCATCATTTCCAGCTGTCGCTCCTATTCACCAGAGGCGATCCTACATGCTAACTAAAGGGGGGCATTGGAAGGGCACCCCAGAAATTTAACCCCCTCCCCAGGCCAGATAGTTTGTGTGTGTATGTATGTATGTATGTGTGTGTGTGTGTGTGTGTGTGTGTGTGTGTGTGTGTGTGTGTGTGTGTGTGTGTGTGTATATATATATATATGTGGGAGAGAGAATTTTTTAATGAATTTAGTAGGAGGCTTCAGTCAGTTGCTACATTTATTTATGTTTTTATAATTTAATTTATAGATTTCTTTAAAATAAAACCAAATTAACTCGCAGTGTGATTCCCCTTCAACAAAAATGACTTGGATTATTTTGACGAATGTTTTTTGCGTGTTTTTCGTCTGACAAGGAGAAATAATGCAGTACGTTAAATTTTATTCCTTTCAACATCAGACAGAATAGTGTTGATTCAGATTCAGATCCCCTTTCATAAGATTTAGATGTACGTTTGTGGCATAGTTGCTAAAGGGAGTTGACATACTTTTCTGATTTTCCTCCCCAGAAACAGGAGACGTAAACGACGAGAAAGTAGAATGCAACAGGATTATTATTTGACGTTAACCTGCAGGAGGGGAAGCCGTCCCACTGTAAGATTACCTGTTTCCTGATCTCTGCTGCCCTATAATAATGCCTTTGAGGTTACAATGTCTACACTGAACCACGTTATTCTGACGAACAAAGACCCGGACAATGAAAGGAAGCTGGATTGGAGTTACATTGAATGGGCTGAAAATGAAGTTGTCACGGCAGGTGTGGTGGACGCCCAAACGCAAACGGACACGGGGCCCTTGGACCACAAGGAGACTCAAACCCTCGGCCAAGTCATAACGCACATAGATCTCACACGGACACACCCCAGACTCAGACATTTGTCTCTAGTGGACACAGAGAGTTTGGTAGCACCTTTCTTCCAGTTTGATCGCCAAGCCCCAGGGAGGATCTCCACATCCCCCACCTTGAGGAGGATGAGGAGCATGAGGCAGATAGATCATCGTGATCCTGGTAGAATGGGGATGACTCCGGAGGAGTCTTTGTCGGGGAGCTCCCCTAAAAGCCCCCTGTCTCCTACGCACAGAGTCATGTCTCCTCTGGCAGCGAGCCCTGTCTATGATGAAGAGTCCTGTCACGATCATAGGACGGTCTCACAGAGGATCGGATCTCTCGGATCAAAGACCTCTAACAACGGGATCAGTTCCACCAAACAAGAATGTCACAGCACCCACCCTGTTCTTATGGAAGAGTCCGTGCAGGTGAGATATTAGCAGAATTCTGTTTTGAACAAGTAATTTGCACACAAGACCATCCTACATATAATGTTTCCCCCTAACCTCAAACCTCCCATCATCCCAAAGTGTTTTTCTGTTGCACACTGTGGATTTTCACCCCCGGCCTTTAATAAATTAAATAGGTAGACATTCCTTCCTCGCGGAAACCTTCTGTCCCTCATTCGGCCTTGCCTCCCGCAGCGGTCGCTCACAATGCGAGCTTTTGACGGCAAATGAATCAGCAGTTACATGCACTGACAGCTCTGACCAAACCCACAGCCCCGAGAGCCCTGGGAAGTGCTCTCCTCAGCCCCCCATTCACTGCAGTCAGCAGTCACCCAATAATGGAGGGGTCAGTGAGCGATTGGGGGAAGATAATGGGGAGATCTATTCATCAGCTCGTGGGTCTCAAGCGAGCACATTCTCAGTAGAGTGCCGACATTCTCCCCCAATATCAGAGTCTTTTGAATCCAGGCGTCCACTTGAAACACTGCAACAAATTTGAAAGTGATATAGTGGTTTTGGTGGTTAGGAGGTTTGTGCTCCTTCTGTTTGATGCAATAAATTTGTTTTTCCTCCCTTATAGGAGCATGGACACACCCATAGCAGGTAGGTGCTCTTTGTTTTTGCACCTTGTCTGTTTGTTTGGTCCGTCTGCACGAAAGCAGAGGATGTTTGCCAGAAGTGTGTGAGAACATATTTGCTTATCAGGAATGTAGTAAAATTCCCTGCTGCTAACTCCCCGCTCATATGTATTTTGTTAGTTTGTTGTCCTGTTGCTGTGCCCTTCCATGGCCTCTTTCCGCTATGAAGCAGCGCTACTTTGATAAATGGTTTAATCACAAAGAAAAAACCTGAGCTCCACCACATCAAAGTGCCTTTGACCTCATCTCTGGACGCTGATTGGACCTTTTAAGCTTTTTTCGAGCCCCTTTGTCCATTCATTGTCATTTGGATCTTTTGTTAATGCTTCATAAGCTTGGTGGGTAAAGTTTTGAGAGTCCCATGGTTATAGTCGGGCTAGATGAACCCTCATTAAAGCTGTTTTCCCTCACCGCCACCTACGCCCCTCCTAATGGGCCACGAAGCTCTTCCCTTCACCAGATAATTAGGCAGCTTTTGTCCCAATAATTACACCTTGGCACTGTGCCCGCTCCAGTGTCCAGCCTGTTCCGAACCGATTTGTTTTGGAACATCATTATGTCTCATTGTGTTGGAACAAAACGGCCCTTTTAAACTTTTTTTTTTAATTTACAAGTGCTCTCGGAGGCTGACACAGAGGAGGCTTTCTTCAGTGTGACAAAGCAACAGGATGTCATTGTGAGGATGCTGTGGAACGAACTGCAAGGGGGCGCTGACCTGGTTTAGAGGCGTAATCGTGCCTCTCTTACCACCCCGTCAGCTACAGCGGCGCTCAGGTGCTGATGCCAGCTATTGTCAGCTGTGCTGTGCACACATAAAGCTGGAGGTTTTATCAGTAAACCTGGAAGAGCGCTGCCAAAGAGGGGATGGAACAGTTGGAGCTTTCACGTTGTGACAAAAGCACTCTGAGGGGAAAACGTACCAGGTTACTTCTGTTCAACCATACACTCATTCTTCCTTCTAGTGTACAAGCGAGCCCTGCAGCTATGTGTCTTTCATCATGTGCAGGTGCAGAATTCAGCTCCTGCATGAGGGGATGTTTAGTTATGTAAGAGGAGGGATGTCTGCTTTTATAGACTAAAGTTGTTCCTCTTGCTTCGACTTCTGCATCCCTAAAATGTTTCTGGTGGTGAGTGAGGATCTAGTAGTTGTGGTTTATTTAGATTGAGGCCTATTGTCACTCGGTTATCAGTTAATCTTGGTTCAGATCTCCTTTTAGAAGCCGTGAACCTTAAATATTTAAACAAAGCCAGAGAGAGTTGTTTTCAGTCACTGACCGAGTGTCTGAGTGTTGAAGGAGGAGCTTTCTTTGGGTTAAACCAGCCCGTCTTGTTGCTATCTAACTGACAGCAGCCACATTTAGCTTCTGCCTGTCTCCTGTTAGCATGCCCAAAGTTTGGATCGTGATTGCTAGTGACGCGCTCACCGATCAAGTTTTTCTAGGCGTTGAAGCTTTTAATTCTTTATAACAAATGAAAAGATTCCCTGGCCGTGCCCTCTCTGGATTTCATGCTCCTCGTTTTAAATAATGAATCATTTATGGAGGGTTTCTGGCTAAATTTAGCAAGTGAAACTCCATTTTTACTCTGACTGGTAATCCGTAACGTACAGCAACAGAGGATAAGTTGGAACACTTGGGAACAGTGGCTGTGAGAGCTTTGCCCGAGGCTAAAAGGCAGGCCTGTGTTTTTCCAGCCTAAGCCGTACCTCAGTTACGAACCATGAATAGGGACCAAGAGGATTATAAGTGGCACACATTGACAGCTGGTCTCCGTCCACACAAATGGGCTGATCCAGTAATCAGCAGTTTTCCAACACATGAGCCAGACAGGCTTAACCTACATCATATCTGCTGCTCAAGTTAATCACAAGTTTGTGGCACAAAGCGGATGGTAATTCAGCTGTGTAGCATGACAGAAGGATTTCTGTTAATTTCCTTTGTCTCTTCATGCACTTTAACCACCGATGAACTATTTTAGACTTCACATTTCTCAGATATCGGATTACCATGCTGGCACACCGTGACAGGCTGTTGTTGGCCCAAACTGTTGTGAAGAACTGTCTACTCATGTCCTTGTTTCAGGCTTCATGAGAGGAGGCGGAGCTCAGTGGTGGTCAGTTTACCTGGATTGGATGTTTCACCTGGAGACCTTTTTGTGTCAAATGGAGCGGCTAACATGATAAACGATTCAAACTTATCAGGTACAGTTATTTTATTCTTTCTTGTGATCAGATATAAGGTGGGTTTCTGTGGCTTAATGCCTGCCGTAGAATGCGCTCTGAACAACCTCAGTTTGGAGAAACTGAGTTTACTCTGATCAGATTGACACGCTAAAGGCTAGCTGGGGCAGGGCCAAGATTTAAGTATATTTCTATCTATTTTATCAACCTTTACAAGGTTTTTGGTTTTGAATTAAATCAATTCTGATTTGCAGTAAACTAACTTTAATTATAAATATCATCTGATTAACTTTAAAACGATAATTCTTGAATAAAATATTTCCACGTGGAGGATCTGTTTTGCTAGCATACATTAGCGCTTAGTGATGGCGAGTTCACAAACAGGGAAGACTTTTAGACTTTTATTGCTGCTTGGAATGGTTCATTTATGGACCAAAATTATTTACCCAGAATTCTGTGTTAGAATGCCAAATGTAAGCATTAACAGTAATGACTAAATGGACTCTTCTGATTTTAAAAAATGTTACATTATGGCCAGATCTACTATGAGTTGAAAATTAAGTTTAAATTTTATAAAATGTCTCTTGTGACAATTTTAAGATTACAGATGTAAATACAAGTAAAAAAAATTAAACAGATTTGATAATTGGCTGATTTCAAATAAAAATAATCTGACTTGGAAGGGCGAGTTGTTCCCCCCACCAGTCTGACGTATTTTCTGGTTCATGAACTCACCCTTTCAAAGTGAAAATTCACATTAGCCACAAGCAGGTCTTCTACCAGAATTCTAATTTTCAACTCAATCTGAACAATAAATAATGAATCTGTTCATTTAAAATTTCTGAACTGAATCAGAAACAATCTGTACAAAAATCAGATTATTGGTATCAGCTCCAAACAAAACTCAGTACATCTCTAATTTTAATACTACAATCTACTTTGGTCCTCACTCCTCTCATAAGTCCAGTCAGCACTAATCTCAGTTTCTTTAAACTGAGGCTGTTCAACTGGCAATTTAAAAGAGGTGATTTTATATTTTTCTTTTGAAACCAACTTTAAAATTTGAGTATGCAGTATGTAAAAAAACAAAATTGTATAAACAGTAAAACAATTTAAGACTTAACCTTTGAACCTTTAGAAGATAAAGAGCTGATTAGGAAAGTTTGCTTAAGTAAACCAGAGTGAAAGTAACTGTAGAAGTCTGTAGAAGTCTGTTATTGAAAGTTGACCATCGAGGTCCACGTGGCAGGGGTGAGGTCACCCCTGCCACGTGGACCTCGAGGGCTAAACCATCAATCCTGCTCAATGGTCAACTTTCCTCGCGGGGCCACCCCCATTAGGACAGTGGGAGGGTTAAAGATGCACACATTCTGCAGAAAAAGTTTTCTTTTTTTTAAATTGTTTATCAGTTTAGTCAGTGTTCCATGTGTTTTATGTTTGCAGATGCAAAGAAGTTGAAGTGGCCTTTCTTGAGACGTAGTACGGTAGGGCGTGTGTGTGTGTGTGTGTGTGTGTGTGTGTGTGTGTGTGTGTGTGTGTGTGTGTGTGTGTGTGTGTGTGTGTGTGTGTGTGTGTGTGTGTGTTATGTGGTGTGTTTTGTTGCTTTAGTAGTGAGCCGTTGGTTTGCACATTGTTCTCTGACCCACTTCTCCAAGAAGATTAGTGCATTTTTTCTTATCCCTTTTGGGTCGCACCGTTTTTGTAACTGGTAAATACTTGAAATGCAAAAACGGAGCCAGACTCGTCAAATCAGTTTTGTTCACTATTGTTAAAATTTGCACACAGTAACCAGAACAAGACAGCCTAAATGCACACCATAACTGTTTCTGCTTTTTAAATATGATTATAACTGAAATGACCTCGTGTCTTTGTGATGTTTGTTTTTTTAGACTAAGGGGAAGTTGCAGACAAGCACAGTATCAGATATTGAAAAATGCCTTTCAGCTGTGCAGATTCAAGACTGGACACATGCAGAGTTTCAGAAATTCAAGGTGAGGAACGAAGAGCGTCTCTGCTCTTCATGTCAGTCTTTGTTATTGATTCAGGCTAATCCACGCGGTTTGAACTGCAAAGACCTGATTTCCAAACCAAATACAACTCCGTGTTTACCAAGTGAGTCAACGGGAGGCCTCTGCAGATTAAAGCACTTAGGCTAAACCAGAATTTCATGACCCTAACTAGCTGGGTTTGACCCAGAACATGTTTATAAACAAACACCAGATTCTTGATGGGGAAAAAAAGCTTCAGCCCAAATTATTTTCCTCTAACCTTCAGCAGAAAATGCAGCTTCCCTGTCTGATGAGGTGTTCTGATTTTCTGCCCAGGACTTTTCTCTGGTTGAGTTCCTCCAGGATCAGGTCCCACAGGTGAGTGTGACCTCTGACCCTCAGCTTCTAAAGAGACAGGAGGCCATCTGGGAACTGTTCACCAGCGAATGTGTCTACTTCCTGGATCAGCTCATGGTTCTCAAAGAGGTGACTTGTTTATTCATGAAACACACACAAACACACACACACACACACACACACACACACACACACACACACACACACACACACACACACACACACACACACACACACGAAACCCAAATAAAATCTGCTGCTTTGTTTTCCTCATCTGACTCTATTCTTCTTACTCCATAAGAATCTCTTTGGGTTCTCCTTTCCGGTGGATTAGAAATTAAATCCCAGATAAACAACCAGCCTTTTATTAATATTTGATTTTTCTTCCAGGTGTTTTTGGTGGTGCTCTTAAACCTGCAGCAGAAGAACTGTCTCAGTGACATCGACTCATGGAGGCTGTTTGCCAATCTGAATGAACTTTGCCTGGTGAGAGGCGACGCACGCTAGAGATTAGTCATTATGTAAATATTTAAAACAACTGCAACCTTCACTCACATGAAATGTCAAAATAAAAGAAGATACAGAAAACAAACCACATTTAATTGTTTTTCCATAGATTGCATAAAGTCACATTCTTGTTTTTAGGTTATTTAGTTTCACTAATCTAGTTTTTATCAGATTATGTTAAATTTAGCCACCAGACTTCAGAGATGCACATAAAAAATTAAGAGTAAAAGACAAAACATAAATAGTCCAAAGGTGAAAATTTGAAAGCTAAACCGGTCGCTAAAGCTTGACGAATTATTATCTTGTGACTTCATTACTGGGCACCAGTACTGATTAGTAAAATACTCTAAAATATTAAAATTTGAATATTTATCTAACAACCTTTTAAATTTAGAGCATGTTCTGTAAAAAAGTTTTAAGATGCAGAAAAGCTTATAAATCCTGGATATATAGCCAGAAGCACCAGCTTTTACCAGAAACAGCGGCACTGGTGTCGAGTTGTGAAGAAACTGAAAGTGCTGAACGCCTCGTGGCCTTGTGGTGACACCTGACTCTGTTTTCTGCTGCAGGTGAGCTCCAGTTTCCTGAAGAACCTCCTGCGTGTCATTAAGCAGATGCTGGAGGTTACACAAGGTGACGGGCCCACCTTGCTGGAGCTGCTGAGGAAGGCAAGTGTGACTCGCATGTGAACAAACATCATGACAACCATCTTTAATGAGGAACTGTGTGTGCGTGAAGACGGAAAACTGCAGTATTCAAGCAGGAACCCTGTTACTGTAACAAAACCATTTCTACATGCAGGATGGGAACTTGTGTGGGTAAAAAAAGAGAACTTGTGTGCAATAATTCAAGTTTAGTGCTTTGTTTTTAAATTATTAAACAGTTTTATCTGCAGTTTGCTCATTTATCACAGTTGTTAACCTATGCAGCACTGGAAGCTTTATTTTGCTTGCGTGCTGGTAGGTGCCTTCTTGCCATTTTATTTATTTATTTGTTTTATCTGCAGTGGGATATCTATGAGGGCCCATCCGTGTTTGTAAAGTTCTCCTATCTGTTGGCAGGCCTTCCAGGAGAGCATTTGTCCCTGCCTGGAGAAGTACTGCCTCAACTACACCTCGGCTCTGCTTTATCTGTACAACCTGATGCCCAGAGAGGACTTTAGATCATACGTGAAGGTAACAGGCGACCGTTCACTTGTTTGTTTGTGTCAGGTGGAGAGGGTGGAGGACGTTGTGTACTGTGAGAAACCTGCAGGTGAAGTGTGCCAAGAATGAGCAAGGACAAGCAATTAGCCGAGTGTCAGAGGGATGAGGAATGTCAACATTTTGCCTCGTGAGTTTTGTTCAGGGTGTTTATTCTGAGATTTCTCTTCCTTTTTGTCATCTCCTCAGTGGTGCGAGAGGAGTGAGCATTGCCGGAGGCTGCAGCTGCGTGACCTGCTGGTGGCACCTCTGCAGAGACTGACTCGATACCCGCTGCTGCTGCGTAACGTGGCAAAGAAATCTCCATCAGCCGAGGAGACCAGAGGCCTCCTCAGCATCGCCGAGCAAGTGGACGTGTCTATATGTGAGCCTCGCTTAGGTCTTCACCTCCTTCTGTGTCACCTGTCCGCACTCTTGCTTAATCACCAACTGATTACAGGCAAACTCGTTGGCACGATGAAACCCATCTGATCACCTGTTTAGTGATTTCAGTGAAGTCACTCAGGAATCGTGTTCAGCATGAATGTTTATAAGCACCACATTAAAATTCAAAGGGAATGAAAAGCAGATGTAAATGCTGTTATCGCTCAACACGGAGATTGTGTCTCTAGGAGCTGCGTGTTGGACTGCAGCCAGCGTGTTTTTTGCCTGCAGACCTGTTGTGTCGGTTTGTTATGAAACTAGAAGGATAGGCTGTGGGAAATGTGCTTCACCTCAGACGTTCGGTTCTGAACAATCCAAACCAACGAATGTCTGATGAAATGAAAGGCTGGTTTTACCACACCTGCAACTTTTTTCAGATTTTTAAATCATTTGCTAGTATGTGCTAAAATGACCCTTTACAGTGTTAATGAAAGGCCATCCAGCCCCTATCGCCCTCTGTGGCCAGAATATTCCACTTGCAACTTCAGACTGGCGGGCCGCTCTGTTGGGACTTGAACTGACATACCTGGCGCTGCAGTCTGCTTCCAGCACATTTCCTGTATGTTTTAGATCATGAACACAGCTGATTTGTTTCATTTAGTGATGAATCACTTCTGTAGACACTAATGAAGGCTGGGAGACATTTCAGCTGTTAGATTAAGGCGTTAAAAAGACAAACGCACAGCCAGGACATTTTGCTTTCAATTCAACAAATGGACACTAGGGGGTGCCAAAAGCAGGTCAAACTGTCTAGTTCCCCTTTAATGGCTGTGATTGACAGAGACGCTCAGGTGAGGTGTGCAGATGTGCTGGAAGAAGGTTTACAGAAAAGTTAAGAGCTGTAAACTCACAGATTAGTCACACCCATGTTTGTCGTTGCTAGGCAGATAAAAGAAGATAAGAATGACCAGCCATGTTGGCAAAATGTGATGAACTTTGTTTTATAAAAAAGGAAAATGTGGTTCTTCTGACAGTTTCCTGACATGTAAATGTAAATAATGCAGGTTTAATCTGCAGATATTAAATTAGCACATGCACAAAAACAATCTGTGCTAATAAGATGTGCTCATTCAAGCTAGCAGTAACAGAAATGAGCAGCCTTACGTTCACTGGATTTATCAGTTTGGTGGTTTTCTGTCTTGTAAATTTTAGAATGTGCAGGTAAAGCATTTGCTCATCTCTTTTTATCCTGTTTCCAGGTGATTTAGAGGGAAAAGTCAAATGGTTGGATAACTACAGAAAGGTGAAGCAGCTGAGGGATGCTCTGGTGTGGATTCCTGTGTGGGAGAGAGACAAGAGAACCTTGATCCCAGAGGTTTGTCTGCTTTTAAGTGCAACAAAGTTGCAGAAATGCTTTTAAAATCTGTATCTAAAATCAGAAATCACTTACAACACTTTACACGTTGGTGCGTTTTTATCTTGGATGCGTGCAGAAGATCCTGGCCTGACATCTGCTTCTTTTTCAGAGTCTGAAACATCTCCTGAAGGCCGTCACGCTGGAGAATCTCATCTCCCACCGAAGCCTGCTGCACGAAGGCAGGCTGGTGCTCACAGGTGTCGACGTTTGTTAAAAATCCAGCACATTTTTGCACATTCAGCACTTTTATTTGAACAAAACTTTTAAACTGTTGTTGTTTTGGTTCAATGCCAGAGAACACAAAGCAGATCGATGTTTATCTGTTCCTGTTTGACGAATTCCTGCTGATCACAAAGATAAAGAGAAACAAGAAGGTATGTCATACTCTCATCCAGTTCCCTTTGGACCAGATTTTCAGTGTCTGCGCATGTCTCAACTTGTGTTCTGACCTTCCGTAGAGGTCCGTAAGTTCTGAGCAGAACACTCTGAGGCTGCAGCAGAACCAGGAGCTGGATCAGCTGCTGAAGGAGGGATGCACCTTCACCGTTCTAGACCAGCCCATCTCTTTGGATCGACTCCAGCTCAGAAACATCGATCAGCTAAATGCCTCCAGTAATTACATCGTTTCCTGTCTTTTAGCAGAGATGAGGAATGAAATCCTCATGCTGTGTCTCAGTTTATTTATCGTTATTTAACAAAATAATTGTGTTTTTCTCCACAGCATCGGGGCTGCCCAATTCCTTCATAATAATGCATCACAACCGCTACCAACAGTGTATCGGCGCGTTCATCCTGCAAGCGACGTCAGAGTCTGCCAAGGTAGATCAGTTCAAACCTGAAGTCCTGACAGGTTTCAGAGAGCGTGCAGAACAATCAGGGCTCAGAGTAAACGGGTCATACTGATACGGAACATCAAACACCTTTTTATTGGAAAGTAACATCAATATATTTGTTTTTCCACCTACAATGTTTAAATTCCGGTTTTGCTGTGCCCAAACGATTTGAGAATGACAAACACAGATTTGTCATAAAGTTTGCTGCATCAGATTTTATGGTGGCAGTTTGTCCCAAGTTCCTCTTTGCCATGTCGACACACTTGGTGCTAAAACGCTCATTTCTAATGCAGTTGTGAAGAGGGCTTTAGGACGTACTATGAAGTTCTCCAGCATCATAAAGCTGATCCACCTGCAGCATCAGGACATCAGCAGTGTCTCTGTAGGACAGAGAGGAGATGTTTGGAGGATGGTCCGGTGTCAAGTAGGGCAGCAAAGAAGCCACCTTTTCTCCAGGAAAAACGTGAATCTGCTAAGAGTCCCGGGATTGTACGGCTGGGTACTGGAGTGTGTGGTGAACCCTCTTTCTGACTGTTATGGGTGTCTTGAGTCCTGTGTCACAAAGGGTGGTATGGCTTTTCCAGCATGATGGAGCGCAGTGCTATATGACCATACGATAAATGGCAATAAAACCTTGGAGAGCTTCAAACATCGTGAAAATCAAAACTCTGAACTTTTAGTTACGTGTAAGAAGTTCATTTAGCACGTGAACAGATAACACATTATCTACTGTGAGATTACAAACATTTCTGCTTCTGAACACGTTCTTGTCTCACTGTTGTCCAGAGAGAGTGGATGTCGAAGATAGAGGGCGCATCGACAGCTCTGCTGAAGCTGGACTCTCAGCCACCACGAGTGAAGAGCTCCTCCCTGTGGCTGGAGTCTTCACAGATATGATGAACCATGGCCTGAGCTCAAACTACAGTCAACGTGCACTTCACTGTCCCCAGGAGTCCGTCTGAGCGACGGCTCCAGCACTAGGATTGTTTTGTAAACTTATTTGTGGCCTTTTAAAGGCAGCTGCTGTATCAATGTACAATAAATATTTGATTATGTACAAGTTGGTCATTTTTCTTTCTTCTTTCAGTGGAAGGCTTCAGATAAATACTAGTTTATGTTGTGAAGTGTGGAGAGAGGTAATGCAACTATTTGTAAGTACTGCTAACAAAGCATGTATGAAAAGTACACTGAAATTTTTTTTGCATAACATACAAATTATGATTTACGATATTCCTGGAATTAAATATTGCAGTTGTCTTAAATGCAACAATCCAATAAAAACACTGTAGTATACATTAATGCACAGGCTGAACAGCTTACTAAGAAATCTTTCAATTTAAGTTAAATTTTTCATCACAGGTGCCCTAAACTATTTATGAACTCGGGGAAAAATAATTAAAATTGCATTTATACAGGGAAACTTCCTAAAATGGATAAAAACATGCGCCAGATGTTCAGAAATAACCATTAAAATAAACTGAATCAGAACTTTCTGAATGTTTAAGCACATTTAAAACCTTTATGCATTAAATAAACCAAAACATAATATAGAAACATACTGCAGGTTTTTATTTAAATTCTTCATGACAATAAGAAAATCAAGTGGTGCATTAATGACATTAGTTCCCTCCCCCTTCAGGTCAACTGAAGTCTCACAAACCGGTGACGCCCGGTCTCCGCTCACAGCGGCGTGCAGGATCCCGGCCTAAGGCACACCTTCCCCCAATGTGATGGCCGAACACGGAGAAAGCACGTGAGCCTGTTAGAAGTCATCATGTGTGATGTAATGACAGCAACACAAATCAAGCTGAGCATTTGCACGTATGCGTAATCATTTTGTAAAAATGAGTTAAGACACTGATAAATCCAAACACAGTTACACTGTTGACACGTTTCTACGGCCACAAATATGCAATTTATCTCTCCCGTTACAAACATTTACAAAGATAGATCTGACGGCGTTTAGTATTAAAGAGCTGGAAATGCTGAAGCGAGTAAAAAGTTGGCGTCTTGCACACAGACGAGACCAGAAGAAGATAAGGTGCAAATCATTTATCTACAATTCAGAGATCAGTCAGAAAGCCTAAATCTGATAGAGGCAAGGGTACAGCCCCGTGCAAAAGTCTCCGGTCACTTTTTATTTGGGATCAATATTTCTTCAGGTTTTCTCAAGCTTCATTATCATTTAACGGATCCTAATGAAGCTAAAATCCTCATTTAGGTCAAAATCTTTTGGTATTTTTCAGATTTAACTAAAACAAAACATGTAAAGACCCCATTTGTCAAGTTTGGACGTGTGTGTGCCAGCATAATAAAGCTGATCCAGCTGCAGCATCAGGACATCAGCAGTGTCTCTGTAGGATAGAGATGTTTGGAGGAAGGTCAAGTAGGGCTGGTGCTTTTAACTCTAAGTCCAAAAAAAAAACCCTGAAGAACCACAGATGAAGAAAATGAGTGACGGCTGGAGAGCTTTGAACAGTAATGTACATTTGTGACGTCTAAAATTTTAAAGTAGTGCTTTTTCTCTGCCAACCTGAGGTAGAAGGAACCAATTCAGCTAAAAAAACAAACGGGTGTGTCTTTTTTTTTTTTTTTGAGAAATTAAAAGTGAAATGGACATTCTTCAGTGATGAGGGAACGAACACAAAGCGCTAAATGCATGACATCTGAAACAAGCTGCAGAACAGTGTGCATAGTCTGGCTTACAGTGTTCCCACCCGCTCCAGTCTGCAGACTATTGCACAAGAGTTCGTCTCATTTTCTGTCCACACATATAAATTAAACAAAGCAGGAAACTACTCTTACAGTGTTTACATCTGGACAAAAACTCTGAAAGTAACCGCAGTACCTGAAAGCAGCAACAAAGTCCTCTGAGCTAACGTTCACACACACATGCACACACACACACACAGCTTCAACAGGTAGACTGTAAACTCAACATGCAGACCCCTTCAATGGCTAAAAAGCACCACGATTTGTAGAAAACACAGAAAAAGAACGCCTTCACACATAAAAACTGATCACCACACGTGTCGTTTCTGGAGATAAAAACATCCCAACCTGTGACTAAAACGCTTAAACGTTCAGGCAAAATTTAAATACTGAAATGTGACAAACTCTGAACTTTCACCTCAGCGGGAGTTGAGCTGCATACATTCTTTGGTCATGAAACAGACCGAATAAATGAATTTCTGCACACACACAAAAAAAAGAAACAGACAAAAGAAAAACCGTCTGCCACACAAAGGGAACAAGGCAGTAACTCGTTTAGCTTGTACAGAAAACAGCTGGTGAATGGGATGATGGATGGTTTTCTTTAGGGCTGTTCTTGTGTTCGTTTTAAATTCTCCACTTCTCTAAACTTAAAACATAAAAAATAACCTCCTTGTTTTACATAAAAATCAGACCGAACATTTCATGATAATTAAACACCTTCCATTCGAACAAATATACTTTAGCAAGTCAGAGTCACAACATTTACATAGAATTTGGCGTTGATCTCAAAAGGTGTGCGCAAAAAAACAGATTTCACTTCTAGTTTCGGATTAACAAACAAAGCGCTTTGTACAAATTTTAATAAAGTTACTTGCTTTCACCTTTGCAGGGCACAAGTTCTGTTATGAACTTGTGCAAACATATAATACCATCTGCTAATGACGGATGCAAAGAGATGATTGGTTATCTCAGTGTTCGCTCTCTGGCAGTCCACAGGAGTAGCAAAAGGCACAAAAACAGAAACAGACAATCCCAACTGCTCCCATGTCAGGAATCCCCTCAGCGATAAACACCAGAGCCCAGGGGGGACCACTTGGTTTCTCCTTCTAGTGCACATTAACATGCCCTTTTCTGCTTATTGGAATAGGAGTTAAAGGAGAGGGAGTTAAGGTGATGAGATGAGTGAATTTTTTTTCTCTATTTTTATAAAATCAGCCTTGGAGCTCCTCGAAACATGTCTCACACACCCGTACTGGCTTCTTGGACGATGGCGTCAAGGCGTTCCTCGATGAGCACTCGGCGCAGAAAATGTTACCGCAGTGTCGACAGTGGTGCTGGGGAGCACAAGCTGGGATGTTAGTGAACAAATCAGAGGAGGCGCTACACGTTTTCAGGTTTTTAAAAGTGCCTCACCTTCCTGACCGTGACGGTGAAGCCTTTCCCACAGGCCATGCAGTTCTGCACCTCGTGGTCCTCGGCCCACTTCCTGGTCAGACTCTGACACTGTTTGATCTGGAGCGACTGGTTCTCCCTGCCCAGCTCCTGCATGGCTGCCGTCGTGTCGTCCAGCTTCCTCCTGAGATCCACCACTTTGGCCTGCAGCTTCTCGATCTCACCTTCACCTTTTACACACCTGGAGCACACAGCAGAGGCTCACTTTGTGCCGTTTTTCTCCTCTGTCATCACCTCTGCAGGAAGCCTGATTATAGAACCTCCTTTTTAAATAAAACATGGACTTTGTGTTAAAAGTCCATTTGTTAACATTTAAAATCATCCACATGGCCGTTTTCAGCAGCTCGAGGAGGTGATACAAATAACAGGATCATAACTCACTCACTCACTCATCGCCAGAGCAGCGGCAGCAGCATCCACCCACCTCTCCAGGAGAGCCCGTCGCTCGTCCTGGTTGTTCTGGACCGTCGCCTCCAGCACAGCGATTTCTCCTCTCAGCTCATCCGTCTGCTTCTCCAGTTCGCCCACCCTCCTCTGGCTGCTCTGCCATTCCCTCTTCATCGTGGCCATGTTTTCATTCAGAGCCGTCACCTGAACGCTCAGCTTAGCTTCGGCCTCTTCGCTCTGCTTCACCAGCTCTTCTCTGCTTCGCTTCTCTGCCAACTACAATGGGAGGAATCGATCCAATCACAAACAGGCAGGAAGTGAACGAGCGACAGGTGTTTTCCGTAGGCGGCCTACCAGCTGATCCTGGACTTCCTTTGTTTTGGCGTGGAGCTGCTCCTCCCTCTTGCTCCTGCTGTCCCTGGTGGTCTGGTGCTCCTTCTGCTCCTGCTTGAGGGCTCCCTGTGCCGACTCCACCTGACCCTGCAGCTCCAGTTTCTGCTGGATCAGCAGCTGTTTGGCTTCCTGCAGCTCGCCCAGCTCCTACAGATCAAATAGGTGCTGATTTTAGTTTTTTACGACATAGATTTGGATGTTTATAGACACAATGTATTATTTTGGGAGGAAGTAATGCCTCCCCCTCACCTTCTCGCTCTTCTCTGCAAGCGTTTTAAACTCTGAAGCTAGTTTCGTATTATTTTTTTCCAGCACACTCTTGGCTTTGTTCAGCTCCTCCACTTTGCTCCTCTCCTTCCTCAGTTCCTCCTTAACCTGACTCTGAACGTTTAAGCACACTTTAGTAAATTCCTCTGCAGCCAAATTAAGATAATTGTGCATTTTTAACAGCTCAAGGTATCCTTCCCCCTACCTCTTGCTTCTGCAGCTCTTTCACAGTTTGCTCCTGCTGTTGCAGCTTCTGACCTCGTTTGGAGACCTCTTGTTCCAACGAGCTGCGGCCCACTTTCAGCTCCTGGATCTGAGCCTCCAAAGCAGTCTGATGGGTCCGATTAGCAACCAGCTCCTCCTGGGCCAGATTCAGTTTGTCCTCTGAAGTCTGCAGTCCCAAAACAAAAATAAACCACTCAGCATGACTAGTTAATCCAGGTTCAGATTAGGATGATGAAACTGCATTTTTGTTGCACCTTGAGGTCTTGACGCAGAGCTGAAACCTCAGACTCTTTGCCGTAGAAGTCAGACTGAAGTTTGGTAAAAGTTTCCTGATTTTGCTCTAATGTCTTCTGCAGCTCGGCTGTCCGGCTCTTCCCGGATTCCACCTCCTGGCTTAGCTCCAACACCAGAGCCTTCAGTTTGCTCTCCTCTTCTGCCTGGAGTCACAAAATCATGAACATATGAATAAATTCATTCATCTCTAAATGCTTTAAACACTCACATCTTGATATGAACTAGACAATGCTTCTTACTTTCTTCACACTGACTTCCTGTAGCTCCGTCACTCGGCCCCTAAGCTTCTTAGCCTCCTCTTCTAGGGACCCCTGAACCGTCCTGAGCTGGACACTCGTTTTCTCCAACTCTGTCTCTTTTTCCTTCAGCGTCTCTCGGGTCTTTGAAAGCTGCTGGTCCAGAGACGCCAGCTGCACTTTCAACTTCTTCTCTGCCTGACATTCAAAACAAACTATGAAGGCGATAATACAAATAATAATAAAATGTATGGTTTGCTTTAGAGGGTTACCTCTCTCATCTGCTCCAGCTGCTCCTGAGATACCTTCAAGTCTTTAGTGATGGACTCCTTACTTTTTAAAAGCTCTTGTTTAGTCTTCTCACTGGACTTTTCCTGCAGGTTGAATCAGAATAAATCTCTCAGTGACGACCTGTTTGAGTGAACAAACTGATACAGACTGAAAAAAACCACCTTCTCCTCCGTCACTGCCTTGTGGTTCTCCAGCTGAGTCCGACTCTCCTTCAGGGCTTTATTTGCCTGTTCTAATCTCTCCTGTGCAGCAGCGAGCTCCTTCCCCCGAGCTTCCTTCTCCTGTTGAGCTTTTTGCAGCTCCGTCATCAGGCTCTGAGTTTTCCTGTCCAGGTCTGCCTTCCGAGTCGCTCCTTCCTGGGTCACCTTGTCCAGATTCACCTTCAGAGCAGCCATCTCCTGCTCACGGCGCTCCAGCTGCTGCTGAACGTCGCTCAAACCAGCAGCCGTTTTCTTTAATTCCTCTTGTAGACTCTTAGCTCTTAGAAAAGGAAACAACCGTGTTCTGTTAGAGGCTACAAAAACACATGCTTGCATCTTGAATGAAATATGTCTCACCCTTCCTTCTCAGTTTCCAGGGAGCGCTGCAGCTCCTTGGCTTTCCGTTTGACGTCCCAGTTTTCCTTCTGGAGGTTCTGAACCTCCTGCTGAACCTGATCCCGTGTGCTTTGAACCTCCGCTACCTGGGACTCCAGTTTCTGTCAGATTAGAATAAAAGCACATTACACAATTCAATCACACCAACTGCAGTAAAACCTGGACCAGGGATGCTCCTCATCAACACAAACCTTACTGAGCCCCTCCAGCTGCTCAACTCGCTGATCTGAGGCCAGCAGTTTGTCTTTACATTCCTTCAGGTTGGTTTCCAACAGCGTGCACTGTTCCTGTCGCTCTTTGAGCCGTTGGACTTTCTCTTCAACCTTCTTCTGGACTTTATTCAGTTCCTACAAAAAGTAAATAAATAAATAATCCAGCAGATCAGATCGAGTCAACGTTAGTGGCACCACAGGAGAAGGTGGACCTGCTGTTTGTCCTGCAGCGCGTGCTGAGCAGCCTCCAGGGTGTTCTCCAGGTTGGCCTTCTGAGCAGCCTTGGCTGCTTCTGCAGACAGCAGCAACTCGGTTTTGGCCTTCAACTGAAGAAAAACACACCAACAAAGCATTTTTAGAACAGTAAAATGTGCAGCATGGCAAACTGTAGTTGAACAGACCCATTAGAACCAGTAAAACTACCTGTGCGTCCAGCTGGGAAGCCTTCTCCTTGGTGTCTGTGAGCTGGGCGGTGAGCTCAGTGACCGACGTCTCCAGGGTCTGAGCTCGGTCCTGAGCTGAACGCAGCAGAGTCTTCTGCTCCTGGACCTGCTTGTGGAGGTTGTCCTGGGCTTGTTTGTTGCTTTCTGATTGGTTCTTCAGCTTGTCAGTCAACTGTGTCACCTTTAAAAGTTTCATAAGAAGAAAAACCAGAAGCTTTACTGGACTTTCGGAATGAGTTTAGTCATCAGCATCAGGTTTAGTAAACGACGGGGCAGAGAGTGTGTGTGCGCGCATCCACCTGTTCCTGCAGTGCATGGTTCTTCTCTTTGAGCTGGTTAAGGACAGCCGATTCTCCCTCCCCAGCCTGGATTTTGGCACATAAGTCCTCTCTCTCAACTTCCAGCTGACTCACAATATCCTTACTCTTCTGAAGCAGAGCTTCCAGGTTCTGGATCTTCTGGTCTTTATCGCCGATCTGACGCAACACCTGCTCCAGGTCGTTCTAAAGCGCACATCAAAACCACATTGACATCTGTCCCAACAATCACCGGGGTGGAGAGGAAGCAGCTCAGAAGATGGAGTGAAGAGGCTACCTGTGCCTCCCGGAGTTTCCCGTTGGTGTTTTGCTGCAGTGCCTGCAGCTCCTGGTGCTGCTGCTTGGCTTTCTCCAGCTGGTGCTGCAGGTCTGTGTTCTTACTGGAGCTCTCCTTCAGCTGAGGAAAAAAAACACCAGCACCATTTTAGATTGCTGCAATAGACATTTTTACTTATGATCTAAAAAGATGGCAGATTTATTTTATTTTCAAACACCCAGAATAACATTTCTTCTGCTGATAATAATAAAAATGAAATCCGAACAAAAGTTTAGGCTTTTTGTAATTTCATGCTGTTAAGGTTATAAAATCTGAGCATGAAAATCTAAATCCTGGCCTTTGCTGAGCCCTCTGTGCTTTAAAATACCTAAAATGCTTCAAACAAAAACACAAATCATGTATACAACATCTTTTCTATGACATTAAATCCGTTGCAGGTGTTAGGAGTGAATGTTAATTCTGACTTGTTCTTCAGCACGGGAAAGTCTGAGCTGCAGGTCTGCTGCTTGCTGCTCTCGATCCTTCAGTTTCTCTCCTGACAGCTGCCTCTGCTCCTTCAGACGACCCTGCAGCTCGCCCACCTGCCTCTCTGCTTCCAGGAGTTTGGTGTGCAGCTGAAAGAGCGGGTAAAAAAAGGGAGACAGCATCAAACTGATCTTTACACTCGTATCATGTGTGTGTGTGTGTGTGTGTGTGTGTGTGTGTGTGTGTGTGTGTGTGTGTGTGTGTGTCTCAGCAGGTGACCGTCCTCACCTGACCGATCTCCGTCTGCTGCTGAGCACCTTGGCTTTCCTTTTCTTCCCTCTGCTGTTCCAGTTGTTTCCTCTCCACCTTCAGCTCAGCGTTCTTCACCTCCAGCTCACTGATCTCATTCTTCAGCTTGGCCACCTCCTCAGTCCTCTCTGTGAGCTCAGTCTGGGCCTTCTGAAGAGAGGTTTCTGTCCCCGTGGCCCGGGCCTGGAGCTCCTGAACCTCAGACTCCCTCTCCCTCAGGCTATCTTGGACTCCCTTCTTTGCAGCTTTCTCAGCTCCCAGACGCTCCTGCAGATCTTGATATTCCTTCTCTTTACACACGAGCTTTTCACACAGACTCTGGGAGAAGAGAGGGCTTGAGATCAACCGGGGTTAAATGGGTGGAAGATGAGAAAATGTGGCATTTGACGAGACATTAATCATCTGTCTTTTGTCATTTAAAACAGCTGCGATGAGCCATGGGAAGCCACCGATGGAAAAGAACACTCAGCCGTCAACAGTCAGGAATAAGCATCACTCCGACAGCACAGATCCCAACAGGACACGCAGAGCTGGTCTGAGCTTTTACAGGCAGCAGGGTGATAAAACAGTAACGTGCTGTTAATGACGCAGCCAGCTGCTCACGATACCTGCCCTCCACTTTAACACGCTTCTTCAGAGATGCTTTATTCTTCTCATTCATTCAATCTGTCAGTCGTTTTCCTACTGTCGAGAGATAAGCAGCTGCATCATAACGACACTGGAGATCCAGAGCTGGAGTCTAATCAGGGAGGCATCTATGACTCTGCGCTCCCCGTTTCCTGTACCTGGCTGCGATTGTGTTTCACTGTGACTGACAGAGGAGGCGGTGCAGCACCCCCCCCCCCTGCTGGTTTAATAATAGTGCTGACCATAATATTTATCAACAAGCAGCTGTTGCCAGAGATGACCAATGACAGCGAGGAATTGTGAAGCTGAGCAACAAAAGAAGCCTGAGATGCTGCTGCAGTAAAGGCAAATCTGCTACGTGCTTGAGATGTCACAGTGTGTGTGTGTGTGTGTGTGTGTTACCTGACATTGTTGCTGCAGGTTATTCAGATTGCTCTGCAGCTGGTGGATCTGTTGTGTGTAGACGGCCACTTCCTGTGGACCTTTTTCCAGCTCTGCTTTGAGTTGGGAGATTGTCTTCTGCAAACCCGCAAACACGTCATTTAGACCAATTCTACAAATATTTATTCAGAAAATGGAGTTAAAACTGTAAAAAAATATTGTGAAAAGACCGCACGTTCACAAAAACGCACAAAAAATAAGTTACACACATTTTCAAAACGGAACATCTGAAAAGATTCTGATTTAATTGTGGGATGAATTAGAATGGAGATGTTTTACGTCCAGTTTTTGAATCTTGAATATTTTGAGTGTTGCAGAGAGAAAGTAGAAGTGTGTGAGAAGCAGGAGGAGGGGGAGGACACAAGGACAAAGGTAAGTAAGGAGACAACAAACTGCAGGAGAGGGGCTGAAAGAACAACATGGCAAAGACAACTTCACTCTGACAATTATGAAAAAATAAAATGAGGCTTTCTTCTTTGTCTAATTTCAGAAACAGATTATTTACAAATCAAAAACAAAAAAATGAAAGGCCTAGTGTTCATGTCGTAGCAGATCCTCTACAGTAAAATCATCTAATGTTGATAAATTAAGTTTATTTAAAATTCATTAAATCATGTTAATAATATGCACAATTATCAGTTAGCACTCCGAGTGTGTTAAGGATGAGATTCACCTACGAACACCCAGTTTCAGCTCAATATGTCTAAAATTAAAAGGGTTAAATACAATTTAGTTTGCTAGCGTTGATCATCTGTGGTGTTTTTTCTTTTGCTTTACTAAATGACCCACTCCAACATTTTAGCTCGTCCACAAGATGCTGTTTCCACAAACAGCGCAGTCCCAGCTACTAACCCTTCATGTTAATCATCAGTGAGAAAAGAAATTTTACTAAATCCAGAAAAACTGGTTCTGTTGTGTGTAAAAAACAGAAAGTTGTTCTTCTAAAGATCATTTGAAGACAAAGATTTACATCCTGAAGCTACGTGGTGATAAAAATACTCCTCTCCTCTAGGATCCAGGGAACAAGACTGAATTATTCATCAGGATTTAATTAATAAAAGAACAACTCCAAAAGGGATATAACTACAGAAAACTAAACGACCTCATAGCCGTTTCTGATAAAGAAACAGATAACTTCACCATCCTGAAAGGTGAAGTGATGTCAGACTGGGCAAACAATAGAGGAAAACTGAAAGTATTTTCTATAAGAGAGTCTCCTAACCTCTGAGGTAGCGTAGTTAGCCTGTAGCTCAGCACAATGGTTTCTGAGGCGTTTGGACTCCTCCTCCTTCTCACGAGTCGTATGGTCCATCAGAGTTTGCACCTGAACCAGCTCCTTCTGCAGAACCTCCACATCCTCCACTCCCGGCCGCTGAAGCTAGGGGGCAGCATGGAGGCACAGCGTTAACCTGGTTCCTAAAAACTAGATCCTAAAGAATTTATGCGAAAAATGTCCTGTAAACTCTAAAGAGCAACTTGTACCAGTTCTGTTTGGAGTCTCTCGTTCTCCTGCTTCCCTTTTTGCAGATGTTCGCTCAACTTAGCAAGCCTCTGATCAGCAGCTTCCCTCAGGCTTTTCTCCTCATCGTATCGAGACTTCAGGTCTGAAACATACACACTAAGTATCAGAGCATATTTCTTATCCCCAATTTTTTTTAAATCATGTAAGACGTTTTTAAAAAGTAAATTTTTTTTAAAAATAAAACAGGAGCTGTTTGTTGAACTTGCATTGTGCTAAATACACAACATCTCATCCACATGCATAAAACTCAATGGGAACAGTGTTCCCAGTTTCCCAATCCCACACTGACCTACTATCTCTGTAGCCAGCTGGGCAGCCTTCTGCTCAAACAGGTCTTTCATCTGTTTAATGTTGAACTTCTCCGTCTCAGATTCAACCAGCTTCCTTTCAAGAACTGGGAACAAGTGACACGCGTTAGCGGCTAACGATTTGTGCTGAACGTGTTCTTCTGCTGTGATGCTTCCTACCTGAATCATCCGAGCTCACCGGTCCATCATTCTGTAAAAAGCAGCAGAAAAGAACACAGACAGTAGTGGTTTTAAATCCGGAAATCCATTTCATGTTAAATGTTTTAAAGGACTTACCTGCTGCAAATGTCCTTGCACTTTGTCTAGTTCCTTCTTTAGTTCTCCAGAGAACCACCGCTCCTCCTGATCAGGGAAAACATACAATAATGTTGTCTGAAAAACATTCAAGCTACTCCGCGGCAGCCGTAGTTGATAAATACCTTGAGAGAAGCATGCAGGTCCTGCACCTCTTGCCGCAGCATAGTGAGGTCTTCACTAAAAGGAAGGAATAAAGATCTAAGTAAAAGTCATGCTCTATAACGAACACAGTGGGGACAGTTTTATGGTGTCATAAACATGAACGCCAGCCTCACCGAGTGGGGGCCACATGAGCAGGGAGGTCTCCGGTGTCGTGGAACAACTCATAGTGTTTACAAAGCTCCTCTGCAGAGTTGAGAGACTTCATGCACTGAGGACAGATGAAGCCCTGCAAACAAAAACAGGTCAGAGCTGACCCAACAACCTCAATCCCACTGTTGGTTAAGAAATAAGCCATGCATGCCACCTCTGATGTATGATCTGGTGTTTGATCGTGGTTGAGGTCCGTGCTAGGCTGCTCTGACTCGGCGTTCTGGGAGCCTCCCTTCCCAGGAGTCTGCAAGATATGAAGAAGGCTTAGATGGACTTGTTTTCACATCTACTGTTTCTGGGTGAAGTTAACATTTTAGAAGAGTCATGGTCTTCCGTGCAACCCTTGACAACAGGTTATTTAAACAAAACTTAGGTCGATTTTCACCGATCTAAAAGACAAACATTCATGAGGTGTTTCAGAAGCGGTCTGTTCCAAAAAAGAACTGATTTAGCGTGTGAAGGACTTACATGAATTAACAAATGAAGTCAAAATGTGCATCAGCTGAAAAATACTTGTAAGGTACATTCAATGTGTGTATCCCGAAACGCACTTTGACCCATGTCAAACCAACAACACTCATAAACCTGCGCAGCACTGTTCTTATCACAATAAAAATGATTATTAACCAAAGCCATATCGACTGATTTACCAAATTAATTCATTATTGAGAAATGTATTGTAGAGATTCAGTTTGTTTCCCATCTGGTAAAACTATTAAGCCAAGCTTTGAAAACTAACTGAAATAGCAAATGTAAACATCAAAATAGGTGGTGCTCATAAGATAATAAAAAATATCGTAATTATTATCTTCCTTTGTAGTACAGTTAGATGTGTTTATGAATGTCTCGGGAACAATGTTAAAAGATTCTAAGCGCTTTAAATGGAAAAACATCAAAATCGTAATTTTTCATTAAATACTAAAGTTTTCATAAAGGCTCAACTTTAATAAAAATGCAAGACATTGCCGTTTTGGTAACATTTTAAATAAAAATAGAATAGAATAGAATAGAATAGAATAATCCTTTAATAGTCCCACAAGGGGAAATTTGGTTGTGTCAGCAGCAACATCACACATATACAAACAATGCAGGACACAGAACAGAAGCACAGTTATTACCTATTTACATCATGGACAATAGTTACCAGAGCAGAGTACAATACAGTTGTTTATATAGGCGCACACATATTGTGTAAGCATAGCAGGATACTGAAGATGTTAAAATAGTTTTAAAAGTTTAATACTACTAGTTAAATACTAATAATCAGTAATAGTTTGACAAATACTAACTGAACTTATCTTCAAATAATTTGTTCTAGCGTGTTTTCTATTTCTAGACATTCTTTCCCTCTGTCATATGTCACTAGATCGAGATAATTCAGGTTTTACGCTAATATAGTTGGAAGCGACCATAGACTGTACATACGGAAGCGACATGCACGTCAGTGATGCATCCTGGTTAATGTAGTCCCGCCGGCTATGTAATATCGCTAACGCAAAATACGCCAACAAGAAATTCCAGTGACATGCATGAATTTGTTCAACCCAACCATACACGGTATTAATAAATTCGATCGTCTTAAATTCATATTTTTGTTCATGCAGCAATTATCAATACATAGCTCTGGAGCTAAAGATAGCATTAGCGTGTAATGCAAACGATGAATTAACATACTGTTCTTACATGATTTAGCCAAAAGGAAAGCTAACTGTTTCACTGACAAAACGTGCTAATTTAGTCGTTTCTAACTCGACCAACCCTGTAACAATGTGTATGTTAGCCGTGTTATTTCACATGTCCTATTTTTATTCCTGTCAACATAAACATGAAACAGTCAACTGAGCCGTGTTAGCATCTTTTTGCTAGCTGTGTCATCGACAGCAAAGAGCGCTTGACATTTACACCACGACCTAACGGGAAAGCGGAAATCTTCTAATCTAACAATCTCATAAGATAAAAATAAGAGCTCCACCCATCTGCAACTACCCAAGAACCAAAACACACGTTCCCCACTATGAGAGCTAACATAGATAGGCCTGTTTCCCTGCTCCGAAAACAAAAGCGATTCTATTTCACTTAAAACAGAAAAAACGTTTACCATTTGTAGTATCCGTCTGAGCATGGCCACGACTGTGTTTGTCCCTACAGCAAATCTAAACGGTCAGTAAGGGACAAGTTTACGCCTCTGAACAACGAGCACCTGACCAGGATGAGGGAGCAGCAGCGGATGGGCGAGTCATTGGAGGGGGTGCTGAGCAACTGGATTCATGGTCCGCTCGGAAAAACGAAACTCACAAGCGTTTATCATCTTCTGATGACGTCACACCAAAACAGATGGATGCTACGAAAACATTCAAACAACTTTATTTAAATATCAATTTATATACACAACATGATACAGAGAAGTAAATATTCCAGTCATACATGCGAAATGAAATTATAAAATACGGTCAAACAATAGTTGGCAAACATTTTGCATTAATTGTTTTTCTCATATTAAAAAATGTGAACTAGCCGGCTTTCTGTCTGTGATGTGGACAAAATTTAAAATAAATGAATATTATTCAAATTAAAACGATTTATTAATCTAAAAAGTGCATGTTCCAGCATGGTGTACTCCTTAGTAAATGTTGTGTTCACTAAATTATTGTAGTGTTTGTAAAAGTCACTTGGTATGCCTTAACTAATACATCTGTCAAATTGATGTCTAATTGATAAAAATAAATCTTAGTAACGTCCTCCACATAAGAACTGAGATCAATGGATTCGTTTGTGTGATTTCTATTTAACTACATAAGGACAGCAGTAGCTCGAGGTACAGCGGGTTGTCCAGTAGAAGGTTGCAAGTTCAATCCCGACTCCGACAAGAGAAAGCTATTGTTGCGTCCTTGGGCAAGACACTTAAACCCACCTTGCCTGCTGGTGGTGGTTGGAGGGACTGGTGGTGCCAGTGCTCAGCAGCATCGCTCAGCAGCCTTGCTTCGGTCAGTGCGCCCCAGGGCAGCTGTGGCTACATTGTAGCTCATCCCCACCAGTGTGTGAATGTGTGTGTGAATGGGTGAATCACTGATTGTGTTGTGAAGCGCCTTGGTGGGCTTGTAGAACCCTATGAAGGTGCTATACAAATACAGGCCATTTACCATATCTGAGATTTTGACATTTACTCCAACAATATTGTGTCTATATAATTACATGAAATAAGAACCTTGTTGTTTGTTAGTGTTTATTGTTAAGTTGTGATTGGAGGGTTGCACTTGTTTAATCAAAGCAGACTTTAAACCTTTAACCAACTCCCTCAAACCCCCACCATGATCAAGAGTGACATGAGCTTAACACTCACAAAAAGCACATAACTGTACCAAAATATTCACACACTTGTGGCTAATCCTCTTCATTATTTGGCTCTAAGTCGGTGTGGGAATAGAGCTTCCTTTAAAAGCCAACACTTCTCTGAACCGACCTCCAGGAAATTTCAGACACTCTGTGAATCCTGCCTATCCAATATTCTTTACATCCGATATGCAGCACAAAGAGAACCCATTCCCAGCTGGATGCTATAAGGGAAAACATGTTTGATCAGTTATTTCACAACTGAAAAATGCACTTTGTGCAATTCTCTATTAATTTCCAACAAGTTGATATTGTACATTTGAAAAGCCACATTGGAAATACAATCAGTCCTTTTCAGAGATCCCAGCACCCCTCCTGTTGCAGGCTCTATCTATCGAACAGGTCCGAGCCTTGTGTGGAACAAACAACGTAGTGAGGCACTTTGTTGTCCATCACTCGAGATTGCTGGGCGTCGCCGTTGTTAGCAGGACCCAGCGTAGAACTACAGATGTCTGTGAGTCTGTGGAGGTACTCTGCGTGGACTGGCTTGTGGGTCTGCAGCACCTTGATGGCTTCATCAACCTTAAACCATTTCCTCTTCCTTCCTGTAGGAATACACAAAAAAAACTATCTCTCTTGCAGTAAATGTTTTGGAAGAAATGAATTTATCTTCACATATTGTCAGAAAATTTTATTTATTAAAATGGAACCCTCAGTTAATCACTACATGTGCAGTGGTCTCTAGTAGGAAGGAATGTCTTGTAAGTCGTTCTCAATGGAAAATATATACCGGTGCATCATTTCCAGGAACTTGCAAAGAGCCACATCACATCCTCTTATTACCTGATATTTGGACATTTCGCTTCGAATTGGATAACAGCAGAGCAACTACCACTGACTTGCAACGTGGATGTTTTATCTCCACAAATAACACAAGCCTGGAGGACTTCTGCTGTGTGGTGAAATTGCTAATGTTAGCTTCTGCTAGTTTAGCTGTTCTCTGTTGTTTCCTGGAAGCTAAAACAGCAGCCTTCCATCATGAGTTAAGATGGGTGAGTCCATGAATGTTAAGTGACAGTGAGATGCACATCTGTCAGGCTTTTCTAATCCTAGAGCAGCAGTCTGCAACTAGCGGTATGCGGGCCAAATCCGGCCCGCCACACCTTTTTGCCCGGCCCCCCAACTCTTTGGGCTTGAGTGCCTCCAAATATCAATAAGCATTGTCATGCTGTCCCTCTAAAAAAATCAGAACCTTAGCTACAAGACCATGCAAACCTTTTTAATGGGATTCCAACACAACTAAAACTACAATCAAAAGAGTGACCACATATCCCTATGTGCGAGTGTTGTTGCCTTTATTTCTGTCTTGCCACTAGAAATCCATATCCATATTATATATACATATATATATATATATAAGAAGAGCAGCATCCAACAGTGGGGATGGGAAGCTGCTGACGTCAACTGGGGCTGTAGTCGGACGGTGGAAGGAATACTTTGAGGAGCTCCTCAATCCCACCTACGTGCATTCCGAGGAGGAACCAGAGCCGGGAGACCTGGGGATGGAGTGTCCAATCTCGGGGGCAGAAGTTGCTGAGGTAGTCAAACAACTACACAGAGGTGGAGCCCCGGGGGCGGATAAGATTCGTCCTGGGTATCTCAAGGCTATGGATGTTGTAGGGCTGTCGTGGTTGACACATCTCTGCAACATTGCGTGGCCATCGGGGGCAGTTCCTGTGGAGTGGCAGACTGGGGTGGTGGTCCCCATCTTTAAGAAGGGTGACCTGAGGGTGTGTTCCAATTATAGGGTGATCACACTCCTCAGCCTCCCTGGAAAGGTCTACTCCAAGGTACTGGAGAGGAGGGTCCGATGGATAGTTGAATCTCAGATTGAGGAGGAGCAATGTGGTTTTCATCCTGGCCGTGGAACTGTGGACCAGCTCTATACCCTTGCAAGGGTGATGGAGGGGGCATGGGAGTTTGCCCAACCAATCCACATGTGTTTTGTGGATTTGGAGAAGGCTTATGACCATGTCCCCAGGGGCACCCTGTGGGGGACGCTCCAGGAGTATGGGGTGGGTGGCTTTCTGTAAAGGGCCATTCAGTCCCTTTACCAGAGGAGCGTGAGTTTGGTCCGCATAGCCGGTAGTAAGTCGGACCTGTTCCTGGTGAGGGTTGGACTCTGCCAGGGCTGCCCTTTGTCACCGGTTCTGTTCATTACCTTTATGGACAGAATTTCTAGGCGCAGCTGTGGTGTGGAGTATGTCGAGTTTGGTGGCAGGAGAATCTCGTCTCTGCTTTTTGCGGATGATGCGGTCCTCCTAGCTTCATCCAGCTCTGACCTTCAGCTCTTGCTGGGTAGGTTCGCGGCCGAGTGTGAAGCGGCTGGGATGAGGATCAGCACCTCCAAATCTGAGACCATGGTTCTCGACCGGAAAAGGGTGGCTTGCCTACTCTGGGTCGGGGGAGAGGTCCTACCTCAAGTGGAGGAGTTTAAGTGTCTTGAGACGACTCTTGTCGTGATTTGGCGCTATATAAATAAACTTGAATTGAATTGAATTGAATTAAGTATCTCCAGGTCTTGTTCATGAGTGAGGGTAGGAGGGATCGGGAGATCGACAGGCGGGTTGGTTCGGCATCTGCAGTGATGCAGACGCTGAGCTGATCTGTCGTGGTGAAGAGAGAGCTGAGCCAGAAAGCCAGGCTCTCGATTTACCGGTCGATCTACATCCCAATCCTCACCTATGGTCATGAGCTTTGGGTAATGACCGAAAGAACGAGATCGTGGATACAAGCGGCCGAAATGAGTTTCCTCCGTAGGGTGGCCGGGATCAGCCTTAGAGATAGGGTGAGGAGCTCGGACATTCAGGAGGGACTCGGAGTAGAACCGCTGCTCCTTCGGATCCAAAGGAGTCAGTTGAGGTGGTTTGGGCATCTGGTCAGGATGCCTCCTGCACGCCTCCCTGGGAAAGTGTTTCGGGCATGCATGTCCTGCCGACAGGAGGCCCCCGGGTTGACCCAGGACACGTTGGAGAGGTTACATCTCCAATCTGGTCCGGGAACGCCTTGGGGTCCTGCCGGAGGAGCTGGTGGAGGTGGCCGGGGAGAGGACGTCTGGAGCTCCCTAGTTGGGATGCTACCCCCGCGACCTGGACCCGGATAAGCGGAGGAAGATGACGATGATATAAGAAGAGCATCCGGCCCTCACTGTTTCTGCTAGGGAAAACAATCTGGCCCTTGAACAAATCTTCTTGAAGACCCCTGATCTAGAGTTTCACGTTCTATTTTCTAGCAGAAGCTAATGCAGAAGATATGCTCAGGAGACTATTTTCATGTTCAGCCTGCATGAAAACTTAAGGGTGACTTATTATTATCAGAAATAAGATTTCAAAAAAGATTTTTTTTCAATGTTCCACACCTTTAACATTTCACCAGGAAGCTGGGTAAGTGTATAAAAAGGGAAAAAAGTCATGACCCATTGCTAACCTCACGCTGTGTCCTTGTCCGTCTTTAGAGAAGAATGTTTATGAACAGGTGTTATTCCGATCAGAGACAGTGAAAGGAAAGTGGATTCACCTTCTTTCCTAAATTTTACCCAAAGAAGCTTTTTTTTTTAGCAATAAAAAGAATAAAAATGGCCTCGATGATTGAACGATTTCAGCTCAGCCTTTTGTGTGGGGCAACCAAGGGGGCAGTGGTGAGTGATCACTGGAAAACAACTGGTCAGGGAAAACCCACCTCTCCTCCCACTGTGGGTAACAGGAGTAAATGATCACAACAAATCCGTTATGTTAGGAGCTACTCCATCCTGAGGGGAGTTTTAGCTTTAAAATATCAGGTAATTTCAAAATAAAAGCTTAGAATAAATCCTAATTAAACACACTTTTATACTTACTTGTGAATAATGGAAGCTTTTTTAAACAATGCAGGTGAAGACGATTATTAACCAAACCATTAAAGTTCTTTATTTTACACTATTTTAATGATAAAAACTTCTCAAGCAGAAGAATTTTCAGAAAACTGGCTTAGTAAGGTATGATTTCTTGCTCAAACATCTGTCAAGTTTCATAAACACCACAAGTTCAGTGACCTTAAACAGACGGTTTTGTGTACGCCAAATTTCAAAACAAAGATATTTTAATTTTAGGTAAAACAGCAGGCTGAGGGAGAATGATTATACAGTAAACTAAATAAAGAAAACAATTCATGGGACTAGGTGGACCCAAAGCTCTTTGGAAACAAAACAAAAGATTTTTTAGGGTACAAAATACAACCCAACAGTGCACTTTGACATAATATTGTTAAAATCACAAAAGAAGCAAATAAACCTTTAAAGCATTTAAAATATTCCCTACCAACCACTTTTCCTCACCTAAATTACCATAATGTCTGGTGCAAACGGCTCCCTTGTGTTTAAAATTCCCTCGTCTGTCTTTTTAAACTATTCTGCCACAGATTTAATTGGATGTTTAGAGAAGACTTCAGCCAAACCGGCTCAGGTTTAAACCTTCCCACACCGAGAATGTCACCAAAGTCTAAATAAGAGCAGATAGATTAATAAATCTTAAAGGCATCCAAAATGTTTGGAACAGGAAGTAAAATCAGAAAAAAAGATCAAAATTCCTGCAAACTTAGCAACTGTCTGTGGAAAAAGTGATGTCAAAAATGTGTGGACAATTATTTTTAACAAAGAAAAACCTTTATTACTTTTGCCATCAAACTATTAAACATCAATGAATGATTTTTTTCCCCTTGTACCGTTGTTTGAAACTATTTTTATCATTATTTAAACCAATGATTCTACAGTCATGCTTCCTGTGTTTATTGCAGAAACAATTCATTCTTTGGTCACAAATCAATGAAAAGTAATAATAATGTGACAAAAAGGGGAAACAATAGCCATACCGATGTTGACAGAATCCTCCCAGTCCTCCAATGTTTCTGTCACTATAAGGGTGTAAACATAAGTCCTGTGTTTTCTGTCTTGATTGTGCTGCAAACAAAATAATAATTAAGACACGTTCACTTTTTTCGTCGTACATTAACTGTTAACTCTTTTTGGGGATAATTTTATCGTGCTGCTTTAGTCTGATAAACTTACCTCAAATATTCCAAGTAATCGGCCCAGTTTCCCCCTCACACCAGCCTGCACAGGAACAGAAAGGTCATGTTTATGCATGTTCTTGTAGAAGTTTTATAACTTCAGATTGTGGCACAGCACCAACCAAGGACTGCCATGCGTCTGCAGAGAAAAAGCCATGGAATTACCATGAGCATGATGCAAAAGTTTGGATACATGCGTACAGATTTGAATGGTGCAAAATGAGCAAGAAACAGTTTAAAGTCAGCATTAATTCTAAACCTCATGTTGCAATAGAATATAAATTGGGGTGAAATTTGATTTAAAAAATTAATCTAATTAGAGGCTTTGTAATTAATTAATCTTGATTAATCGCATTTAATCGTTCAAGCCAATTTGTGCCCATACAAATTTTCTAATAAAAAATAATGTTAGTGAGGCACAGATGACATAACCACACTTTAATGAGTATATTTCTGTAACCACAAGGTCTATTAGACTACTTTGGTCTCATTATAAAAGGTAACCATTGTGAGATTTATTGGCATGAGTAAATATTAATATATGTGTTATAGATAAATGAATATGGAACATTGTAAATGTTGTGTACTGAACTGAACGCTAGGTGGCAGCAGAGCACTGATATATATTTGGAGGTGTAGTGTAGAGTTTAGGGGAAGTTTTGCTGAGGGTTACAAGATGAATGCTGCGTGTATGCTGTAATAAAATTTATTTGGATAAAGGTACTGCCTGCCTGCTCTCTTCCAACTACAAAAAGGTAAACAAGTTTGCTTTTTCTTTGCTTCATGAATGGCAATTTGTCATGACTCATTTAACTGTAGTTGTGTTTGGAGCACACAAAAGTTTTATATAGTCTTGTAACCCAGACTGCTGTTTTCCTAGATGTGCAGCTTGATGATATTTGTTGATATGTAGGGCATACATTGTGATGCTAAACTTTTGCCAAGGAATTACAACTCTGGCTCAAAGGGGTACATTTTTAACACGTTATTTTTTTCTTATTAAATAATCATAATTAATGTGTTAAATTCCCATCCCTAATATAAACATCTTGCTAATTGAACCTTTGTCCCTATTTCTGAAGCACAGATTTCTTATCCTGAATAAAAACTTCCTGTTTAGCATATCAAGAACTGTAGGATTTTCTGAGTCAGTCATTCATATTAAAATATTCTGAGAATTCATATGACTCAGTCATTTCCCCAGTATTTTTTTTTGACAATTTCACATCTTCTGAGCAACAAAAATAGGCTTAACTTTCATTTTAAAAGCCTGAGACGAAAATCCACAGTTAGTTTAAATAGCTTTTTAACAATATGTTTAAATTTTAGCAGCTTCAGAATAAATTGTGGGGATTGATTCAATTTTTATTTTAGTTTTGGAGTTGTATGCGATTTCAACCAAGCACAGAACAAAGGTTTTTGTTGTTTTCTCCTGCTATTAAAAACTGACAGTTTGTCTGTCTCCAGGTGAAGGCTGGGTCTGTGGGGCCCAGGACCTGGGTAACCTGAAACCCTTTCCAAATGTCACAGCCGTTTCTCAAGGCTGTCAGCACACAATATGACCCACAGCAGAAGTTCACAGCTCCTAGTGCTGTCAAACGTTTTGGCCACCAACCAGCAGTCCGCTGTACTGGACCACAGGACTCATTAACTGGTCATTTACACAGCTCTGCCAAATATTTCTGACCCTCTTTTGGATTTAGCTGACATTTAGCCGACAAACATGAGCACTGATGACACCACTGAAATTAAATCAGTGGATGCATAAATTATCTTCTGGCTGTATGGCAGAGTCCCGTTTGGAGAGACAAGGCTTTTGTTGTGTAAGTTACAGCATCGTTCTGGGGTTTTACCCATTTTATTTTCTTTAATTACACTTTTATTTTACTCTGGCTGATGATTTTAGCCCATTTAAACGGCCCCTGGTGTAAACATGTGCATCACATATGGGAGAATCACCCTCACAGAAATCACACCTTCATCTCATTTTGCAGACTGTGGAAGAAATTAAGTGTCTTATCAAATTATTATGTTATTGTTGCCCCAAAGAAATAAAAAAATAATGCAATCCACAAGTTATTCATTTTCTTATTTAAAGAGTTCATTAGTAAAAAGGTAAAACCATGACCTCTCACCTCTTCATAGACCTCCCTAACAGCTGCTCCACAGGGCTCCTCGTCGGGCTCCACTCCTCCTCCTGGAACAATCCATTGGTCAGGATGTCGACTGCTGCTCACCAACAGAACCTGCCGAGGAGAACTTGTGTTTATTAGGTGGGGATGTCTTTACCCCGCTTTTATTTTGGTAGGATCAGAGGTGGAAAGAGTACTAAAATGTCCTACTTAGGTACGAGTACCAATACTTTGATGATTTTTTTTTTACTTAAGTAAAAGTACTTGACAAAATTTTACTCAAGTAAAAGTAAAAACAAAAAGTGTTGTAAATAAAATCTACTGAATGGCTATATATAAGTAGTACAAAATCACAATGCCAGCTCACAACACACTCATATGCGCGTGTGCACACACACACACACACACACACACACACACACACACACAGTTTGATGGAGGGATTTTGATCCAATCAGTGAGACCAGGATGTGCACATTTATTGGATGAGGTTTTTCCAGGATTGTACGTTTCAAATGTAATTAAAAATTCTTTATTTTGACCAAAATAATTCTTTTTAGATGCCATCAGATGTGAGGTATCTCAATGTTTTAATGACAAACCTCTAGCATGAGACTGTGCTCTAACCTGTCACGCAAATCAAATGAAATTCAAACATTTCACATGGACCGTATGACAGCAGCGAACATTGGCCCTGCCCTACTTTACCTCTACATACTCCTTTATTCGTGTCCACCCTATGTTCCTCTCTGAACTTCATGCTTATTTAGAACAGCTGATGTTTAAAGTTAGAGTACATCCTTGGTTGTGGGTTCAATCACTCATTTAACCGTTCATCACTGAAATCAGTTTTTTTCATTCCAATCATCCATGAAACGTGTACACCCACCTCTCCCACGGCTGAGACGCGGTGCTCGAGCAGGTTTCTCTCATTCTGTTATGACGTTGCAATGCGCAATATTTTTTGTTTTAAGCCAATAATTTTTTTTTACTCAGTAATGGATATGATTGAAAATGTAGCGAAGTACAAATCTTTAAAAAAAAACCATACTCAAGTAAAAGTAAAAGTACAGCTTTTGAAAACTAATTAAAAAATATAAAAACGCAAAAAAGCTACTCGATTACAGTAACGCTACATGTAATTTGTAACTTTCCACCTCTGGATAGGATATTTACAGCAATCTTAATTTATGTATTTTACAATTTAGTTCAAAAGCAACATATTCTTATTAAGAGAGGCTGGCTGCCAACCATAGGGTTGCTGGTTCAATCCCCACTTCACCTTCCCACAGATGTCCCTTGAAAAAGATTAATTATTTTAGATTTTATTCTTAAAATGAAGTTTTAAGGCAGTGATTTGAAGCTAAATATGATCAAATACTTGTTACTTTACAGTCAGCGACTCATAGGTACAGGAGCTCTTCACCACTAAGTGATGGAGAAAAAGGAAATGTAGATTTTGTTGCACATAAAAACAGGGTATTTGATTTATTGGCATGATTGTTATTATATGATCAAAGCCTTGATTAAATATCGGTCACTTTTGCATCTTGCATTTAATGTAATTGAAACTGAGAGGCAACAGAAACTTTGACAAAACTCTAAAAAAAATCTGCTCCACTACATAACTGACAGATTCCCTGATTGGTCTCACATGTTTTTCAGCTAGATGCCTCTCCGATGTGGTCATCTGACCTTAAACACCCTCTCTGGCATCACTGCGACCCACATAATGTTCACATCTGAGCGCTGTTTGAAATCCTGCTTTGAGAAAACCAAACATATGCGACCAACTCATTTTACCAGCAACAGATAGCAAACGCTCTCATGCTTCCCTCAAGAGTGGTGGCTGATTTGAAACCAGCCATTTAACACCTAGTAAAAACACAGCTGTCCCAGCTGAAGTTTCAAACCGCTGAACAGTGTCTGAGTTCTCACAGAGACCTGATATCTGAGGCACGGCTGATTTGCCAGCAAACAAAACATCAATATTTGCATCTGATTTGCAGAAATGTACTAAATTTGATTACTTTAAATCATTAACTAATCCAATATGGTAAATCTTAACAAATTAATGGTTTGTTTACCAGCTTTGGTTGAAATGCTTTTATCCATGTGGGTGTAGATCAGGTCTGTTCCTGCAAACAAACACTCTGGGGACCCCGTGGCATAAAAAAAAAACCTGCACCAGTCGGAATTAGTTTGTTTAAAAAGCTAAAGTATAAGTGAATCTTTCTTTTAGCAGAATGATGATGCAGCAAACCTGAAAATTTTGAACTTTTAACAGCTTGTGCACTTTAATTGTTTTCACTATTGCTAATAAGTGCAGTCCGCCAAGGGGGCGGGCATCTAAACAATAAAAACCTTCCCAATTGGCCAAATAAGTGAAGAGCTCTGTTTGATTTGTCAAAAACTCCATGCCTCAATTTACCATACCATACCAATTTTTTAATAAAGCACCATTTCAAAATAGTATGGCAGCTAACCAAAGTGCTGTACATAAAAGAGCCAAATGCTTGAACAAATTAACAAAACACAATGAAAGCAGGAAAAATACATAAAAACATAGCATAAATAACCAAGGATAAAAATTCCTACTAAAAACAATAGAATAAGAGAACAGTTAACAGCACTATCGAAAATACAAATAATGCGACGAATGATAAAAACCATTTGAAATGGCACAAATAAAACCAAAAAAGCTACAAGACGGTGCAAGGTGTTAAAAGTGAGCTATTGAATCGTAAAAACTAAATTAAGAAAAAAAAACTGTGCTGGATTTTCATGTTAAGTGTCACGGAGGGAAGGCAATACTGAAGAAGTGTGTTTTAAGGGCCGACTTGAATCTGCTGACAGAGGGAGCCAAATGCACATGGAGGGCCAGAGTGTTCCAGAGTTTTGGGGCTGCATGAAAGAAGGCATGCTCCCCCCATGACTTGTACTGAATCATCGGGACAACAAGCAGCAGATGATCTGCTGAACGAAGGGCACGAGTGGGAACATACGGAGTCAGCAGGTCCATCAGATAGGATGGGGATGGGCAATACAAAGCCTTTTATGCATATAACAAGACCTTGAAATGAATCCTAAAATTGACTGGGAGCCAGTGTAAATCTGCGAGAATAGGTGTGATGTGCATGCGTCTGTCGGTGTTGGTTAAAAATCTGGCCGCAGCATTTTGAACCTTCTGCAGTCTGCTTAGGGCTGAAGCATTAATCCCAATCTGGACAGAATTCGCATGACTGACAAAATGCAGTATATGTATTGTGATTTTATTGTCAGCGATATTATATCAATATTCAAAAGCTGTGTATCGAAAATATCAATATGGCAATATATCATATTTTTTCTTGCAATATTATATTGATAATCAATTGTTGCATTTCTAATTTTTAGAAGAATTTACATGCAAACATTTGTGTATTTTCTTTTCTTTTGGTGCGATTCAAACGCCGACTGCTAGTTGGCAGCAGTGTGCAATAGATTTTGTTTCCACCAATGAAATGTAAAACCCTCTGTTATCATTTAGATACCTCATGTTAAACACGTAAAGTGGCAGTCTGGACTGTTTATTGAATTTTCCTATAATAAATTCAGTCTAAAATAATCGCTAATAACGTCTGACCAATTGCTATCTAGCTATCTATCTATCTATCTATATATATATATATATATATATATATATATATATATATATATATATATATATATATATATATATATATATATCGTCTCCTCTGTACTGTATACATTGTATTGCCATAATTTCACCAATACACACCCCTATAAATTACTATAATTAAGTCAATTTTAGCGATAATGGGCTCAAATTTAATATTCAAGTAGCTGAGAGTCATTCCCAACAAATCTCCTGAATATTAAATAGATTACACAAGATCTTGCAATATTATGACAGATTACACGCTGCTTTACTTCTAAGATTATAACTCCAACCAGACAGTTGGTGCATGATATACAATCCTTCAAGAAACACTAGACCTTCAAAGGTGTAGTTGACTAAAAAAATGTTTTATTATAATTTCTGATTATAATGTCAATAAGTTTTTCATGCAGGCTGTACATGAAAACAGTCTTCTACACTTATCTCCTGAGTTAGCTTCTGATAGAAAATAGACACTGAAACACTAGAATTTGAAAATCCTTACATATCTATGTCACACTGTGAAGTTGTATTCATGGCCTCACCCATCTTGGCACGCACCCACCCACAGGGAGACTTTTTTTTTTAATTTGCAGCGAGGAGAGAGAGGGGAGAGTGTCTTGGTGATAGTGACTTTGCAACATGGCTGAACGCGTTCTATTAGCCAATCAGAAGCAAGGTGTGTGCATATCATTAAAAATAATGAGCAATCCTGCTCTTTTCAGGCCACCTCTGCATCAGCAAACATCTGCATCTCAGAACAGGAGCATCATAGCGTTTTTTTTTATGACTCATAAGGCATTGATTTACACTAAGGAACAATGCAAATGTGTTGAATCAAGGAGTAAACAACAGCTTTTTTTTATTAGCTGGAGGCACAGTTGGATAATTGGAATTGCAAAAAACATGGACATCATGTTTACCTGGATTGGGTAAAAAGATTGTTTTAAAACAATTAAAATGACTAGACAATGGATCTAGACAAGAACAGCCCTGAGCGGAGTCATGCTCAGGTGAGGTTTGCTGCATGCTAAATGATCACAAGTGGAAAATTAAAAGCTGCAGAGGACGAGCGCAGAACTGAGTCCCACCTGAGTCCTAATGTCCATTAGACTCTGTGCAAAGCTCTGGGGACAGTAGAGATGCGGCTGATTACATTTGACACAAACACACATAACCCACACATGCATGCGCAATTCTACACATACACCATGTGAGACACGTAGCGCACGCCACTGCATAGCTTTGAAAAAAAAATAACAGCAGTCAGCTTCCTGTGAAAACAACAAGGAGCTTAGCAGGGAAGGTTAGTGACCCCGACAGGCACCAAAGTGAGAGTTCTGATCCACTGGAGATTTACAGTCCAACACAAATATCTTTCAGTGGCAGAAAAACATAACAAGGATCACATACTGACCATTTGTATAGTTTAAAAAAATACAAAAAAAGAAATAAAATGGAGCACTTATTATTCATCTGACAATAAACACGCAAATACGGAAAAAACTCCCCAAAAAATAAACATTTCTGCTTGTTTGTAAAAAAGCCTTAATTTGAAATTCAGCTTTTTTTGCATGAACCCGTTCACACTTAAGCTTAATATTTAGAATAGGAAAACAGTTTTCCAGCAAAAACACGGTGGTGGCAGCATCGTAGTTTGATCCTGTTTGGCTTGACCTGAATGACTATAGGCTGAAAAGGGGAATGAAAAGAAATCAGAACATGACTGAGACTATTTTATCTGCTTTCACCAATACAAACTACGGTGGAAAAAGATACGACAGAAAGTGAAGTGGGTTCAAGCACAAGGAGCTGGAAAGCAAATCTGTTGGGACAGCCAGTGCCTGCACCTTGTTTCTATAAATTGCAGCCAGTGGATAACTTGGTGTTTAGCACACTGTGTAACAGGCACTCGCCTCTCACACACACACATCACATGAGGTCTTAGCGACCGACACCCACCCTTCACCTACTGTACATTTTATGTAAAAAGTAATTCTTCTCTAAACATCTCACCTGAAAAATGAACAAATAAATGGCGGCTGTAAACAAGCCAACTCACACTTTCAGATCACTTCAAAGCTCCTAATTCAACACACTCCCATATTATTGGAGGAAGCATTAGATGTATGTTTCTGTTATAGAATAAAAAACGATATAACTAATAATGTAGCAAAAGAATGGTAACATGTTTTAATTTGTACTCCTGTTCAAATGAATTTGTCATCTTTTAAATTCCCGAGTGTCACTGACAATAGTCCAGGACATGACGACGTCTTGTTTGTCCTGAAATACAACCTGTATGGATTTCTTCTTGGAGAGGAATAAAAAATAATATTCTGCTGCATGGCATGCACAGACTCTGTGGTTTAATAGGGCAGGTCCCCTCTAGCCAAGTAAAGTAAACGCAGACACGTGAACGCACCTCGAAGGCTGTCAATGGGGACTACTGTCAAGAGTTTTAGGTCAAAATTAGACCGAGTTAAACGCAACACACACACACACACACACACACACACACACACACACACACACACACACACACACACACACACACACACACACACACACCTTACCTCGTCCTCCTTCTCGCTTCTAAAACACAAACACGCCGCTCTTCTCTTGAAACCCTCTCCGTCGTACGTCCTGGTCTGGTTGGGCTTATATTTCATCATATATGTTCTTTTCTTCGTCTGACATGAAGTCTAAAAAGGGAAAAGTAGCTTTCGTCTTCTTTTTTAAACTCTCCTAAAATCGAACCGGTTCATTCATTCGTCCTCGCGCGCCGCAGAGAGACAGCGTCCAGCTTGTGTCCATCATGGTTCTGCGCACGAGCCGCGGAGAGAGGCGCAACAAGCTTCCTCCCACCTCACCTCACCGGGAGGTCCGTGTTCACCACACACAACATCAACTCAAGTTCAGCGACTGTGGATTTACTGCCGCGTGTGGGAGCTGCATGCCTCGCGCTGCTTTTTGTTTTTGTATTGATCATCGTCACTCCTGGGCACTGATTAAAAGACTATAAAAAATAAGAATTAAAAGTATTTCTATTAAGAAGTTTCTGTAAAATAGTTGAAGGGTTATTCTTTCATTTCCACTCAAATTAATGCTGATGTTACAATTAGGATCAAATAAATAATACCTTCCTGAAATGAAAATAAAGTAGAAACTTTAAACAGCTTTTTTCTATTACAAATTATATTTAGAAATTAGAAAATATTAAAGTATCTGCTATTAAAATTAATTTCCTCAAATGTTTTTCAGGGCATTATTGCAGCTGTTACCAACAATTTTAGAAAAGTAAATGAATCTTTGAAGGATAAATTAAATCCAAGTCACTTGTTTAGTGATGAGAAGAGCTTAGGGACTCCCTCTAGTGGTAAAGGCCGGTCCTTACACACCAAAGCAGGGACCTGTGTGTTTTAGCTGTTCCCCTGCTCCAACGAACCCAAACCAAGCATGTTCTCAAGTTCTTCAGAATCCTGTCATCACCCATTGATCCAAACCAGGTGTGCTGGTGCAGAGAAACACAGAAAGCAAAGTAAGGCTTTTATTTTGAAATGTGTTTCTGGGGTTCGTGGTGTGAAAATGCTACCAGCCTATGGAAGTATAAATTTCACCAGAATATACATTTTTAGATGTAAAATTTGACACTGAAAACCGATTCTTTGAATTTATGTATATGAAATGTTTTACTCAAGATACACCAGCAAGTTTCATCTAAGATTTATCTGCGGATTTTCATCTTAAAAAATTCAACAGCAGAAATTAGGTGACCTCCTGGTGACCCAAGGCAAAGCAATCAATCAATCGAGCAGATTGGCTCTTAGCCAATAAAATCACTCCTTTGATCATGTGATACCTGCTGAGGACTAGGAGGTCACCTCATTTCTGCTGCTGAAAATCTGCTGCTGAATAAAAGCTGATGAAAATATTCTGGTGAAATTCTGTTGTTGAATTTTTAAAGATGAAAATCTGCAGATGAACTTTAGGAGATACAATTTTTGCTGTTGTATTTCGAGTAAAAATAAATTCAAACACATCAATTTAAAGTGTCAAAAATTTTACATTAAAAAAAAATCTGCATATTCTGGTGAAACTGTTATACTTCCATACAAGTCACCTGCCTAAAATGAAAGCTGTCAGATAAACGCTAGTTTCTGAAACTGAACAGATCGTACAGAGCTCTTCAAGAGTCAAACACGTATTTATTCATCATCAGAATTTATTTACAGAACATAAAAGTATGCAGGTGAACTGTTTCGTAGCATTCTGAGCAAGAAAACATCTCCTCAGATTTATAAAGACATAATTTACAGAGAGAACAAAATAAAGACCAATCACTTCTGCTCCAAGTTGAATATTTAGCTGATCTGTTGTTTGTTTGGTTCCTCAACAACTCAGTGTCTCTTCAAACACCCCCAATTCATCTCAGCACCAGACAACTGCTGGCTCTAACACAGCTGCTCCCTTAAGAACCAAATCCCATTTGGAGCAAGTAAAACGGAGTCTTGTAGACTTAGGTGGCATATCGGAGAAAGAAGCGACAATAGTTAGTACAGCAGGAGCACGGAGAATTCACATTTAAAATCTAATGACACAACATGGATGAGAAGTAAAGAAAGGCTCACGTCGGCCATCGTGTTTATCCCACTCTCTCATCCTGAGGCCCTACGGGACGTCAAGCTGAGATGGAGAGAGGTTGTTAAAAGAACGGTTGGCTCAGTTTGGGTTTTTAGTTCCTCTGTTCAATCCAGGTGTGAAGGATTGGCGCGATGATTGTTTCCTGCAGGGAGGTGCACACAGGCTAAAACCCTCAGGGTGAGGGACCACATACCACAGGCTGGTAGCACTTAGTAGCTTTAAATAAACAAAACACAGAAAACAAAGTTAAAACATAAAAAGATTTACATATGTCATATTCCACATTCAGCCTTTCACTCGGTAGTTCGTTCCTCCATCTCCCCAGTCAGACAAAGAAAAGCAAGGTGAGTAGATCTAAACCTCTGCCCATGCATTTGAGTAGTAGTGAGTTAGGACGAAGACGAGTCACACTAATGTGCACTGAAATCACCAGATATCAGCAGTTTTCATATACATATATATATAAAAAATAAGAGGCTGTGTCCTTTAAATGCAAATGAAGCTGGAGGAGATCTTGGCAGCACAAGAGTCGATGTCCGCTTCAGTCTCCACCTGTTGGGCTGCTTTAAATCTCATTTTTGTTTCCAGCATAAAGCCTGGTCCATGTCTTTGCTGGAGAGACAAAATAATAACACAGTTAGTTACGCGCCACTATTTCAGATTAGAACTGTATTTTTGTAATGAAATATTTAACAAAGCATGTCCTAAGAGCCCTTTATTATGAGCCGTTAGGTCCCTGTATGACCGCTGTCAGAGCTTGGTCCCTTTGTCACAGATTCTGTTCAGAAATGTTGGTTGTCCAAGGATCAGGTCTGTGCTTTTTGCAGATGATGTTATCCTGTTGGCTTTTGACCCTTTGCACCGACGTCACCTAATCACGTGGGTCCACCATGGTGGACGACAAAAGCATGTAAACAGTGAGCGACACGAGTAGTAAACAAAGGGAAAAGTAGAGCCTGAAATTGTTTTTGTGATCAAAACAAAAACAAAAAAACTCCTCCAGCATTCCTTCAACTAGTTCATGCCCAGTTCAGTTATCAGAAGAAGTAGCGCATCTAGCGGGGGCTCATAGAGAGCGGTATGTTAACTAGCTTACCAACGTTGGCTTACGTTCTCTCTGCAGCTGTTCACCGACGTAAACATGTTGCTGACTCTGCCCCTCTGGATTTATAACTTTATGTTGTAAACAGCGTTTCACTTTACACCAAAGCTGATTTTTAAAAAGTCCGGATCCCTACCAGCTTCTGTTGCTGGTGGTGTTACCGGGTTCAGCTGCTGCTCTCACACCGGAATGAGAAGATCTCTGAACGCCGACGCTCATATAAATAAATAACGTAATTTTAACACACGTAATCATACATCGGAGCTTTAATATTGTTAATAATTGTCTCGCTTTACACTACAGTGGACGGAGCGCATCATCTGTGATGACATACCCATCCATCAGGATTATCAATAACTTGTATAACACATCACATTCATCCCTGTCCCTGTCTTCCTCGTGAAACAAATGAACCCCGTTAATCTTACCCGGTAAAAACATGTTCGCTGCAAATCTGAGGCCTGCTAGTCCGCTTGACTGATTGATCGCTGCAGTTCATCTCCGTCCTCAGTCTCCATCAGTTATTAAAAAGATAAAACGAGTTGAGTTTACGTCCTTGTCTCTTAGTGCAGCCAACCACGCAGCAAGCTAAACCCATTTTACTGTCAAATCAACTAAATAAAAGCGATAAAAGGCTACAAACTGGCCTCTTTTGACTACCTTCACTGGAGTTTCTATGGGTGTAAACGGTCTTTTTGCCATCCATCATGGCGAAAGGGCGGTCACATGAGTGGCGTGACGTCACGTGCAAAGGGTCAATATCACACCGTGATCTACGGCATTCGCTGGAGAGGTTTACAGCCGAGTGTGAAGCAGCTGGGATGAGACCATGGTCTTCAGTCGGAAAAGGGTAGAATGCCTTCTTCGGGTCAGGGATGATGTCCTGCCCCAAGTGGAGGAGTTAAAGTATCTTGGGGATCAGGATGCAGCATTAGATCGATAGGCAGATGGTGCTGTGTCTGCAGTGATGCGGGCGTTGTACCGATCCAACGTGGTGAAGAGAGCTGAGCCGAAAGGCGAAGCTCTTGATTTACCGGTCGGTCTAGTGACCGAAAGAGCAAGATCGCGGATACAAGCAGCCAAAATGAGTTTTCTCCGCAGGGTGGCTGGGCTCTCCCTTAGAGATAGGGTGAGAAGCTTGGTCATCCAGGAGGGGCTCAGAGTAGATCCGCTGCTCCTCCACGTCGAGAGAAGCCAGTTGATTAGGCTCGGGCATCTAGTTAGGATGCCTCCTGGTGAAGTTTTCTTGGCCCATCCAACTGGGAGGAGACCTAACAGAAGACCCAGGACACGCTGGAGAGACTACATCTCTCAGCTGGCCAGGGAACGCCTTGGGATTCTCCCTGAGGAGCTAGCCCAAGTGGCTGGGGAGAGGGAAGTCTGGCCTTTCTGCTTAGGCTATTTTCCCCAAAACCCGACCCTGGATAAACAGACGATAATGGATGGGTGGATGGGTCTACACCTACACACAGTTAAGAATCCCAAAAATATGAAAACACAATTGTTCCAGCTTGGACATCAGATTTTTATCAGATAAAACAGCGTATTTCTACTTCTCCCATCCTATTTCCTGAAGATCAGCAGCCAACAAATAAATAAATAAATAAAGTGATACAAAATCTCTGGGTTTGAAGACAGCTGTGTTAACCCCACAATTCACTAAGTGAGACCCACGTAGGGACAGACTGGAATAAAAAATGTTGATGTTCAAATCTCTCACCTGTTTCTATGGCTTCAGCTTCATTGGACTTCCACTTCTCTGCAACATCGTTCGCTAGTGGATCGTCGGGATTGGGAGCACTTAGTAAAGCCTGGATGGATAACAGCACTGTACGAATCTGCAGAGCTGGCGACCATTTATCTGAAGACATGAGTAAGTAAAGTGAAAAGCGTGGTGAGACTGGTGATATATGCATGGGTTAAGATATAAGAAATAATCACACCACAAAGCTTGGGAGTCAAAAAAAATAAAAAAGCCACTCTTACCTTTCAAAATGTCCAGACATATTCTTCCCAACTTATCCACATTGGGATGATATATTTTGGTCATAAAACGCACTTTAGGAGCTGCCATGGGATATTCTTCTGGTAAAAAGAGTTCAAGTTTAAACGTGCCACCCTCGAACGGTGAGTCTTGAGGTCCAGCAATGACGACGTGAAAGTAGCGGGCGTTTCCTTCGTCTGGTTCCGCCTTGATGCCAGGAACCGGTTCTGCAAGCAAGCGCTGAGTTTCCTGCAAAAACAACAACAAAATATTTTGATTTACATATTCTGAAGCTCATAGTGTTATAACAGGCAGGTGAGCTGTTTAGATTTGAACATGAGACTTTTTTTTTTTTTATCCACCAGCCTGTTAGTATCACAGGGTTAAAGTGGGCCATCACTGGGATGGGTCATCTTGAGACAACCGACCGCTCACCTGCACATCTACAGACAATTTAGAGTAATCTGCTCATTTGAAATATATGTATGGGTAATGAAAATAAAAAATCTCACAGAAACTCCAGAGGCATGATTTGAACGACTTGCTAATCACTGCGCCACTCCGCAGCACCCCAACACCCTCTGCCACTCACCGAATGGATTTAATTGTTGCTTGTTTTCAGACAAAACAGTGGAGAGCTGAAACAAAGCCAGTCAGCAAAACTCAAAATAGATTTTTTTTTTAATAGATGCAGCAGAAAGCATGTGTCATCCCACACAGTAAGGGGATCAGAGCAATCTGTCTGTATTCCTGTCTGGTTCTTAGAAATAAGATGTCTTTTTTATGTTTTACTGAAGCCTAGAGCTCAGATAGAGGCATTTAATCAGAGGATATCTCACAAACACATTGGTGTGTGTGTGCACATGTGATGACAATGAGCTTGCCACTAAGAAGCTGCAGCCTGAGGTTAGTTTTTGAATCTCAGTTGGGGTAACTGAGGATACTGATGACAACCGGTCAAGCCTCTCCAGTTGGAAAAACGAGCAAGTTCATTTATTTATTTTCAGTCTCCCTGCAGAGAGGAGAAAAACACTGATGGCCGGTTTTATGGCACCCCTCTCCTTTTCTTTTTTTGCAGCAAGTACCACATGAACCAACCCTAAATATTTGCTGCATGATAGACAAGTACACTGGCTAAAAGGGGAATATGTAGTATGTGGCAAGGTGGAGAAACGAGGGCCCGGGCGGGATTCGATCCCCAGACTCCCGGGTGAGTCAGTCATGTGTGCTAACCAGTCAGCCAAAGGGTCATCCCCTTGGCCAAGTAGCCAGGGCGCGTGATCAATCGGGACCCTGTGACAGGATGCTCACACTGCCACAAGTAATTTAGTTTACCGTATGAGAAGCTTTTGTTTGAAATAAAACCATTTCGATGCCAGAAGTCAGCACTCAGAAATCATCCTTTTCAAGACACTTCTGCACTGGTTTCAAGTCCGATAGCAAGTTTGAGGTGACAATGTCTCATCCAACACACCACAGGCTTTTAACCAAGCCATCCTAGCAAGCCAACCCCCAGCTTCCAGGGACCAAAGCACATATCTGTAACTGGAAAAAGGCGCGGACGTCTGCCTTAGTGTGAGGCAGAAATAGAAGGGGGAGGAAAAAAGCCATAAAATCCCTTTCCTTCCATCTAACCAGGAGAGAGATTCCAGAAATGTTTCTGATAACCCGCAGACAAAACCATGCAGTGAAAACACAGACAGGAGGGGCTCCCAGTCCCAATCACACGCTTCGAGGGCTCACAGGCTCGGCCCACTGAGTTCTGTTCCCAGGATTCCCACCTTTTCCCACCAACTCCAGTCTTCACACACCTGTGAAATCTTTGCCATTCTTTCATTTGACCAAATTTCCTGTAAGGTTTTTATTTGTAAAATCGCAGCAATCAGTGGAGTTAATACATTTGGTAATTTAAACACACAATACATCTAACAGGTGTGCTACGAAGAAACAAAAAAACAAAAATCAGGTGCTTGGAAAATAAATATGCATTATGCCAACTGAAAAGCACAATACAACAGCAATTTCTTCAAATTTCCAGAGCAGTCGATCTTCTGTAGCAGTGGGTGAATTTAATCAGTCAGCATCGACATTAAAATACACAGATAGTATTGCACCATTTAGAAAATGCACATCCAACATCTGGCTGTCTAGACAGATGTTTCTGAATACTGGTACTGATATGCAGAGGATCAACGTAGATATCCGCGTTTCACTTCCAAACATTCATACAAGACACTGATGCACAATGGTGGTGCAGTGCAGCACAAGCATGTACTTGATTCCCAACTAGCTTTTAATCGTTAAAAGTTTGAACGTTTGGCCTCATTCTGAAGCGCTTGAACCGAAGAGTGCATACAAAATGAATGAAAAGTCATATCGGCGTACAAAGAGAGACCACGAGCGACTTTTTTATTTAGCGTTAATGAACATTAAACGAATATTTTTGTTATCTGGGGGTAGCAGGATGGCGTCTGCTTGCTAATTCAAATTCCAAGCTAACAAACTAGCCGGGGTTAGCGTCGTTTGCTATTCGGCGCGTTCAGCACTGTAAACCGCATTGTAACACGCTTGAACTATATCTAAAATTAATCTGATAAAACGAAATGATTACCCACTATTTCCCTAATGCATCCACGTATTTCTGAGCCATACCTCGTCTAGATGGATCTGCACACAAAAAAGCGGAAGTTACTTTATCAATCTAACGTTAGCCACCTGAGTGGTGCTAACGCTAGCACAAAAGACTGTTCACCGAATCGGAGCGGGAGATTTTTAACCTATAAATGAATAATTTTAACCACTACAAGAACGACGTGCTTTCGCTATAAATTATGAATAAGTACCTTAATGATCCTGCGGGGCAGTCCTGCCATCTTGTCTTAAATGCGGGCTTTTAGCTCTCAGTGGGTTCGCTCTCTCATAGGCATTGACAGCAAACACATGACTTCCGGTTTTCCCGCGTCATCAAACCGGTGTTAGAATAACCACAAAACACAACTTCTGTTCCGCAACATTATTTGGGATGGTTTTGGAAAGTGTTTGGGAAATTTTAAAAATCCAGAGGAAGGATAATGAATTAGAATGAAAATATTTTAGTGACTAGAAACTTTTTATGAAAAAATAAGAAGGAAATTAAGAGTTTATTTTGTTATCCCTTTGGTGAGCTGAATTCTGTAAAAACATTCCCGCCACTCAAGTTAAAATAAATAAATATTTATCACATAAGTATGACTTAGTATCTCATAATTATGAGATTTTTTTACTTTTTATCTGAGTGGCGGGAATGGGCTTCCACAGTTTCTACCCCCGTAGAAAAATTCAATATCTTTTAAATTCAGATCTGCTTTTAATTTTATGCTTTATAATCATATCCTAATTTCTTTTTTAAGTTGTATGTGTTCTGGCTGTTTGTTCTTCCTTTTCTTTTCTGATTATGCTTTTGGATTTTTCTTGCACACAAAACTGTTTGCTTATTTTCATATGTGTTTGATTTCCCTTCCGATGATCATTTGCATGTATTGCTTTTACTTTGGTGACTTTTTAAACTGCAACATCACATTTTTTCATTTGCACCTTGTAGATTCTTCAGGTTTAAAAAAGTGGCATCAGAAATCTTTGCAGACAAAACTGTTTTGGTTAGACAAAACAAATCTGAGCTGTAGATTGGAGGAGACCAGTGCTCCTCCTCCTAACCTTTCTGAATGGACAACTTTTTTTGTTCCATTAGCTGCTGGCTTCATTGACAGTGCTCCAAACTCACAGCAACTTCATTTAAAGATTTGACCACTGAAGAGTCCAGCATGCTGTTTCAATCCCAGCTAAGATCATCAGGTGAGTGTTTGTCATTAGTTTTAAATGTTATTAATTCATTTACTTATTCATTTAGATGCAGATTATGTGTCAAAATAAATATGAGATCAAACTGTTCTGTTGTTTAACTAATTTCTAATTCCACACAGTATTTAATTTAAATTATTTGCTATTGCATGAATAAAATTGTGTTCTATATGAGCACTAAATGTTCCTGCAGGTTGTTCTTATATGCAATAATATTATTTAATCCTTCAAAGTCAGTTTTCCACAAGATTTCTTTGGGACCTTTTGGTGTATTTACCTTAACGTTTCCTGTGCACCATTAAGTCAAATATGCTGTTTTTCTATGGATTGTGTGACATGCAGTGGAAATCTCCAGGTTCAAAACGTCATCCTGCACTTAGTGTTTCCATCTGTAGCATTTACACTTCATGCGAAAGATTTTTCCTCTCCTTACATTTAGTTATTTGACTTATTCGATTCCTTTAACATATTTCTGACCCTTTAACACAATTATTTTTTAACATGCGACCAGACTCTTGATTTTTAGGATCTTTTGGGTGATTTTGAAGAGTTCATTTAGATATTCAGTTTGAAAATGTTTTGGTCCATGAAGTTCCATTAAGTTTCTAAAATAAAATGAATATAAACAAATGCAGGGTCTGTAAATTGAGGGGGGAAAGCATTTTTATGTGTTTCTCTCCCCGTTTGATGTAACAAATCTCAGGTATTTTTTTGGTTTTGTGTCTTTTGGCGCGCTGTGGTGCCCCACCTCTCCCAACGCTTTGAAATATTTCCATTGTTCAGCTCACACAGGAACAGATGAACCAGCACCTAATTCAGGCTCTTGTCTGGGTAGACAGGAAGAACAGAAACATCAGTCACATCACACAGCAGTGCTGCTGCTGCTCACAATGACTTGCATGACTTTATGTTAACCATTTGCGGTTGATATTGCAAAACGATTCCCTCATTATCCACTGCAAGAAAATAAAAGAGAAACTATGCAACTTTTTTATTTTTTTAAGTAATTTTCTTTTGCCAGTATGTGCTAAAATGAGCCTGTACATGGTTAAAGGGATGCCATGCAGTTATGGCTTGTTTTCAGCACCCCCTAGTGTCCATTAGTAAATCCAAAAGTGATACTTTTCTTCTTGCTGTGTGTAGAAAAGCCTTCAAAGTCTTGAGTTTTGTGACTAATCTCTCTTTGTTACTTTATTTTGAAGTTACCCGGAAGTACAGCTAGAGAGAAAATGGCGTTAGATTTATATCTCTTGAGGCTTATGTAGCTCTAGGTTTATGTTCTGAGTTCCTCTCTGCAGTATGTTGCTGCCTGGGGAATAGCATCGGGACATGGTCAAATGTGTGCATGGATGAACAGTAAGTGCACTACCGGATTAATTAAGGCTTATCGTGTTAAGTGTTATGCACTTCCTGTTATGAGAACGCTGTTCATGTACCTTCCCTCGTGACCGATCGATGCTGATCCGCTGGCATCTTGGTCGTACAAGGAAGAATGAATGTGCTTTATATGGTCATGTGTGAATGTAGATAAAGAGAGTTCCAAACCTGATCCAGCGCCTTTACAGTCTGTTTACGGCGTGCCTTTAGCACACTGTGCATTCCTCTTTAAAACACCTTAATCTAACAGCTGAAACATCTCCCCAGTCTTTATTAGTTTCCACAGGAGTGATTCATCAATAAATCTTAACAAATCAGCTGTGTTCACGATCTAAATTTTGCAGGGAGCATGCTGGAAGAATCCTCTAGCACTGGCATCCCAGCTCAACTTTACTAAGTCCAACAGGAAGCGGCTTGCCACTCTGAAGTTGCAAGAGCAGTATTCTGGCCACAGATGGCTGTGGGGGTATGAGTGACATTTCATCAACCCTGTATATGATCATTTTAGAACATACTTGCTCAAGAAAATGATTTAAAACATGAAAAAGTTGCATGTTATGCCTTTAATGAAATGCCACTCAGACTCTCAATGCCCTCTGTAGCCAGAATACTGCACTTGCAACTTCAGAGTGGCAGGCCACTCCCTGTTGGACTTAGTTAAGTGGAGCTGACATGCTGGCATTGCAGTCTCCTTCAAGCATGTTCCCTGCATGTTTTAGATCATGAACAGAGCTGATTTGTGATTAACTGCTCCTGTAGACCCTAATCAAGGCTGAGGAGACATTTCAGCAGTTAGATTAAGGTGTCAAAAAGACAAACGCACAGCGAAGAGATAAGTTTCCCTTTTGGTTTTACTAATAGACACTAAGGGGTGATAAAAGAAAGCCAAAACAATATAGTATCCATTCAAATTCCTTTCATTTGGCAACCTCTTTCATTCTCTTTTCCCTTTTATTCTCTCTTTTTCAATTTTCAGCACACCGGAGCTCACACTTCCACCTGGCCTGCTGTTTCCTCATCACGATCCTCTACTCTGAGTCAGTCGTGTCCTTTCACGGCCCTCCGGTAACAGCAGGTCTCCGTTCTGCTTTCTCTGCCACTCAGACCAGCAGTGTGGTGGGAGGCAAGCAGAAAGCAGTGACTTTCAACAAGCTCACGGTCAACGTCGGCAGGGATTTCAGCCCAGACACCGGCCACTTCTGCTGCCACATCCCCGGGGCTTATTATTTCTCCTTCTCTGTGGGGAAATTTCCTAAAAAGCTCCTCTCTGTGATACTGGTGAAGAATGGGGAGGAGGTGCAGGCCATAGCTTATGATGACTACCGTGGGACGGGGAGGAAGGTTCAAAGCCAGAGTGTTATGATCAGTTTGAAGGAGATGGACACTGTGTGGCTGCTGATTCAGCAAAACCCCAAGTATGCTCTGTACAGTAATGCAGGTCCTTACATCACCTTCTCTGGATACCTGGTTTATCCTGAAATCCAGCCAGTCAGCGACATTAGCAACCACCTCTTCCCATTTCCACCTCGCCCTGATTGTCCATCCCAGTCTACAGAGCAACCACAGTCAGCCTTCTCTGTGGCGCGGACATCCACGTTCATGGGTCAGAGCAACCGGGGTCAGGACAAGCCGCCTTTGAACTTTGACATGGAATATGTCAACGTAGGGGGTCATTTCAACAAAACGTCTGGGTTGTTCACGTGCCACTTCCCAGGCGTGTACTTCTTTGCCTTCACCGTGGGGAAACACCCTCGCAAGGCCGTATCTGTGAAGCTGATGACCGGGAGAGGGCAGGTGCAGGCCATGGTGTTTGACGAGGACATGTCAAAGAGACGGGAGATGCAGAGTCAGAGCCTGATGCTGTCGCTCAGGGAGGGAGAGCGAGTGTGGCTGTACAGTCAGCAGGACGAGCGCTACGCCGTCTACAGCAACCAGGGCAGGTACACCACCTTCTCTGGGTTCCTGGTTTATTCTGAAGACAAAGCCACCAAAACCCAGGACACATCTCACCTATAAACCCCACAACCTTTGATCTGTCTCTTTAATTAAAGCATAAGCAGATTAAAGAAGTCGTAGATCCGCGGCCAGTGTCCTGTAGGCGTCTTTATGACTTTTGCTGCTTTTTATTTGCTTGTTTGGTGAAAAATAATAAATAGAAGGAAAGTTTACTGCTCGATTATTCCACCAGGTGGTGCTCTGACACAGCTATGGCTGCTATCCATGAACTTAAGAGACAGCTGACTGTTTAGCATTAGGCCTAAACAGCTGCAGCCAAATAAAATGCTATTGTTTTTTATGAATCTTAAAGCTAATTTCTTCCAGCTCAATCACACGTTCATAGTGGGGATTTTTATATGAAGTTCCAACAAACCTACATGTTTTATTGCAACAGAAAGAGCACATGCAAATGTGTTACATGTATTGAAAAGTAAATAAAAAAAGAAGTAAAGTCTGAACAGGAGGAGAGAACAAACTGAGCTAAAAGGATGACAGTTTTGTTAAATATAATTTTTGGGTCATTTGAAATTGGCAACAATGTGCAAAATCATTTGATCGAAGTGCATTTGTTCTAAGCAGGTTAACTTCAATAAAATAAAAGTCAGTTTGTTGTAGTGAGGTTGCACACAGCAGCCATGTCTCCCCAAACACATCCATGCTTTGTTCGTGATACTACAACTTTTTGTGTTTTACTCACATCTTTTAAAACTTCTACCGGATCAATCATCCACCTTGTTTGCTGCTCAGTGACTGACTGTATTCCCTCAGTTTTTTAAACAGAATGTTGAAATCCTCTTCAAATGGAAGATGACTTTTTCAAATAAAATAAAAATTATGTATTCATGAAATTAAAATTTAAATCAGCATTTTTCTTCGTCTTGGTTTGGGGCGAAGTTCCAGTGCTGGACGTGTTCGACTGATCAGTTTGTCAAGCTGAATTAATTCTAACTTCTGAGCAGAAAATCCTGCAAAATTTCGCCATAAACCCCAAAAACGGTGGGAAAAGAGTCACGTTATACTGAGAACAGGTACAACCAAGGCAAACTGTTCACGGACGTATTCCTCACATCCTTCTGCATAAACGTGCTCTCCTGATGGGCCTCCACGCTCATTAAAGCTGAAATCATCCCAGCCATCTTCCCTGCTCATGTTGCATCACTGCACGTCCCAGATCTCACAGAGCAGAGGGGTGAATTTGTGGTCGTTCACTCTCCAGGATGTGAGCATCTCTGCGTGGTAGTGGTTGAGTGTTCTAAGCTCCGTCAGGCGGCCCAGGAGGCGAGCAAAGTACTGAGGTTCCTGCGGATGCTGAAGAGTGCACAGCTTCCTCAGCACATCCACCATGGGCTCCTGGAGCCTCTCAACAGCCAGCTGATTCTTCACGTATGGTCGATCTGAAGGGGGGGGGGGACATGGTGGACTGTGAGTTTGCAGTAAGAAATCACGGATTTAGCACACCCCACATATTAACATTCAGAAAGAAGTGATGAATGTCAACGCTGTTTCCACAGATTCACCTGGTGTCAGGATCGTTATGGCGGTGAGCAGAGCCTGTTCCTCCAGCACCATGTGGAGTTCACCTACGCTCTTGTAAAATTTGAATAAGGGAGTGATAAATTCTTCTGATATACCTGCAAAAAACAAGCAAAATAAGAAATGTCAGGCTGGTAACATCTCAGAGCTGGAAAATGGGACATGTGCTTAGGTTCTCCGAAGAAATTGAACCAAAACAAGCACCTGTGTGGTTTCAAACCGACAACATTTAAGAAGTAAGATGAACTGATGTCAAATGTCAGATTGAAGTTAAGTTGCTTTAAGGGAGCAAACACTTATAACCATTTCACAGAAACACACTTGAAAAGGGCAAATAAATGCTAAAGATTTGGTTTTATTAAGTAATCAGATGCTTTTGAAATAAATGTGGCAAAACTCCTGTGAGAACTCAGATTAAAATCGATATGGATCGATCATTTGTCAATAAAATTGAATAAATGTCAAACTTTTGTGTTCATGCTTAGGTTGTTCTCCTTTTGGGATGAATTCACACTCATGAACAGGCAAACGTTATGGGGGAATAAACGTCAAAAGCCAGAGAGCGCGAGCTGAGGAACAGGAGCAGAGGAGGAAGAAGAAACACGAGCGCAATGAGAGAAAGAAGAAGAATCATCACGACAGTAAAATGCCAGAAATCATCTCAAATGCATTCATGAATTTCTAGCAAAAAAAGCAAACTTATTCTTTTTTATGAACTTTTAATTGTACGAACAACAAACAACAAAATTCCCCTTCAGAGTAAAATACCAAGCAGCTGTGACAAAGAACACATTTTGTATAAAACAAATTGTACTTATCAATGATTTCCTAACTGCAGCTGAAACATCTATCGCTAGGATTGCTAAAAAAAATTTTTTTCCACTGCTGATATGAAGAAAAAGGTGAAGATAATAACCGAAAGCTGTACAAAACACAAAAAATCAGTTTCTTCTTCTTGCTGAAAATCTCAATAATAATAAAAACGCACATTTTTAATTGTTCTCTATGGACTCAATCTAAGGAATCGGCTTCCTGCTTTGTGCCGGTGAAACCTCCAACTTTTGACGGCCTTCGGGTTGTGTCTGTCTGCCCAAAAGCATCATGAAGCTTTCAGAAATGTCAGTGGGGCTCGGAGGGAGAGGGGCGCACAATGGCTCTTGATGTTTTGATAAGAAACAATGGTCTCTTCAGACAGCTTCGCTGCCTTTTTATCCCAGACTGGCCTTTAGTGTAAATATTTCTTATCCCCACCATTCACAGCTCAGAGGGAAACACACACACACACACACACACACACGGTTCTGGCGTCAGTGAAGCTGTCGGTCCAACTGTCCATCCTGGTTGACACAATGACACCTCACATACATATAAATGATTTTTATACCAGTGGGGAGGTAAACAGGTCCACAGACAGAGAGCTAGAGTGTGTGTATGTCTTAATGCTGTTGCGGCAATACACACACACACACACACACACACACACACACACACACACACACACACACACACACACACACACACACACACACACACACACACCCAGAGTGAAACTAAACCTATCGAGGGTACATGAGTAATCAACACCTGGTCAGAGATCAGTGGGTCAGCACACATCTCTCCGCTGCATCACACAGATCAAATATTAACGGACTGAAGCTGCTGGAGAGGCGGCTGCAAAAGCATGTTTACTCCATCACTCATCATCTCACGATGATCTTTTTTTTAAACTCTGGCATGAAAGGCTGCGAGTGACAATAACTGACTTGGAGGAGCAGATGTGGACTCACCACTCTTGCGTATCCTCTCCTCCACAACCACAGTGTGTCCTCTGGGCATCTTTTTGCTGAAAACCTGAGCCGAGCGCAGAAACATGGCTTCCACAGCTGATCCCTTCAGGAGGGCGATCTGATCTTCATGATCCAAAGTTAAAAAGCCTGGCGACAACAACACAGCGCTTTGAAACTATAACTCATCGAGCCGGTTTGAAAAAGAAAACCTGTTTGATTTGCAACAAATTTCTCTGCTGATACCTGGAATATTTTTGGTGAACTCCACCAACACTTGAACCTGACTTGTGGCAATTTCTGTCAAGAGGAGAAAGTTCTCCTCTGTGCTGTACTGTTCTTGTAGCTGGAGGGGAAAACAAAAATAAGCAGATCATTGTTTCAGAGCAAGCAGCAAAACCTCAGCAGAAGGCTTGAGCTGCCTCATCAGCTGATGATGCTGAGCTTTACAGATGTTCTCTGCAGCAGATGTTAATAATTCAACAGTAAGATGAAGAAATACCAGTTTTTTAGTAACGTCTTGAGGGATTTGATGTCTGTTGTAAGCGTCTACGATGAGTCTCATGAGTGTCTGCTGCTCTTTGGTGATTTCAATCTTTTCCTGGTTTTGAAAGAAAAAGCACAAACAGTGTTGAGCTCATTTGGCTGTAATTTGTCACAGAGATGCCAGATGTTGTTCACCTTAGACAGTTTGGTGGTTGATGTAACCTGTTTGTTGTCTGCGTTGTCTGCCACCTCCGTCTCATCCCCTGTCGGCCGCCCAGGGGAGGCCTTGGGGTTCTTACGCAGCCGTTTGGATTTACACTGAATCTCCGTCAGCAGGCCTGTCAGCATCAACAAAGGCTTCACTTTGTGTGTTAACTTCCTCTCAATTCTTAATCTGGTTTAATTTTCTGAAATCGACACTTTCGTTTGAACTGTCCCAGTATGTTTGTATGACTCAGATTTAATGAGAGAAAAATGCTTGTTTTGGTTATTTACTGGCACAGAAGAAGCGCAAAGACATTTTGTGAGAGAAAATTAACAACAAAAATGATGAACAGTTGCAACCAGGGGTGTCCTGGATTTGATTTCAAATGCCCAATATTTGTCCGTTTAAGATTCAGTGTCTTCCAGTGCAGAGTCTCAACCTGATACTTGCATATTTATCTTTTTATTTTATTGAACAGACTTGCAGACTAATAAAAGGTACATTAAATCAACACATGAGTTTACGTAGAGGATTGATTTATCTACACAAGTCAGGGTTTGTGTTGTTCATCCTGCAAAAATATGTATGTTTTGTCCTAAAGTGTGGGTTCTCTGAGAAAAATAAACTTGTTCTTTTTAAAATATGATTGGTCACTCTGAGTTTAATGTGAAACTTTTTTCTATCCCCATTTCCTGCATTAGCTTCTGATAGAAAATGATGGGGAAATGCTCAAGTCAGTAAAAGCTACACAGATCTGATCATGGAAAATTCATAGCATCCATCCTGGCTCATGATCGGGGAAGGCTGTGTTGATTTAGGGTCCAGGAGAACAGAGCGAGTCTCGGCTGGTCGATGTTAGCCTGTTGGATTGTTCTATCTGACCTTTGAAGGACAATATGGTTAAAACTGCAAAGGCAAGTTTGGAAAACAAATTAGCTTTTTCATGCCTCTTAGCAACATTCTAACATAGCATAGCTATAAATATATTGTGGAGATTTAAAAAAAAATGAAAATAATGAATGATGAGGTTTTCTTGCATTTGTCTAAAAACCTCCGCCAATCATTGCTTTTGGGCTGAAAGCAACTGCTAGACCATCCGGTTGTTGGTCTAGCTGAACCACAGCACTTCTGCACTTCCCTGGGTCCTCACACTTGCAAATTTAGCAACAAAACATCACTAGTGTGTATCAGAGAGACCTCATAACTGTGTCTACTGGGAGACAAATCCCACATGCCGATTGTTTCAAAAGGAATCTTCTCCGTCATTATGGTTGGACTAGTGACAGCACCTAGGATTATACTAAGACACTGGAAGACTGTGGTGCACCCTGAGATCAATGAATGGATTACAGCAATGGCGGAAACAGCCGCTTACGAGGCCGTGCTCAGCAACCTGAAAGTGGACAAGGACACTGATTGGAACAGTTTTTGGGATTCTTAGAAAAATATCTAATGTTATACTGTCTGGATCTCCATTGGACTCTAGTAAATCAAGCCAACATATTTCATGTTCAGAACGCACGCTGTTCGCTGAAAAAAAATGGTTGAACTTTGTTTAATTCATACCTAAAGGTGAATGAAAAAAGGTTAAAAAATCATGGTTGAAGATGTTCTAATTCATGCATGAAAGGGTTAAACAAAAGAGATCAGGAGCTGAGCGTGGCCAGCTATGAAAAAAGCCGGGGCCCCAGCTGGCTTTCCGAAGGTGACCCCGATCTGATACTTGTGATTGGATCAGGACATCCCAAGCTGCAACAGAAAGAAGCCGGTCCTCTCCTCTCATGTTTCGTTGAAAATAAAACTAAACCAAAAGGGACTTCCCTTTAAACTTAAACCAGTCTTCATCTAGTGGTTTCATTTAAAAAAAGGCAAAAAGTTGAACTCCTGCTGCAGAAGCAGATTGCAGCATGAAAACCTTCCACACTACAATATTGATCACAGCTGCTCTGAACTATTTATGAGCTACAGGAGTCTAATTTATCTGCCTGCTTTCTCACTGACAGCTCCTAGCCTCATGGCCAGCCTGGAGACGGTTCTCGTCAGGGTGCTAAAACGCTTAAATACATTTTAAATTTCTTATAAAGACCACTCCTCTGAAGGTGCTGAACTTTTCCGTTCAGCTGCTTCTATTCCAGGAACGGTAACAAAAGCTGACCCCGCTGAGCTGTGTGGCATATGTGACACACAATCTGCCATTTTAAATAAATAGACCATGTCAGAATGGAGAATGAGAGATTACCTCTGGGTTTGAAACGTGTCTGTAGTCAACTCTTTCTCCTCAACTTATTGTTTCATCAGATGAGTCTCTGAGATACTCGTAACGGAACGGAATGACTCTTATTTTCCCTTCTTTGCTCAAGACTAGTCTGCATGAGATATAATTCAAGGTCTCATGCATTCCTTCTAACCTGCTTATTTTCAGCTCAACAGAAGAACGACGAATGAACTCTTTTTTTTAATTAATCAAAGAACTCTATTTTAATAAAGCTAATCCATCAAAGTGTTAGTCCATAAATAAGATGTGACTGACCTGTGAAATCAAAATATTAATTACTTTATTATGATCCTATAGAATATAATAAGTACTGTGACTTTAAGTGTCCCAACAGGACTCATTTCATGTAGTGTTAAAAAGACATAACACATTACTCTCACCGATCCAATCAGAATCTTACACTCACACTCTGCCAGCATGCCCTTCTCCTTGCACTTTCTCAGCCGGCACTCCTGGCATTTCCTGCGCATGTACATGTCCATCTCGCAGTTTCCACCACTCTTGCATTTGTACACAGCGTTCTTTGTTATGCTTCGTCTGAAGAAACCTAAAAACAGGCAACATGGGCAAATAAATGAAATTACGACCTGAAAACCTGAATTTGTTCAGGTAACTAGTTTAATTAGTTTTTGTTTCCATCTGATGCATCGTTACGGATCTGAAACCGTGACTCATTAATCATAAAATCTTTAAATTCACTTATTAGTTATTTGAGAAATATTATGGTGTTTAACTTCTGTCTGCCAGGTTCGATAATAAAATATTAAACAGCAGTTGTGAATGTGTGTGTGTGTGTGTGTGCATGGATGAATGACTGATTGTATTGTAAAGTGCCTTGGGGGGTTGTAGAGCCCCAGAAGGCGCTAAATGTCAAATACAGGCCATTTATCATTTTACTATAACATTTCTGAAAATGAATTTTGTTTGCAAAAACAGAAAAATGCAGATTTGGATTAAAATCACCAAACTTGTCACAAATCATCTGCAGTAAATAATCATCTCAAGATGCATTTCTTGAAAATGTATGAAAACATAGTTATTTGTTTTTGCAGATGAACTCTTTAAATTTCTTTTATCTGAACACTGAACATCCCATCTATCCTTCATTCCAGTTATCCAAGACATTCCCAGCCATCAGATATAATCCCTCCAATGACTTCAGGCTTGGGAGACCAAAAACAAAACCTTCCAGAGGAAAGTGACAGATTTTTGTTGGATGCCTTATCAACCAGACAAGGAGCAGTAGCTCTTCTCTGTAAAGAGATGATGCGATAGAAATAAAACTTGATGATGTCACACAGATGAACCCACTTCCCTCTAATCCAGACAGCAACAGGTGGACCACTCTTGGTCTCCAATTCTCACATAAAACTAACTTTAACTTAATTCTAACCACCCTGGTAAAAGATGAGCCAAAAGAAGATCCAACAACAATTGTAGGCACACACACACACACACACACACACACACACACACACACAAACACACACACACACGGGCACACGCACACACACGGGCACACACACACGGGCACACGCACACACACGGGCACACACACACGGGCACACACACACACGCACACACACACACGGACCTGTACTAACTTTGGTGTTGGGACTAGACATTCTGACATCATTAAGCACAATGAAATGTGCTGCTGGGATGGAGCTCGGGTTGCTCGTGCATTGTGAAGCAGAAAGCTGAGAGGAAATCCAATCTGACAGCTTTACCAGGTAGACCTGAGTCTATTCTCAGTCAAATGGCAGCACAGGTCAGCTGCCACACTCCTGGCTTTGTCCGTACGACAGTGTGGAATTACACTCATATCCACTCATGCTGCCGTTTGACAGGAATCTCACTGAATTGACGGAGCAATAAAACTCAGACAGTAGCTGCTGAAGGTCACAACTTTGCCTTCACCCAGTTGATCATTTGTGAATAAGTGGTAAAATGCACTTTTTATTATTGTTATTCTTGCGGGTGTTTTCCTCTCAATTCAGTAGTCGGTCACATTTGACCTCATGTTTACTTTATGTGTTGACTGCATCTGCATGGATCTGTGCAGCTGTTGTTGTGCCCATCAGAGCTTCCCTTTTTGAGAAGATTCATGATTAATAAACCTGACTGATAACTTTCAAAGGACTCCTACACTCACGCCTGATACTCAGACCAATTTTCAGACTACCCCGATTGACTTCTGAAGCACTGAAGTAAAAGAGAGCAGCAATTTAATATGTGGGCCAATGTCATTGCTGACTGCAATTTATCACAGCTTCACAAAACTGATCTTTAAATGGTACAAACCCCTCCTGGCTTGGATGCAATATGTTTATTCTGAAAAATGCAACTTTTTACCAAAAGTTGGACACATCTGGAAAATCTAGGATTAGTATGCAAAATTGACAGGTAGATTCAGAAATAACTGAAATAAAATGTACAAAAAATGTACAAAAAGTGGCATACTAGGTGACAGAATGTGCTGGGCATGGCGTAAAGTTAACCTGCAACTAGATCTCAGCTCAAATATGAGGTATTGGTGGTCGCAGTGGGGGAACGGTGGAAACAGTCTCAGCTGGAGCAACAAAAACCAACCAGGAGGTCAGAAGACCAGGCTGGTGTAAAGACATAGAACTGATCTGCTCAAAGCATCAAGTCCCGCCACCTGTAGGCCTTGTGAGGTGTAAGAAGCATGATATGTTGTTTAATCTGTTGATAGCTGGATGATTATGTTATTCAATCAAATCAAGAGAGATGGAATGTTCCACAGTCTCTTAATTCAGGGAACGGGGTGCTAAATTCCATGAAACACTCATCTGGAAGAGTTATGTGATGAATTATATAAATGGAAACCATGTTCCCTCGTCCGGACGTGGGTCACCGGGTCCCCCCTCTGGAGCCAGGCCTGGAGGTGGGGCATGTTGGCGAGTGCCTGGTGGCTGGGCTTTCACCCATGGAGCCCGGCCGGGCACAGCCCGAAGAGGAAACGTGGGTCCCCCTTCCAATGGGCTCACCACTCGTGGGAGGGGCCAAAGGGGTCGGGTGCAGTGTGTGACGGGTGGTAGTCGAGGGCGGGGACCTTGGCAGTCTGATCCTCGGCTACAGAAGCTGGCTCTTGGCACATGGAATGTCACCTCTCTGGTGGGGAAGGAGCCTGAGTTAGTGTGTGAGGCTGAGAGGTTCCAACTAAATATAGTCGGACTCACCTCAACGCATGGCTATGGCTCTGGAACTAGTTTCCTTGAGAGGGGTTGGACTTTCTACCATTCTGGATTTGCTCCCACTGAGAGGCGCCGAGCAGGAGTGGGCAAACTAGTTGCCCCCATCTTGGTGCCTGTACGTTGGGGTTTATCCCAGTGAATGAAAGGGTAGCCTCCCTCCGCCTACGTGTGGGGGGACGGGTTCTGACTGCGGTCTGTGTTTATGCACCAAACTACAGTTCAGACTACCCACCCTTTTTGGAGACCTTGGAGGGGGTGCTGGAAAGCGCTCCTTCCGATGACTCCCTCGTTCTGCTGGGGGACTTTAACGCTCATGTGGGCAACGACAGTGAGACCTGGAGAGGTGTGGTTGGGAGGACCGGCCCCCCTGATCTGAATTCGAGTGGTGTTTTGTAATTGGACTTCTGTGCCAGTCATGGATTGTCCATAATGAACACCATGTTCAGACATAAAGGTGTCCATATGTGCTCTTGGCACCAGGATACCTTAGGCCGCAGCTCAATGATCGGCTTTGTTGTTGTTTCATCTGATCTGCGGCCACATGTCTTGGACACTCGGGTGAAGAGAGGGGCGGAGCTGTCAACTGACCACTGCCTGGTGGTGAGTTGGCTCATATGGTGGGGGAGGATGCCAGTCAGACCAGGCAGGCCCAAACATATCGCGAGGGTTGGCTGGGAACGTCTGGCAGAGTCTTCTGTCAGAAGGACCTTCAATTCCCACCTCCGACAGAACTTTCAAAATGTTCCGGGGGAGGCGGGGACATTGAGTCTGAATGGACCCTATTGTTAAGGCGGCCGATCGGAGCTGTGGTTGCAGGATCGTCGGTGCCTGTCGTGGTGGCAACCCCCGAACCTGCTGGTGGACACCGGCGGTCAGGGATGCTGTCAAGCTGAAGAAAGGGTCCTATCAGGTCTTTTTGGCCTGTGGGACTCCAGAAGCAGCTGACGGGTACCGGCAGTCCAAGCGGAATGCGGCTCAGGTGGTCACCAAGGCAAAAACCTGGGCATGGGAGAAGTTCGGTGAGACCATGGAGCAAGACTTCCGCACGGCTTCAAGGAGATTCTGGTCCACCATCCGGCACCTGAGGGGGGGAAAGCAGTGCGCTACCAACACGATCTATAGTGTGGACGGTGTGCTGCTGACCTCTACTCAGGACATTGAGGATCGGTGGGCCAAATACTTTGAAGACCTCCTCAATCCCACCGAAACGTCTTCCAGTGAGGAAGCAGAGTCTGGGGACTTTGGATTGGCCTCTCAAATCTCTGGTGCTGAGGTCACTGAGGTGGTTAAAAAGCTCCTCTGTGGCAAGGCTCCAGGGGTGGATGAGATCCGCCCGTAGTTCCCTAAGGCTCTGGATGTTGTGGGGCTGTGTTGGCTGACACGGCTCTGCAGTATCACGTGGACATCGGGGGCAGTCCCACTGGACTGGCAGACCGGGTTCGTGGTCCCCTTATTTAAAAAGGGGGACCGCAGGGTGTGTTCCAACTACAGGGGGATCACACTCCTGAGCCTTCCTGGTAAGGTCTATTCAGGGGTTCTGGAGAGGAGGGTCCGTTGGATTGCTGAACCTCAGATTCAGGAGGAGCAATGCGATTTTCGTCCTGGCCGTGGAACACTGGACCAGCTCTATACCCTTAGGGGGATCCTGGAGGGTGTGTGGGAATTTGCCCAACCAGTCTACATGTGTTTTGTGGATTTGGAGAAGGCGTTTGACCTCGTTCCTCGGGGGGCCCTGTGGGGGGTACTCCGGGAGTATGGGGTACCAGGCCCTCTGATACGGGATGTTAGGTTCCTGTATGACCGGTGTCAGAGCTTGGTCTGCATTGCCGGCAGTAAGTCGGGCTCGTTCCCAGTGAGAGTTGGACTCCGCCAAGGCTGCCCTTTGTCACCGATTCTGTTCATAACCTTTATGAACAGAATTTCTAGGCGCAGCCAAGGTGTGGAGGGCATCCGTTTTGGTGGCCTGAGGATCAGGTCTCTGCTTTTTGCAGATGATGTGGTCCTGTTGGCTTCATCAGAAAGTGATCTTCAGCTTTCGCTGGAGCGGTTCGCAGCCGAGTGTGAAGCAGCTGGGGTGAGAATCAGCTCCTCTAAATCTGAGACCATGTTCTTGATTTGGAAAATGGTAGAATGCCTTCTCTGGGTCAGGGATGAGGTCCTGCCCCAAGTGGAGGAGTTTAAGTATCTCAGGGTCTTGTTCACGAGTGAGGGAAAACTGTAGCGTGAGATCGATAGGCAGATTGGTGCTGCATCTGCAGTGATGCGGGCGTTGTACCGGTCTATCGTGGTGAAGAGAGAGCGGAGTCATAAGGCGAAGCTCTCGATTTACCGGTCGATCTACGTTCCTACCCTCACCTAGGGTCATGAGCTTTGGGTAGTGACCGAAAGAACGAGATCACGGATACAAGCGGCCAAAATGAGTTTCCTCCGTAGGGTGGCCGGGCTCTCCCTTAGATATAGGGTGAGAAGCTCGGTCATTCGGGAGGGGCTCGGAGTAGACCCGCTGCTCCTCCACATCGAGAGGAGCCAGTTGAGGTGGCTCGGGCATCTGGTCAGGATGCCTCCTGGACGCCTCCCTGGTGAGGTTTTCCGGGCACGTCCAGCCGGGAGGAGACCTAATGGTAGACCCAGGACACGGTGGAGGGACTATGTCTCTCACCTGGCCAGGGAACGCCTTGGGATTCCCCCGGACGAGCTGGCCAAAGTGGCTGGGGAGAGGGAAGTCTGGGCCTCTCGCCTTAGGCTACTGCCCCCGCGACCCGACTCCGGATAAGCGGATGAAAATGGATGGATCGACACTCATCTGGACCAAAGAAACATATAGAAAATGTAATTACTTTACACCTAATGAATGAAGACATAGCTTGAGCTTCTCATTTTGGACATTTAGGATGTGATGTGAGGACACAAGCAAAGTGAAAGTATTTGAGTGTTTTACATCCAGACCTGTCTGTGTCCACCCACCTTTACATCCCTCACAGGTGAGAGCGTTATAATGGTATCCGGATGCCTTGTCTCCACACACAACGCACAGCTCCTCCCCTTTTACCCGTCCAGCTTGCGCCATGTGCCGGGTCCTCTTGCACACCATGGGAACCACAGAGGAACCCTCGTCCACATCAGCCAGATAACTGCCCTCCAGTGGACCTTTCCTCAGTTCATATATCCCCGAGTGTGAGTACCATTCATCTCCGCTGTATGGAGGGTAATAGTTTGGAGTGGAGTAGTAATGTGTGGAGGACATGTTTGGCTCCATGGATGAGTACTGCATACTGGGAAAACTGGAGAAGGATAAGATGTCAGGGTCCTGCAGCAGAGGATTGCCTTGATCTCCCAGGATGTCTGGTAAAGGGAAAATCAGAGCCGTTTAGAAAAATGTTTCTAAAAAATAGCTGGCTGTTCATATGAAATAACTGTTCCATTCAAACATATATAAATGAGCAGATTATGGGAATTTAATGGGTCCTTCCCACCATATATCACATTTATGAACTGATGAATCATTTGATATCTTTTGTTAGTGGAAAATGAACCAACATTTTTTTAAGTTATTTGCGGGAAATTTCATTTTTCTATAGTTTTTGGTCATCCTTGCCATCTAATTTCCAACTGTCTAATAGCATATAACACATAATACTGATTTAATATGTGTTTAGAAAAAACAGCCACAAAATACTAGCCTGGAAATCTAGACAGACATTATCCAGTCTTGTGTCTTGCTAATCACAGGTTTGGTGGGCAGGATGATGCAAGGCAAGGCAGCTTATTCGTATATTACATTTCATACACAGAGGCAATTCAGTGTGCTTTACATTAGCGAGAATAGCACGAACATTAAAATCATCGTGACTGTACAATAAAATTACACAAATAAATTTAGGCCTAATTAAATACACAAATTATTTCAGATTTAAGAATCAGAAAAAAATAAACAAAGTTAAAGGGTGAGCCGCCACAGTGCAGAAGGTACGGCATAAGAGACATTAATTCAAAGGCTGATGAATACATGAAAGTTTACTATTTTGCAGAGGTGTGACCAAGTCACTGCTTTGCAAGTCACAAGTAAGTCACGTCTTTCCAGTCAAGTCTCAAATTAAGTCCAAGTCAAAGACAATCAAGTCCAAGTTGAGTCCAAAGTGAATAATGTGGAAGTCCAAGTCCTTAACTTTGAATATTCTAGTCATAATCAAGTCATCTGTCCAACTTCAATTTAATGACAATGATAATAAATTCCAGAAATAAAGCTTCTTAAAGCTTAAATTATCTACTCAAATAAGCAGAAATTGCAACTGAAATTGATTCTAAACAAAGTGCTGCTGCATTTAGCAGTACAAGATCAAACCCAGAATGAAGAATTATTTATGATTTATGTCCATGTCGTGCCACTTTTGTGCTAAAATATCAAATATGGTCAAGCCATCATCAGGTCAACAGATGCAAGTCAATTCAAGTCGCAAGTCATTGGCGTTCAAGTCCGAGTCAAGTCATAAGTTTTTATAGATTTTATCAAGTCAAGTCAGAAGTCATTAAAATAATGACTCAAGTCTCACTCAAGTCCAAGTCATGTGACTCAAGTCCACACCTCTGCTATTTTGATTTAAAATTTACTAGAGACATATTGGTAGAGTGAGTCTTGGGGACCACAGGATGGGCAATGTTGTTATTGTATATGACCTGACCCAGTGGGAGCACATAGAGATTGAGGAGCAGTGGTCCAAGAATTGAACCTTGAGGGACCTCACATGTCATGGTGATCTGCTCTGATTTGTGATCACTAATAGAAACAAAACAACAGAGCAGAACAAGACAGTGACGACTCGGAAACGATTTTGGCTTCAACTTTTGACTAATTACTCTTGTGCTTTTCTTTGAGTCAAGAGTAGATTTAGGTACTCATTTATTTAGAAAAAGGATGTATTTGCGTCTTCTTTGACAGTATATGGAGAACTTTTCCATTGACTGACATCCATAGCGGTGAGTACATCACGTTTTTTGTTGTCCAATAGCGTGAGGAGACAATTTGAAAGACAACCTTAGAGTCCATCCCACGATTGAGCTCTGTCTATGGGTCGTGGCCAAACTACATATTCACATATATAGGATGGCTTGCCAGGCTACAAAATACTTACATACATACAATACATCATAAGTCTGAAAGGAAAAACAAAATGAGCTATTGAATTATACTTTCAACTGGAATGGGTAAAAGCTCTCTTGTGACTCTTGAACTCATTGAGATCAATATTTAATACAGCTTTAATAGCAAGGACCATTTCATTTAATGTGACTGGTGATGGCTAAGTATAAAGAGTATTAGAATACCAGGATACAAATCATTTATACATATCTGCTCATTATAATAGAATTAAATATGGATGGAAAAACCAATGGTTTTTAGTGAACAAACCGAAACTAAAGGTGCTGCAAAAATCTGATGTTCAAAACATATATTTGAAATACATAACAATAATTTCAATGAGAATGGTCTGGTACAGGACAAATGCATGGGAGATGAAGATGTGGTGATTAGCAGCAAGGATCAGATGTGCAGAAAGCAGGACTTAAATAACCAAGACTGCCTTGACAAATTCAGACAGAAAATCTATAAAATGCAAAAAAGAATAAAGAAACTTTCAGGCAAAAACTGAAAATCTGAACCAAAAGAAATGATGAACGTTACAAAATAAGTCTAAAACCTATCATCTGTAACAATAATTCACATTTTAAACCATTAAAATGAATTTTAGCAACATGCATGCAGTGATTGTAGGAATCTCCATTGGGGAAAAGTGAACCTTTGAAAGCACCCCACACGACATACAGTATGCTATAAATCCATAAATGATTAACAGCTTGCTTGTACAGAGTACATCGTGTCATCAGTAACACTACACCAGAATAACTGACACGACTGACAAAGGACTCCAAGTTGCTCAAATTGGTTGTTTATGTGAAACTGATGAATCTCACTGGCTTCCAGAGCAGACATCTAGCTTATGCTGCTTTCAAACATAAAACATGAACACCAAAGTTTCGTCTCAGCTTCATCTGATCTCACCAGGCTTCAAAACTTCACCATCTTCTGTCAAAGAGAATGAAACACCAACCTCTTGAGGAAGTCTGGATCATGGTCATTTCCATATGGCCTGACTCACAAACCTTTCCGAGACCTTATTCTCGGATCGGCACAGACCGAAAAATTAATAAATCATCGCCCATTAATGTGGTTTGACACGAGTCCCTGCTGTTTGAGATATGGGAACGGCAGCTAATTGTCGCTTCCTTGAGAAATCCCAGGGGGAGCAAAGGTTTGCTGAAGCTACTCATTAACCACATTGGCTTCACACCTTTACAAGTATCTGCTTCTTGGGTTTGGGCACAAATTAGTTGCTACTCTGAGATGTGATTTTACCTGCTTGTTGGTGCTGTCTGCCTCTTTGTTCCTAACTTGGTCCAAGTTGCTGTAACTGAATTACATCTAAAAGAAACTACTGATAAAAAAAATCTCCATGTCAAAGCCAACTTGGCCCAATGCAGTTCTGTATTTAATATTTGTGATTTTTAGCAACATGCAAACATGCACTTTCTACGTGTAATATCATAGTAGAATCATTTAATCGTTTCAACCGGTGTTGGTCATGTTGCTGAATTAAGACTTTTCAAAAAAGTAACTATTTAGAAGAAAGTCTGTGATCCATCACTGTGTTCATTCATTTGCCACATGTAGAGTTTGGAATTTCCCCCTTGATAATAAGCTTGTGTCATTATAATGTATACTACCAGCCACCTGACAGCTGATCCGCTAATGAAAGGGCAGCAGCTGATGTAAATGAATTGCTTGGATACTTCTGGTGGCTACATTTAGCAGGATAATGTGCCAAGTCACAAAAATCAAACATCTGAAACTATTTTCCTCAACAGTCACCAGTTCGCCATCCAGTCCTGGTTCAAGTATGCTGCAGCATCTACAACATGAAGCTCTAAAGCAGTCCAAATTTGTACCATGGCCAGTCAGTGTACATTTAATGTCTACTTTAGATTTACTTTTTTTTATTTTAAACCACCAAATAGTTCCCTGAGCGTGGCTGTTTCTGCAGCTCACCGCTCCCCAAGGGGATGGGTCAAATGCGGAGAACAAATTTCGCACACACACCTGTGTGTGTGACAACTAATGGGACTTTAACTTTAACTTTTTAACTTTAATGTTTGGTCTTGATTCAGAAAAAGGTAGAATGCATCTTCGGGTCAGGGATGAGGTCCTGCACCAAGTGGAGGAGTTTGAGTATCTCCGGGTCTTGTTCACGAGTGAGGGAAAACTGGAGCGTGAGATCATTAGGTGGATTGATTCTGTATCTGCAGTGATGCTGGCGTTGTACCGGTCTATCGTGAGGAGAGAGCTGAGTCAGAAGGCGAAGCTCTCGATTTACCGGTCGATCTACGTTCCTACCCTCACCTATGGTCAAGAGCTTTGGGCAGTGACCGAAAGAACGAGATCACGGATACAAGCGGCCAAAATGGGGTTTCTCCGCAGAGTGGCTGGCTCTCCCTTAGAGATAGGGTGAGAAGCTCGGTCATTCGGGAGGGGCTCAGAGTAGGTTTGCTGCTCCTCCACATCGAGAGGAGCCAGTTGAGGGGGCTCGGGCATCTGGCTGGATGCCTCCTGGACGCCTCCCTGGTGAGGTTTTCCAGGCACGGCCAACTGGGAAGAGGCCTAAAGGTAGACCCAGGACATGTTGGAGGGACAACGTCTCTCACCTGGCCAGGGAACGCCTTGGGATTCCCCCGGAGGAGCTGGCCAAAGTAGCTGGGTAGAGGGAAGTCTGGGCCTCTCGACTTAGGCTGCTGCCCCCGCAGCCCAACTCCGGATAAGCGGATGAAAATGGATGGATGGATTTACTTTAATATACACGGTGCACCAATTGCAGTTTTTGGCTGATCTTGACAAAAACCTGACTTGCCGATACTGATTTTGTCTTAAGTAAAAGCAGATTACGTCAATGTTTCAATTGCCTTTTATAGAGAAAACCAATGTGAATACTCATGAAATAAAACCAGTTTCAACTGGACATGAGGTAATGTTCTCAAATGTAAATGGACATATTTAACATTGCTGTTTGAACTACAAAATCATATTTGTTCCTTTAGACTTTCATTTTTCTAATTTTGAAAACAAAACTTTTGTACCTGTTTTGACACACTTGTACAAAAAAATTATTCTATAGCAATGATTTGCTTCAACATTAATTAGGGGTGCACCGATTGCAGTTTTTGGCCAATCACCGATCTTGAAGAAAACCCAAGATTAGGGTCGATAGATTGGTGCACCCCTACTTTAACATGATTCAGCTGCATGTTGCTGAAGAGTCTTCTAACTTACCAAGGAAGTGGACACTCTCTGGGATGGAGAACTCATCGCTGGGTGGGATCTGTGGTGGTTCCACCACATTGATCTCGGAGCTCACCCACTCATTCATTCAGGAGGGTTTTCTGTCACAGACGAGAGGCCAAAAAGTGCTACAAGGTTCCAGGAAGTCTTTGTTTACTGCTGTAAAAACAGGAAATAAAGGTAATACGGTGTGTTAAATAAATATATAGGTTACCTGAATTTTTCGCAGAGAAATGAAACATCACAACATCTGACTGGTCTCCTCTCCCACGCATGGATGACATGTTTCAGGAAGGAGCTAGATGAAGGTCAAACTTTTCAGAAGAGCAGATCATATAAAGTAGACGCTAACTACTTTGTCATTAGAGCACAGCTGACAGGGTTTGTAATAAGATCAGTGATGTCACTGTTGGTGTATTTTTATTAAACATGCAGCAACATGTGGAAACCTTCAGAGTTAGTTAGCTGGCTTTAATAAAACCAAAGAGTGGCTCCACACGAGCTCTTCAATATCTCCTGTCGAGGCCACAAAGCGGTCACGCTGCATGGACGCTCCTTTTATCGACCAAGCTGTCACATCATTTTAATTAACTTTGTGTAATTTCCCTCGAGATCAAAAGGCGGCCCACAAGGTTTCCGTAACCTCCACCCAACATAAAAACCAAGCTAGAAGTCTGGTCAGACTGGTCCTTATGGCTCCTACCTTCTCCTTGATGAGCTTAAAAACCGTCCTTCTGACGTCTTCCTGATTCTGAAATCCACCCTGCGAGCTACAGCTCGGTCAGCATCTGCTGATGGACACTAAGTTGCACCAGGCTGGACTCCAGAGAGAGGATGTGCGACCAGTTGAGGGTTGAAGAGAAAGAGATGGTTATTAATTAAACTGTCTATTCCTGTCCATGTCAACCCACCCCTTCAAACACCACCACCACCCCTCTTCCTAGACACACACACACACACACACACACACACACACACACACACACACACACACACACACACACACACACACACACACACACATCCAGTCATTAGCTGGACACAGACAGCTGGCTGGATTGTGAGAAAGCATGTTTTCCACCATCATACTTCTTCCATTAATTATGGGTATCCTGTACTTTATTCTGTGCTTATTCAGCAATTAAAGAGGGAACATAGTTTGGCAAAGTGCCAATCACCCATCCTTGAACCAATGAGTCCTTCTATCATTCCACTGCATCACTGAGTGATAATCAATATCAGATTTGTTTGTTTTGGCACTTTCAACCCTGCCTCACTTTTTTTTCATACCTCCAAATAAACACAGCACATTAAATCCTTCCTTTGACTTTTAAATCTTGATTTATTTTCAAAAAAGGAATAGTTTAATAATTGATGGGTTGTTGCTCCATCCAGAGAGGCCCGTCTGAGTCAACAGACAGTCTCTCTGAAATAAACAGAACCTTTGCTATTGGTTGCTGTTTGTGGACTATCTGGTTTATGTTTGAGAGCATGCAAGTGATGAAGCGACACATAAATTACATCCAGAGACAGGAAATAACTTTTTCCTTGCTTTAGTACCACCATGCTTTTCTGAATCACGCAGAGAGCCTCCTGGAAAGTAACACCATCGATGAAACACGCAGAGCCAGAGAACTACAAAGAAAACCAGCATCAAAGTCCATAACCTTGAGATCTCTTATCACAACGTGATAATCGTTTAACTTTTCATGGCCAAATCACACAACGCTTATTTCAGCGTTTTTCAGGCCAAATCCTCTGAAACCAGAGAGGCAAATGCTGACAGGGAATATCCTGTCTAGTAATTATGAAGCAGGGAAATTGATAACACAAAGGATGTTTACAGAGTGACTGGAAGCAGACCCGTGTTTTGAAATGTTTAAATCATGTGTTCATGCTGACATGAACAAGCAACAGGAACAAGATACAAATAACAGAAATTATTGGAAATAATAGAATAATAAAATAATCTATTTTAAGATGACAGATGAATTGGAAGCTGAATACAGTAGAACTAAAGTTTGGTCAAATGTGGACTCCAGATTTATTTTTTCCTAGGAAAGAAATTCGGGAAGTCACTCTCATTTAAGCCTCTCAATGTGGCAGAAATCTCTGAAATATCCTGAAAACTCTTGGGATAAAATAAATGTATCTGATATATCCGGCTTAAGAATAAATATAAATATTTATATTTCAATGATTTGATATATGCGACCAAATTTGTGTGGCATTATTTCTTTACCTACTTTCTCCTAACATGTTATTATGGTGTCATTTAAGGTCGTGGGACACTAATTTAATCAATACGTTTGCAGTGGTCTCTAGTAGAATGAATCCCTTGTAAGTTGTACTCTGGGGGGAAAGAAGCTCAGATGTGCCTAGGGGGCGGAGTTACTGGTTGCGCCTGAGTTCTCTGCCTTCTGTTTCACTGCCAGCAGCCATTTCCTGGTTCAGAGTCTGACAAAAATCCATAAAACTGGGAAAAATGTCCAGCAACACCACCTTTTTTCAGCTGAGTTGCATTTCTGTGGAGTATACAAGTTACCTTACACCATCTATTGATAACCTCATGCTATTTTGTCATAAGTAAAAATCGATTTTTACTTATGACAAAATAATAAGAGGCAACACATTCTCATACCCAAAGCGTCGAAAACCGACATTTAACCTCTAACCTCTTGCTATTTAACCTTCCTCTCACCACCATCCTAACCTTAACCCTGTTGCTCGTTCTAAAGTTCTCGTTAACCGTGTTGGAGAGGAACGTTACAACTAGAAACAATGTTTTGCATGCCCAATAGGGTTACGTTTAGGATGGGGGTGAGGGGAAGGTTAAATAACAAGAGGGTAAAGGTCAGAATTTGGTGAAATCTCCGTTTTATTGTGGCAGTCGGAAACGACGCTCTGGCACAGCTCGTCGGCTCCCGACGCGTTTGGACTCCCAACGTGTCAGAAACAAACGCTTGGTCACACGGTTTTCTACGGTTCGGGTGTGATAATGTGTTGTAAGAGGCCGACTCTTCCGAAACCGGACAAACGCTGACATGGAAAACCCTCTTCACTCATTGCCAGTGATGAAAGGGAATCTGATGTGCTTGTCCTTTTGCTGGAGGTTGCACTGCCAGGGATTTTTTACCCTAATCGCCAACCGTTGGTAAGGTCTTACTCAAACACAAAAATACCTTTTGCTTGCAATGATTTAGGTATGCACTGCCCCCTATCACCAGGGAAAATAAACACCATCACTTTAAGCCTTGTATTTGATTTTGTTTTTACTTTGATCTATCTCTTTTATCTATGGCTGCATTGTGGCACTGTTGCTTCAGAGTAAGGTTGCAGGTTCAACTCTCAGCGGCAGCCTTCCTGTGTGCTCCAGTCCAACAACACACATGTTGGGTTAAAAACTATAAGTCACCTTTGCTTTTAAAAAAAGTGTCCACCAATAAACATCTATACCAGTTCAGCAGCTAATTTTTGTTAGCACATGGTGTTCTTTGTTCCTACATGTGTAAAGTTGTCGTTAAGGCTCTTTATTATTAATTAGCTAATTACAGACAAATAAAAAGCACCTTGACCTATAACATTTAGAATAAAAAGGTTTATAAATTATAGTAATGGCCTTCGATCAGCATGAGTTAACTGCATTCACAGATCAGTTTGTGATGTTTTATGTGTGGCTGACAACGTAGCACATGGAAAAATAACCATTATTCTGATATTTTTACTAAATAATCCACAACACTGAAGCTTTTCAGTTTCTAAACAATCTTGATGGAGTTTATTTCATGTGTTCATGTGCAAATCAGTAAAGTTATACTTTACAAATCCATTTCTCTCTTCTGCAGCAGCAACAACGAGTGCATTTACCAAATTATTTTATACAGAAGGTAAAAATCTCCTGCACATTATTCAAAGAAACTACACGAATTTCTACATTTCAAACACTGAGAAAATGCAAAAATAACGCCTAAAACACCTGAACAATGAGCAATTTTTCATTAAATGAGTTCACAGAGAGCTCAATATTCATTTTGTCCTATTGATGTGCAAGCTTTGAGCTCTTTTATATATTAAATCTGATATAAAAATGCACCCAAATGGTGAACATAGGCTTGCTTGGACAAGGACAGCAAGCAGAAGCAGACCCGGTGCAGTCGCTCAGCAAAAGCAAACAGAAACGAGAAAGACCCACGACGTTACATTCCTATTGGACATGGTTCTCCACATTGCATAGCTGACACAAACATTTCATGAATTAGAGTGAAACTACGTTCAGTTGCACGAAAAGTAAAGTCTGGTATGAAAGTTGATATGTTGGGCATGTTTACCAATGTTTAATAAACACACAATTACAACATCAGCATACATTTGTTTATCTGTTTTTAATTATATTCTTAATTCTTTTTTTGTCCTCTAATAAAAAAAATCTATTGAATTTCAGCTATTTGGTGGTTTTTGGGTTTAGAACATCACTAAATGGTCGTCTTGAGGTACTTCTGATGCTGCTGCTCCTGTTTCTTTAAGACTTTGCACAGAGAAGAATTCAGTGTTTTGGAAGTCCTAGACCAGACCACTCATTGGTACTGATCCTGGAAGTCCCCGTTCCCATAGTGTTCCTCCTCCTCCTGCACGGTCGCCCCTCTCTTCTTCTTCCAGCCCTGCTTTTGACCGTATGAATTGTCTGTTGTTCCGTAACTCTTTTTGGGAGCCAGCGCGTTCTCCATTTTTAGCTCCGACTCTTCAGCCAGCTCGTCTTCATCGATGATTCCGCATTTATCCTCGCTCAGGCCCTCGGGGTTGGCCCAGTCCTGCTGCTCTCCTGAAGCAAAGATGGCGTAGAAGATGACCCCTGAGTAATGCACCATTGACGCAATGATGAAGACGTGCTGCCACTCCAGACGGGTCTGTGGGAACAGATTTTCTATCAGATCTGAGGTTAGGTCATAAATGCACCTGTGGTGATGTCAGCAGAAATATGTGTCAACAAAAAAACTCATCTGCAATTATTTAAACCCAGAACTTCAACAACATTTTACCAGTTAGGTTTTACCTTGTGCCTAGTCAAGGCTCCAACAATTAATGGACAAACCATTCCCGACAGCGTTCCGACTCCATTGGAAATGCCCATCAGAATGCTGGCGTAACGGGGAGCAATATCTAGGTGATTGACGTTAAAACCTAAAAACACAAGAGTGCTTTTAATTCAGCAGGACGGTTTATGTGAGCATAACTTACAGCTACACATGCACTTTCATATTTCGGTTGCCTTGACTACAATCTATAAAATATTCAGTAAATCTGCCTCGTTAAAAGTTGCACAGGCTTAAAATTAAACACTAGACAAAATGGAACGCGAGTAAAAGGAAGCGTATGTGTGACTTTATGCACAGATCCAGAGTATTTACGCTAAAAGTTTAAAATCACCTGATATTGCAAATCCGCTGAAGCCCACAGCCAGCACCAGGAAAGAAATGGCCACTGCTCGGGTGTGAGAGAATCCAACCACCAACAGCAGAGTGGCCTCCATGCCGAATCCTGAGAAAACGGGCAAAACGTTTGTTAGTAATAATGAATACAGAGTCAAGAGACTTAATCAAAAGAAAAATGTGTGTATTAAGGACAGGTTTCCAAAAAGTAGAATAGACTTTAAAGGTGTGGAGCACTCGTTTAATCATTACATTTGCAGTGGTCTTTAGTAGGAATGAATGCCTTTTAAGTCATTCTCAGGGGAAAAAAATATACCAGTGCACTATTTCCAGGAACTAGCAATGACCCACTTCACAGCTGACCTTCAGACAGGAGGTTTTGGAGTCTTATTTCCTGATATTTGGACATCTCGACTGAAGGAGTTCTGCTGTGTGATGAATTTGCTAATGCTATCGGTTAGCTTCTACTCACCGAGATGTTCTCTGCTGTTTCCTAGACGCTAAATCAACAACATCCTTCCCCATCATGAGTCAGGATGGGTGAGTCCATGAACGTTAAGTGACAATGTGACGTAGAACCGTCAAGCTTTTCAAATCCTAACGTGCCACCATCTATTTTCTACCAGAAGCTAATGCAGCAGAGGTAGGAGACTATTTTCATTTTCAACCTGCATGAAAATCTCTGAGTGACTGATTATAATCAGAGAAAAGAATTAAAAATGGGTTTTCAGTGTTCCACACCTTTAAATGTCATTCGAGGTGAGATGGGCTTACACCAGCATACCTCCACAGTTCATCATCTTTCTCACGTTGGTCGTAGACATGATTTTTTTTGTTCGTAGGAAGTCGGCTAGCTGTCCTCCGATAGGGACAACAATGGTCATCACCATGTGGGGAACAGCAGAAAGGATCCCCACCTATAAAGACATTCAGGAAGTGAAATGATCATTACAAAAGCCTAACTTTGGAGGGAGAATTAATCCTTTACGGCCAAATATTCCTAAATTTCTTAGACCTCTATCTGTTTAACAGGATTAGTACATTCCTCAAATTTCTGCTCCTGTGGCAGAGCTAAGTACTGCAGTAAATGACTGCTTTGTTTTCACTACTTATTTTACTACTACTTGTTTTACTGACATTGATCTATAATTAGATTGATCTTTTCGGGGAAAAATAATTTTATGATTGTTACTTTATGTATCAAGGTCCAAAGGGTTAAACACCAAAACTACACGGCTGTGGTGAAACAGTGATGCAACCTTGCTAATGGGGAAGCCGAACACTTCCTCAAAATACGCTGGCTGGCTGATGAGAAGCAGGTAGAAGGTCCAGCTACGGCAGAAGTTTGCCACAATGATGGCGTAGACCGGCATGGAAGTGAAGAAACGACGCCACGGTGTTTTGAATTTCTGTGATCAGCACACAAAGTTGGGGTCAGATTTTCACTGAGCAAGCAGAAATAAAAGATTATTTTTGTTTAACATACACACTTCTGTAACACTCAGTTGGTTCAATGTTTCTCCAATGGCCGCCTCGATATACATTTGTTCCTCTTCTGTGATTGTGGGATGATCAGCTGGACTTCCATACGCCAGCAGGAGCCAGAAGATGTACCATATGATCCCAAAAACACCTGTTTGGGAAAAAAATGAATCAAAGGAGAAATTAGTCATACTTTGAGATGCTTGTCTTTACATTTTAGCTCAGGACATCATCACAGTATCATAGGATTGTTTTAATATTAAAAAACCAGCATGACTCATTGAGGTGAGACAGGAAAATGCCAATTTACATCAATAAATCACAAGATTGTATCAGATTAAGATCAGAGTGGGTTTTTATTAAAACACATTTGCCAGGGTAGAAATTTGATGCGGCTCAGGATGATGTTCATCAAACCCTAAAAGCAAATTTAAATAGTGCAACATCAGTCAAATATTATGAAAATCTATGTATATGACTCTAAAATATATATTTATACAGTGACCTTCATGTAAAAAGAAATTGGTTATTGCAAATACACACCCTGTTTATCATTCTAATTACTAGAGATGTGTTTTAGTGAAATTCTGGCAATACGATGTGTATCTCGATACAGGGGAGACGATACGATATATCATGATATATTGCAATACATTCAGCTAGATGATATTAGCTATTTTTGTAGACTGAATTTGTTGTGGGAAAATTCAATAAACAGTCCAAACTGATACGTAACATGTTTAACATGAGGTATCCGAACCGTTATAGGGAGCCTAAGTCAAGCCCAGCTACTTCCGGACCATGGGAAGAACAAAACAATGAATGCAAGTCAGTGGGGCTAAAAACACTATTTTTTAATTCCACTTGTTATGTGCCATGGATTTCATATATGATGTCCGTGAATTTTAAATATGCATTTCGATGCAAGAACTCACTTATTTTTGCATGGGGGAAACATTATTTTAGGTTTTGTGTGAAAATAAGTCCTGGACTACAAATATGCATCACGAAAGTGACGTCATTGAACCAGACACGGAAAAAAACAGAGGAAAAATGACGGAAAGTTTAGAAAACTTTAAATCCTTCCTTCAGGAGGAAAAAAAACCATCATACATCTGTCCATGTGGTATGCAGCTACGCTAGATGAGAAGAGATTCTGTGGTGACGTTACATATGCGACGTGCTCATGTCTAACTTGTAGTCATGCTAATTATGAACTTTTACAAGCTGATAAATCTCAAAGTATGTGATAGGCATGGTCAAAACACCCGTCATTAGTTTTCATTTAAATTGCAGAACAACATATATGCGGTCCAGGGCGCAAGGCAAAGCGGATTAGAAAATAGCTCTTTTAGACCCGTTGACTTGCGTTTATTTTTTCGTTCTTCTGGGGACCCATGAGCTGACAGAAAAGGAAGGAGACTTACAAGGGATTTATATTTCAATGGTGGAAACAAAACCCAATGCACACTGCTGCTTACTAGCGGTCGGTGTTTGAATTGCACCAAAAAAAATACCCACAAGTATTTGCATGTAAATACTTCCAAAAATTCAATACACAGCATTTGAATATCGATATAATATCGCAAGAAAAAATATTATGAAATATTGCCATAATGATATTTTCTTACATCCTACTAACTACTGTATTTAATTATTATCACTGATGTTAGTCAGCACATGAGATAATGCATCTAATGATTTAGTTATTTTAGTTTTGTTCCATCTCACCATAAACATAAAAGACCGACGGCCAGCCAACGTACTGAACCATCACTCCAGCTAAAGGCATGGCGATCACGGCTCCAGCGTAGGACCCTGGGAACAGAGCACCACGTCACTTTTCCTTTCTATTTAATCCAACATCTGCAACATAAAAGATTTTAGTCAACCAAATCAAAGAATGGCATTAGTGTCACTGTCAGGGTGAGTCATTAGCGGTGCCATTAATGTGTTTTAGCGTGTTTTACAGCATCTGATGCTTCATAAGCATAGTTTTCAATAGAGCCGCCAGCACTTCTGGACAGCGAGCATTGTGACGCTTCATTTAGACAAATGGAAGGAGAAGCTCTTTCAGATTACACAGTTGAGCTGTGGTCATTTGCAATGTTTTTAATGAAGGGGTTGTCATAGCAACAATTCAACTCCATCACAACTATTTCTATGTGAACAGAGCCAGATAAGGATGGGATCTGCAAGGCAAAAGAAGCCCTTTCATGTTCTTCTGCTGACCAGCGCAACTCTGACTTCTGAGGCGTCTGTAAGAAGTGACCCTCACCGCAGAATGATGTGGTAGCCAGTCGACTCCGCTCCAGAGGCGGTGCCCATTTAGACCACATCCCATGGCATGCTGGGTAGGTGACCCCCTATCAGATGGAGAAAGGTAAAATGTGACTTTAGGAGAAATCTGGGATCCAAAGCAGAAATGCTTTAACTAACTAGATTGAAATTTTGGAAAAACTTATTCTGGATCTGTTCAAATGAAATTGAAACAACCAGTTGGATTTCTGATAAAATAATCTGCAAAAAAAGTCACGAACTTGGAAAATCAGCTTCCTCATATTCCAGAATGATGCAACTTTGTCTCTCCAGCAGGCTGCTCATTGTTACTAATATGAGGCTTTTTGAGCAGTGCATATTTTAAAAATCCATAATCAAAAGATTTTAGCTTTTTTCATTTCTACTTTATTCTAATTACCCAGGAAGATATGAATATACCGTAGGTCACTGCCCTGCATATTTAATAGTGGCACAAGTTCACTAGAGGTCTGTAAAGTGACTCCCAAAGGCTACTACAATTATTTTCTCATTCTGTACTCTTAGACATGAATTAATTGCCTGATGTTATGAGGAAGCTGTAATGTAGTACTACTGTATATTAGCAGTACTATTACTGTGGTTCTATTCTCCTTACCTCCACTAACCCCTGCAAGATGCGCACAAACATCACACAACCATAGTGCACCCTCGCTGCTGATGGAATGAACATATTCAGCAGTGATGTCAAGAAAATGGCCGCTCCAAACACCCTGCAAAAAAAAATTATTTATAAAATGTTAATTGCTGGAACGTAAATCACAGTGTTAGTTTGTTATTTCCCACCATTTGAAGCTAGAGTAACGGTGATTATGTAATGTACAGATTCTCTGCAATTTGGTAACTGGCTAACTGACTTTCTATTTTATTTATTTTATATTAATTAATAAAAATAATTTTGAGTGGTCACCAGGGTGCCCCAAGAACTACATCAGGTGCCCGCAAGCTTGTTCTAAAACAGCACATCACCTAGCAGCATCTAAAATTACATTTATTTCTGTTGCTGTTCTTTTTTATTTCACTTGCATTCATATAGATAAATCAGTACTTTTATTTTATTTTTTTGCATTTTTTGGGCTCAGATTTTTAATAGAATGTCTATTTTAGGCCTTTTTTGGGCATTACAAATAAAAAATTGTTGTAAAATCATTTTTTTAAAAGAATAAAGAAAATCCCATTCTTGTGACCCACGAGGACTGGTGATTTCAGCCACTGTCTTAAAAACTTTGGACAGTCCTGATTTGAGTTTGATCAGTGGTTTGCGTTAGCTACCTGTAGTGGTAGCTTGCAGCAACATTTCATTGCAGACGTTATTTTTGTCTTGAGAAAACTAGATTTAGAGAGTTTTTTCATTTTGTGGTATTTCTTCACATCTTTCTGCAGCAAATAAACAAGCAGCTGAAAGCTGCAGAGGATGTAGAATATTTACAGGCTCAACACCTTTAAATATGACAGTCGAAGTATCTCAGTCAGTCCCAATCTGACTGATCTCCCACCTCTCTCATTCTCTGCCTCAGATAAAGTCATCCCATCATATCCAAAACTGTGTGCTTCATCTTCCCTCCCTTCCCTCTCTTTTTCCAAAGCCGTGTGTAAGTGACACTTGTAATATTCCAGAGGCTGGTGTTTCAGAAGGAAATCAGAGGCAGGATCTTTCATTATTAACTCTGTCAGTGGTGTGTCCCTTTTTCCTGTGAAGCTTTTATTACAGGACTGCTATCTACTCCATCGGCGAACAGCTTTAACCCTTTATCCACAAGAGCTGAGCTGGTGCTGTCCCCAAATCCCGAGCTTCAATTAATTCATCTTATTCTTAAAACTATCAAGGCTTTATTTTTTTCTTCCTTGATTTCTGAAAAATAAGACTGGAAACTTCCAAATCTATAGTGCATATTGACTTACATGCAATCATTAAGTCCTTAGAAAAGCATTCGGCTGAGCCAAACTGCAGATTTAGAAGCCCAGATATTGGATGAAGACAGAAAACTGCATAAACCTGTTGGCAGACAGCTTGTTGGAGATGAATCCGCCAGGGATTTGAGTCACGATGTAGCCCCAGAAGAAGGAGCCATGAATGAGCCCCACTGTCTCTGGGTCCCAGTTAAACTGAGCTTTCTGGAAAAGGGAGAAAACTAAAATAGATCACATTTACAAAATTAAATAACACCTCATTTAGACAAATGTTTTGGGATGTTGGATTGGACCCATTTGGCATTCAAAAATTATAATTATTTATCATTTATGTGTGTGGTTAGATTATTTTTTTATGTTCTGCACAAACCAGACAGTATTAGTAGATAGATTTACATTTTTTCTGTCTGCTTTCATTGCTTCCTTTGTTTTTAGATGATGATTTGTTTTTCTCTACCTGAAGCACCGGGGTACCGTTGATGTAGACGGTGTTGTTGTTCACCATCTCCACGATGGCCACACCCAGATTACATCGAATGCCGAAGGAGATGCAGAAGCCCAGGCCGCTGAGGATGGCGATGATGTAGCGCTTAGGCAGACCACCGCAGCTGCAGTCAAACAGGGGAGTGGGACGTGGCTTTGATGCCACCGGACGGCCGTCTTCTGTGAGCTCAATGTGGTCTTCATCTTCAACATTGCTGCCATCAATTTTCCTGGAGAGAGGATGAAGAACTTGTGGGATCAATGCTAAAATAGCAGGCAGACAAAGTGGAAAAAGGCCAGTGATCTGAGGTCATCAGGTTTCTTTCAGGTGTATCAGCCTCCTCAGGTGTTTTACCACCAAGAATCAACCTGTTTGAACTCAATCTGCTCAAACAAGACACTGAAGTTTCTGCTTGAGAGCTCAGATCTTTATATTTTACACCTCCTTGTAAAGAAACCTCCAGACAACTGATGGTTTCAAATTAACTTTGACAGCAATTAAGGACATAATCATCAGAAATGCCTCCAAAGAGTGATAAAAAAACTTGAGTTCAGATGAATAATGTGATTACAGGCGAATCACGTGTGGAAACACCCACAAATTTTAAGAAACTATAAAAAATATAATCATTAAGTTCTGTATTTTTATTTTAAGAAACTCTGAAATTTGTGTGTTTGGAATTAAATAAAAATATTTTGTGCCTTTTCTACTGTTTTCATATAAATGTTATATAAATTGGCCAAATTTTCAAATGGTAAATGACCTGTATTTAATATGGTGCTCTTTAGGACTCTACAACCCCCCAAGGCACTCTACAGCACAACCAGTCATTCACCCATGCACACACACATTCACACGCTGGTGGTGATAAGCTGTAATGAAGCCACAGCCGTACGACTGGGGCGCACAGACAGAGATGAGGCTGCTGTTCACAGGCGCCACTGGTCCCTCCGACCAGGCAAGGTGGGTTGAGTGACTTGCCCAAAGGACACAACAACTGCAACAGTCTCAGGGGCTCAAACCTGCATCCCTCCAGCAAGCACCTGACTCCTCTGCCACCGTCTCTCATAACTGTTAACATTCACAATGAATAAACGGAACAATGATATGTAACTACGTATTTTAGATATTTAGGAATACTGAAACATAGTAATTACTCTAAAAGCACTGATTGAGCGTCCTCATTCTTCTCGTTTATTATCTTCTTGCTGACATTTATCATTTACTATTGTGAGTATGTTGGTGTAAATTTTCCCGCAAATTTTTTTGTGGAAGGTTCCAACCAAAGCGTACGAAGATCTGAGTTTTTAAACAACAGTAAGATGCTTCTTTTGGAATTAAACAGACGTTTGGCCATTAGGAATTCAGAAAAATTCTTATTTTCATTTCCCTGTCTTCAATATTCAGGTTTCTCTACCATTCACACACACACACACACACACACACACACACGCACACACACACACACGCACACACACACACACGCACACACACACACACACACACACACACACACTGCTGTGAATTATGTATCAGAAATAAATTATGAATCAGAATCTTAAAATTATAATGCTATTACATCACAATAATCAAATATTCATGTACAGGATCTCGTACAGTGGAATGCTTATTCTAAGGGTCCCTTGAAGATATTTAAACAAAAAAATGGGCATTTAAACAGAATGCTTTGAAACAGATTAGAATAAAAAGATTAAGGCTTTCACATTGCATGCTCACACACACACACACACACACACACACACACACACACACATGCACACACACACACGCACACACATTCCACCATCATACCATGAAACCCTCTCACCTCTGCAGCTTTCCAAGCGAGTCCCCTACTGTGTTCTTCGCCTCCTCCTTGCCAGGTTTGAAAACCTGATTTTTAAAACCTGCTAAATCAAAAGGCATCTTTCTTTTGTTCCTCTTTTATCCCAAAACAGTCTTTGCAGCTCACAAGGACGCCTCAATGTCGAAAAGGGAAACAGAAATCCACTAGAGGCTGTGGCTCATGCTCCCTGAGTTTGTGGCTCCAGCTTTCAGCAGCACTTAGGGTCCCATAGAGGACTTCCCCAAGTTTTGGAGACGCGTTGACGTGAGATGTGTCCCTCAGTGTCCTGAATTTCACTTAAAAAGAACTTGTCTCATCTTTGAAGGGGCCATCCAAGACCGATGGAAGAGCGAATGTAGGCGGAGAATCCAGGTTTTATTCTTGAGTCGCCCTCATCCTCTCCTTGTCTGCAGCTGAACTGAACAAAGATCTCAGTGCATCTCATCACTCATTCGATTGGCGAGAAGGGGCAGGTGTTAAAACGATAAAAAGGAAAACAGCCCCTCGCTTTCAAATAGCATCATCTTCATCAGCTCCACCCCTTTATTTAGTTAAATTCATCTGATAGCAGCCCAGAAGACATCCAAATGAAATATGCATGAGGTTGACATGTTGAGGAGAGGCAGGCGTAGCTAGACTCTGGAGGAGTTAGATGGGAACAGGTGAAACCAGAGACAGAGCCATGCAGCTCCAGGTTTGCACCCTTATACCCTACCAGCATTTTAGAGACATGGTTATAATATTTCCTGCATGAATCCTTAATTTTGTATCGTTTGATGCAAAACTTCTCTAAAACGATTCCTTTTTCTTGCTGTGGAAAGAATTCTTTATTGGAATCATTAAATATGCAGCATTTTAAAACACAGAAATGGAGATTTTAAAATTTAAACAGCAGATGGATGATGTGACACAGAGCTCCCAGTGATTTAACACTCCAGTCGAAACCCCAACACACAGCTATTCTTTATTAAACTTCAGCTGTAATATGTTTACATATTTTAATGTAAATCTTAACTTCGTTTTGAGAATTCGGGATTAATAAGAGGTACTTAAAGCAAGCAAACAGTGAAGATCTGAATATTTAAGACTGAGTCTAACTTCTTTAGGACAAGACAAGTCTGCCATCTAGTGTTGACTTCTCTAAAAACATAGGATCAGTTACAAAAGTTTGAGACTGCTGATTCGATTAGAAAAAAATTGCTGAACAGATGTTACAGAACTCTTTTTTACTTATCTTTAGATCTCAGTTCTACAGTGTTCAGGTTTATTTTAGTTTAGTAGCTTTGTTTTTTACAGGATTTCGATCTGGTGTTCTCTCCTGCCTGTTTCTGCTCCTCCTCTCAGTTTATTAGTCTCACCTGTGCCCAATTCCCATAATCACCCAGCCCCTGTGTATATGACCCTGTCTTGTCTCTCAGTGTTTAGTTGTCTATTGTCTTTGTCAGCGTTGCTCAGTTGCCTCCTGTGCTTTTGTGTGTGTTTGTTTTTTGTCTCTCTGTGTGTGTTACTCCTCCAAAATAAAGGATTCTTATTTTTGCAACCGCTCCTGCCTGTGTAGTTCTGGGTTCCTGCATTTTGGGTCCAAACCTTCTTCCCTCATTGTGACACTCACCTTCTGTCTTTTTTGCATTCATGCTGTGTGTCTGCATTACTTTGTTCTTTTTTTAACATAGAGAGGAGTTGTTTTACCTTTTTTTGCTGATGTTTAGACTACTGCGGTCACCTTCAGAGTTCCATTTGACGCAGCACACCTTCTGGTTCTTGGCTACGCTGATTTTACCAAGACTTTTGTTCTTGAAATTGATGCAAGTCACGTGGTGGCAAATCAGAGAAAACATCTTTGGAGATTGCAGAAATGACTAAAACTGGGTCAAGAACTGTCCAATACATTATTGAAAACTGGTCTGATGAGTTCAGATGGACCCTGTTTCAGGTTGATGGTGCATCAGGGTAAGAAGAGAGGCAGATGAAGTGATGCACCCATTGTGCCTGTACAAGCCTGTGGGGGCAGTGCCATGATCTGGGCTTGCTGCAGTTGGTCAGGTCTAGGTTCAGCAACAGGATGTGCTCCAAGAATGAGGCCAGATGACTACCTGAATATACTGAATGACCAGGTTATTCCATCTTCCCTGATGGCATGGCCATATTAAGATGCCAGGATTCAATGGGCTCCAATAGTGAAAGAGTGGTTCAGAGGGCATGAGACATCATCTTCACACATGGATTGGCCACCACAGAGTCAGGACCTTAAAGTAGCTTTCTGGAGTTTTCCTCTTTCAGAACTTATGTATGATTTTTCAGAAATCTGTAAAAGTGATTATCTCATCATGTACTGCTATAATGTAAGCATTATGTCTTTTTTTTCTTCATAGCACGCTCCCTGCACCGCAGAGCTCCGTGCCGACCAGAACTAACCAATCCGCTTACATGCTTCAAATTTAAGGAATACCTTGACTGATGCAGAGTTGATGAACTTTCACGGACAAGTAAGTCTCTAAAATATAAATATACGAGTACACAACATGACATGAGAATAATACTTGTAAAACAATGTGTTTTAGCTCTGTTTTTTGGCCAAAGAAGGACATAAATAAACAAGAAATGTGAAGTTGCCATCTTAAAAAACGAAAGGAGAAACCATTTGTGTGATATGCTTGTCAGCCACTAGATGGTGCCATCGGATAAGAGAAATACTCCGGAAAGAATCTTTGGGACGTGCTGGAGAAGGCTTTGTGCAGTGGTCAGACTACCATCATCAATGCAAGATCTTGGTGAAACATTAATGCAACACTGGATGGAAGTAAATCTTATGACATTGCAGAAGCTTATCCAAACAATGCTACTGCGAATGTGCACCGGAATGAACGCTTAAGTTCCAAGGAAAGTCCAACAAAATATTAGTTTTTTGGGTGACCTTTTTTTGGCGTGCAGTGTATGTTTGAAGTGAATAATGAATCAATGGTGGCACTTTACATCCTTTAGTGAGTAGTTCAGAACTCTAACAGGAAGACAAAAACTGCACTCCTTTAATGCTGGAGGCAAACTAATAGCTGTTGAGTGTGTCACAAAGTGGAAAAGTTTTAGATTTAGTTTAAGTTGCATGATTTGTGTTTTATTATTGTTGACATGTTTATATTGTGTTTGGAATGGTCTTTCCCATTGTGGTACCTCCCAGAGACACTACTTTGAACTAATGGGAACAGGTGTGGAATTCCCACAGGTGCAACGGACTAATAAAACGAGATATAAAGAACTGAGAAGACTTCAGAAGAGCAGCAGACAACAGAGAGATGCATGATGAGACCTGACTGAGAGCAAGAGATGCACCCTGGACGGCAACAGACTAGCATTTTTAGTAACACTGCAGATATTAACTATTATTTTTAAAAGAAAAAACATGTTTCATTTTTCTCATGGATTATTATATATTATTATAAATCAAGAACGACCCAACTGTTAGTTGAAATAAAACTTTTCAGCCCGATTTGGAGGCAGCGGAACCCCGGGGCGGCATCAGCACTGAACCCGGTGAACCAGTAGGAGGAGACTCTCCTCCGGCTTCCGCGTTTCCGCTGCCTCTCCACCGTCGATGTTCTCCACACTGTTGTCATCGGTCCCACACCGGTACCTCTGCTGCTTACCCCTTCATCTTTACGTTTCGTCTTCCGACGGAAAGCATTAAGCGATTTTCAAACATTTTTGCGGCCCCCCCACAGCCTGTCTAACACGAAGCTGTCGTCCGCCTCATCCATGTTTTGCGGGAGTCCTGGGCCCCGGCACACCGGCTTTGGCTCCAATCATGTCGGCAAAGAATGCAGCGGCTGGCGGCGGTGACAGAGCGGGAAGCGAACCGGCAGGTTATTTAACTAGAACGACCCTACTAACTGTTTATGTACAGAGACAGCTGTTTGGCGTCTGGGTTTAAAATGCGGGGAGAATAGTTGTGTTTAAAAGCCGTTTCTCGACCATTGACTGTAACTTTGCTGAAACTAGGTCAGTAGATCAGTGGAGCAAGCGCGCCCTCTACGCCATTTATGTAACTCTACACGACCTTGTTATTCCTTTCACCTGCTAATGTGATTTTCCTATTCTGGGTGTTTGTCCGTAAATGTGGAATTACAAATAAACCGTTTTAAAAAAGCTCGTTATTGGTAATCGTAAACATCGACGTAGCTTAGCGGTGATGCCAAGGCCTGCTTATCGGAGGCAGTGATGTTCGTGATTTGTGATGGTGCTGTGTGGACAGCTTGTTCTGGTCGGATTTTCGATGTTTTAACTCCTGAAATACAAATTATGTCCTGCTATAATACTTCTTCTGTGTTTAGGTTTTACCAAAATGGTTTTTCATTGTCGGTTGGATCGGCTTTAGTCGTTTTGTTCTTTTCGTTTAGCGTTAGCGACGTTAGCCACAATGGCTGTATGGCAGACTGCTGTAACATATAAGCAAATTGTACAAATTTAAATTATTCCTTGTTTTAAATTCACCAGAAGTTTACAATTTCAAAATGTATTGTTTAAATTAACTTTCTTTAGTAATTGCTATTTTCTTAATATATGCACTCCTACTAGATGTAGATAATTTTCTGAATGGTTTATGTTTTAGCTATACATCAGTGGTGTCCATTCTTGGAGTTCAATGTTGAAAATTTGTTGTATTTTATTAATTTCCCTGCATAAACCCACCTGTTTAGCATGTCATTGTGTTCAACAGAAGCATCTTACTCGTCCACTGATTCAAATAAGTTGTGTTGAAGCAAAGAAGCATCTAAAGATGTGGTTCTACAATTTTTATATAAAGTAGTACCTCAGAACATACTAGTCTGTCTTGAGTACTACCATTATTACACAGTAGTACAAGCTACTAATACAGAGTTTTAAAGATCTGTTGCAAAATTGGGTCTGGAGTTTATTATGAAGGAAATAAATAACAGAGGCATAGTTTTTGAGCAAGCAAGGTTAATTTATTTAAAAATAGTAAGGGTTTTAACAATCAGATGTAATAAAAGACATATCATAAAAATACTAAAGTGATGCATCAAACTGTAAAACCATTACAAATATCAAACACAAATGGTTAATTTCAAAACCAACTGTCATAGTTCACTTCTGTCCAGCTGCTGTTGAGGGCATAAATAATTTACTAATGAACTGTAGATGTAGGGGTGGGCAATATAGATGATATAAGGTAGAAACAATATAAAATTGGGTAATGATAGAGTTTTTGGCTATACCGCGATATCGTGATAACACATGATGTCACTAAGATGTGCACCCTGCTGACATTGGGACAACAGAATGGCGGTGACTGCAAGCATGGGGTGGGCGGAGGAGGAGGCTTATATGACTCATGTGGCATATATTTGTCACATGAGGATATTTAAAAGCATGTCATTTTGACATATATAAACAGAGGAAAAAATGTATCGCAATATATATCGTTACCGCACATGCTTCAGATTATATCGCAATATAGATTTGAGGCCATATCCCCCAGCCCTATCTAGATGAATCAATTATTTCCTTCTTTGGGGCAGATTCAGTTTTTGATGCTGAGCTGCTGCAAAACAAATATATTTAGTTATAGGCATCAACCTTGGTTGTTCCTTTTGTAAAAAAGAAATGGTAGCTTAATTATGGGTTCTGGTAAACATGACTATTGTGTGGAGTGATTATTATTGGTGTTCACATTCACTCACTCACTCACTTACACAAGGATCAAAATTTAAGCCAAAGTTCAGTAAAGGACTCATGTTCCTCCCCTGTCACTAGGCTTCTAAAATGTGCCACTAAAGAGTGTTTATGGTTTGGATGCAGGTCTGGCAGTCTCAATTGTAGAGCTGAAGAAAAATAATCGATGCATCGAGGTGCAGACATAAACGATTCTGAATTGTAGATTCAGCGTGCTGTGATCGATTATAGTGAAATGCAGTTTTGTTTTGTTTTTACCCCGGCGCTGGCATCACATCCAAATTTGTCAGAGTGGGACGTGTCCTACATTTACTGAGTAAAAAATACTGGTCCGCCTTTATGTGTTGATCCAGGGCTGAGCGCTGGAGTTCTAACCTGAGACTAAGACTGGGCAGTAAATCAAAAATGTATCTTAATCTAAATTTCTGACTCTTAATATCATTTTTCCTATGTCAATAAATTCGATAGTAAATAAAAAGAAATACGTGTGTAGGTTGGGAGCATTCAAGCCCCTGTAAGAAGTGATTCACGTGAAACATGATTTAATGTAATACATGTTACAGCCCCATCTATTGAACAACTTTTCTCTCTGCGCATGCGTGCAGTTATGGTCCATTTATCATTATCAAGGTGAAATCCTCAATATATCGTAGGGCTGGGCGATATGGCCTAAAATTAATATCACAATATATTGAGGATTTCACCTCTAATGATAAATGGACGATAACTACAGGTATGCGCAGAAACAGAAGTTGTCCACTAGATGGGGCTGTCACGTGTATTACATCCAGTCGCAATTTTACATGACTCAAGGTGGTTCAGCTTCTTAAAGGGACATGAACGTTGTCAACCTACACACATCTTTTCATTTTTTTGTTATCAAATTTGTTGATATGGGAAAATTTATCTCGATAAGTCAGAAAATTTCAATGCCGATAAATTCTTATTGCCCAACCCTAATGATATTGATTTTAGGCCGTATCCCCCTCCCCCAGCCCTACCTCAGACCTGACCTGAACCGGGTAAATGCAGTTGGTTCAGTCAGATTTGGGCCAGTGAATTATGTTGATTGAGCAGGTTGGGTCGCTCGAAAACGAGAGTACACTAGAGTAAGCTACAGGAATTCCCATCATCTCCAGAGATGCCATGGACATGAGGAGATAATAAAAGTTACACAGGACAGGTTTGTGGAAAGGTGTGTTTATCTGATTAGTGAAGGAGATCTATCAGCTCGGCAGAATATCATTTAATCCTAATCCAGCCTACGGCCTCCTGTTGGTGTTATCAGCAAGAATAAAACAAACATTATTGGAAGTTTAGGATTTCTAAAAATGTTTTTGTATTTTCTGCATTAAACAGAACTTGATTAGTTCTCAAACATTTCTGAAATGAGATTATTGGGTTCAAACTAAATAACAAACTAAGCCAAACATTTTATTTTGTGTTATTTATTTCTTACACCCTTGAACTGCAGCATAAATATTTGACTCTAAAGTTGCTCAAAGACAAAAACAAAAAAAAAACAAAGCTAATATATGGACCCATTATGGATTTTATAACCTAAATTGAAGAATTGGACATGTCCTTTTAAGTTTTCAGCATTTTTTATTTTAATATTGTTAGCTTCTGCAGAGCGAGTTCTCCCACAGCCTGAGATGTTGAATGAGGACACAGATTTTTTTTACTTTGTTAAATCTTAAATGTCTAATGTTTTGCACTTTTACATTGTCCTCAGGTCTGCTGTGAACGAAGAGCTTTTGGGGATGGTCAGACATGTTTTTGATTAAATAAGCAATTATCTGACATCTATTAATCGATGAAACACAAATCCATATGAAATTATCGCGAGACATCAAAATATCGGATTGAATCAAATCGCTGACCCAATCATTGTATCAATGTCCCCATAATGAACAGCAAAGGTGTGCATGCGAGCCACGAAGCCGCTTTCTGATCAGGGTCAAGGAGAGGTTGACCCTGGCTTCAGGGTCTCTCCACCACCACATGTTGAGTTTGGAGACATTTTTGTTGGAGCCATATTTGCTCTTTGCTCGATGCAGAGTAGAGTAAAATGTATTTTTTGTTCAATTTAACATCACGTTAGTCCAACTATTACAGAAATTTTTTTATTTTAACCTATTGCTGTATTGATACCAAAATAGAAAATAAATGAAAAATAATTGTGGAAATTAAAATTTTAAAGAATTAATAAGGAAGTAATGAAATACATTACAAGAATATATAATATTTTCTAAAAAATTTTCCATAATTTATTTATTGTCTATTTTTGCAGGAAGATCGATCCATTGATACATACTATATATACACATTTGTTAAAGTGCAGCAGATGCTCATTCAGGTCTTAAGTGAATGGACGAGTTAAAGACCAGATGAGCCTGAGAGAACAGCTGAAGGAGCTGGGTAAACGGGTATGTTTACAACCTGGTGACCATTCAGCTACTTGCCGCCTTTGTAGCTCTGTAATCTGGAAAAATTTGGCAGGTTGAGGTGGATTAGGGCCGAGTCAGGTCAGTGCTGATCAGTTAATGAATATTTAGGTCACAGAGACTCTGGAGCTCAGTAGAAAGTAAGTGTCATCAGTTACAGCCATCTTTGCGTTTCTGATATCTGTAAAACTCTGCAGAATTGTGTTTTTGCCTTTTTCTGTCTCACTCAAAATAGAATGATTGCATGCAAAGTCAGTGGTTTCTGACAGTAGTTAGTTTTTGTATGCTGTAGGGGCTGAATTCATAATATTTGCACCTCTGCCTCAACAAACATGATTGAAAAACCCAAATCACTGTTCTTTGTGTTTTAGATGACGTGCTGGTTGAGGAAGAACAAAGCAGGTCAGTGTCTCTGTCCGGCTTGATGTCTCCGTCTCTGACAGCCGGTATGTCCCTCAACATGGAAATGCACAGGAAACGCAAGGGCAGCACAGACAACCAGTGAGTTCTTTATTTTCCATTTAACATGCTAACAAGTCCAAACCCAAAGGCTAAACTGATAGTGATTTTCATTGTTTTTGTTTCTTTATTAGGGATTCAAAGCTGGCTGCAATTGAGGATGGAGATGTGGAAGATGACCAAAACAGGTGCACAAAACAAAAAACTAAAAGCATTCCTGTTTAAATAAACGTAAAACTAATTAAGTTTGTGCCAGTCAAAATTAAAGCCATAGTATGCAACTTTTACATGTTAAAATCATCTCATTTAGTCAGTATATGCTAAAATGAGCCTTTGCAGGGTTAACTCATTCACTGCCAGCCATTTTCTGAACAGAAAGCCTCTGACTGCCAATGTTTTTGAGCATTTTTACGGTTTTTTGAAGAGTCACAGAATATTGTGCTCTATGACCATTTAAACACCAAAACTACCAAAACAAAAGAGAAGACTCACTTCTTCCATCAGGAAGAATCAGCATGTTTCTAGCTTTTTCCGTTCTTTCACAATCTGTTGTCGAAGTGTGAGCTGCAGAAGCTTTTCTGGGGCTTTAGGCATGGTGGCGTCCCAAAACAATCTCCTAATTCATGGATTGTCTGATTTCTGATCACATGACATGTGACACACACGGATGGAAATCAACTTTAGAGCTGTGATGTTTACTCTTAAGGTGTGCAAGCTCGTTCCCAAGCCTTCCCCGTTAAAAAACACAATTGACGACTTTAGTCATCAATGGCAGTGATTGAGTTAATGAAGTGTCACTCAGACCCACACTGCCCCCTGTGGCCAGAATATTGCACTTGCAACTTGAGAGTGCTGGTCCGGTTCCTGTTGGACTTAGTAATGTGACGTGTCAGCCTTGCAGTCTGCTTCCAGCATCCTGCATGTTTTAGATTGTGAACACAGCTGATTTGTTTGATTTAGTAATGAAAGGCTCCTGTAGAAACTAATAAAGGCTGAGGAGACATTTCAGCAGTTAGACTAAGGTGTTAAACAGGCAAAAGAAACAGAACACTAAGGGGTGCTAAAAGCGAGCTAAAACTGCCTAGTATTCATTTAATCAGCTTAGATATTTACTTTTTCCCTTCACAGGTCAGATGGAGAAGACCAACATGCCAAAATAAAGTGCTTCAGGTATACTCAATTTATAAAACATCAATCCTGAGCTTTTGCTCTTGATTTGGCCATGTTTTGCAGGTTATTGAAGTTGTACGGTAAAAAATAACCTATATATTTACTTTTTTCTTTATTTGTTTTCACAGGGAACCTCATAGCAAAATTGAGAAAAGGAGACGGGAAAAAATGAACAATCTCATTAACAGGCTTTCAGCCATGATACCGACGTGTAACCCCATGTCTCGTAAGCTGGACAAACTCACCGTGCTCCGGATGGCGGTGCAGCATCTCAAATCTCTCAAAGGTGCAGGATTTCAGACTGTTTAGCTCCGCTTCACCAATAGGACAAATTATTAGAGCTTTGAGATTCATTATATTGTGTAGCATGCAGTTATCTGGAACTGGACTAACGGCGTCTTTGTTTTCAGGTTCAGCTAGCACGTTTTCTGAATCTAGTTACAAACCATCATTCCTCCCTGATGAGGAGCTTAAACACCTAGTCCTCAAGGTAAACATGCTGATAAAAGCATTGTTAGGAAGCATCACCTGTCAGTCTTATAATTCACAACTAGGTGATGCTAATACATAAAAATGTTAGAACTTTGTATAATATGTTGTATAATCAAGTTTCTCACTTAGTGCTTATATATTATTATGTTTAGAGTTTCTGCTTTAAAAGTGTAAAATCCAATGTTTTTTGATTAGTTTATAAAAATCTCAGTGGCTACTTGTTCTTGTCTTGAACACACCATCTCATTGGCTCTTCTTTTATTTTCACTGTGCAGGCTGCAGATGGGTTCCTGTTTGTAGTGGGCTGTGATCGTGGAAAAATAGTGTTTGTATCAGAGTCCGTCACGACGATATTAAATTATAGTCGGGTAACACTTTTATGTTTATCACAGAAGAGTGTTTGATCGTGTGAAAACGCCTGGCACGCCAGATGGGTTGTGTTATTTTCCGCAGTTAGCAGCAGGCTGGAGTTCACTAGGCGAGGCTGATTCTTGAGGGACGGGTTTTCTTTAGTAAGCTCAAGGAATGATAAATTATGAAGCTTTTGATCACTGAATTAAAGGTGTGGTTTACTTGTTTATCCAATGCATTTGCAGTGTTCCCTGGTGTAAGTCAATGTCTTATGAGTCATAAAAATAAACCTATGGTTCCTTCAGTCTGAGATGCAGAATAGGCTGGCACAGAGGTGAGCTGAAAACAGCAGAATTGCTCATTATTATTAATGATATGCACACAGCTCGCTTCTGACTGGCTAACAGAACACGTTCAGCCTTGTTGCAAGGTGATGACCAAGACACTCGCCGCTGTCCGTCCCAATCCCAACACTTGCACTTCCACATTCACGCCCTACGCCTTCACGATCCCGGCCCGGGGTGCGAGTGTGTAGGGTGTCCTGTTTCTCAAGTGCACAAGTTGATCACGCCTTTTTTGCACCCTTGATCCTCACTTCACTTAAGTTGGCATCGATGGGTACTTGGGCGAAGGGCATTACCCACAATCCTTTGCTGCGGGAGAAAAGTGCCTTTTCTGAAAATATGTATTTTCAAATGAAAGTAGTTTATTTTAGGATGATTAATTGATGCTCTTCATGTTTTAGACAAAGCAGAAATGAATGCAACTTTATTTCAAATAATTGTTTGGTTGTTTCTTTTAAAGTTGTTAATAAAGGGTTTTTTTTTTTAAGTAGCACAGCGACCAGCATCCCGGCATGCGTTGAAGTTGATGATACAATGCTCCCCATTCTAATTTGGCAATTATTTGCACACTTGTGTACCACACACTCAAAGCCTTACTGCACACTTCCTCCAAGTGCACTTCACAGAAAATCGTTGGGCGCAGTGCGAGTATTGGGATTGGGCCTCTCTCCTTGCTGCAAAAAAAAAAAAACATTTAAAAAACCTGTCCTGTGGGCGATCGTGAGCCAAGATGGCCGTGGCCATGAATGCAAATTCAGTGTGACATAGATATGTGAGGATTTTCAAATCCTAGAGTTTCACTGTCTATTTTCTATCAGAAGCTAATGCAGGATATCTGTGTAGGAGACTGTTTTATGTTCAGCCTGCATGAAAAATTCAAGAGTGGCCGATTATGATCAGAAATAATTAGAAAAGGTTTTTTCTGTGAACCACACCTTTATAAGCATAACAAAATTCTCTTACTAAATTCTGAATCTGGCTCCATTTCTGCTTCACGCAACATCTGGTGTGCTCGGCGTGCAAATAATCGATTTTTATTCTGCAAAGTATGCATTAACTATGTTTAGTTAAACTAGTAATAACCAGTTCTAGATGTTTTAAACCTTTTTTTCTACATAGGAGTTCTGTTTACGTTTATTTAGTGTTTTTTTGTTTTATTTTCTTTTAGACGGAGCTGATTGGACAGAGTTTGTTTGATTACATCCACCCTAAAGACATGGGGAAAGTCAAAGAGCAGCTGTCTGCTTCGGAATTACATCCTCGCGAACGACTAATAGATGCTAAAAGTAAAGCATTCATTTTTGTATGCATATGTGAGCGTGTGTGAGTGTACTTATGTCCTCTTGTGTCTCCAGCTGGTGTTCAGGTCCAGGCTGACCTCCCTGTTGGTGCATCACGGTTGTGTTCTGGTGCACGTCGCTCGTTCTTTTGTCGAATGAAGTACAACAAAATACCTGTCAAAGTGGAAAACAAGGAATCCCAGGCAAACGCCTCCAAAAAGAAAGGTACCACCCACAGCGGACGACTCGTTTTTCTGAAAAACTTTTAAGTTGAAGGAGCAAATTTATTAGTTTTTAATGCATGTGTATGTGTCTGTTCTCTGTGCTATTGGATGGATGGGATCTTGTGTTTGCTTATGATTAGAGACGCAGAAGTACTGCACAGTCCACTGCACAGGCTACATGCGCAGCTGGCCCACCAGTCAGATGGGAGCAGAGGGCGAGGGTGAGGCAGAGAAGCAGGATAGCTCCTTCAGCTGCCTGGTGGCGGTGGGACGCATCCACTCCCACGCTTCTCCTCAAGTGAACAGGGAGGTCCGAGTTAAACCCACGGTGTTCATCACGCGCTACGCCATGGATGGCAAATTCACCTTTGTTGATCAAAGGTACATTTTAGTAAGAAGATGGTGAGGGGCTGGAATCGGGTAGTTGGTTTTGTTTTGCAGAAATGAGATGCAAGCGTCTTAAATCAGAACTTTTTCATTTTAAAACCCAGTTAATCATTATTATTTACATATTATAAATCCTCTCTCTTTTCCAGAGCAACGACTGTTCTTGGTTATCTTCCTCAAGAACTACTCGGGACATCCTGCTACGAGTACTTCCATCAAGATGACTTACTACATTTAGCTGATAGACATCGAAAAGGTGAATTACTGATATTCTCAGACATCTACCATTTTTATCTTTTTTAATTGTAAAGTAAGGTTGCATCTATATGAAAGGATTTTAAATTATTGCTAATATTTTCTTGCTCTCTGCTTGCACATGCCGCTGTTTTATTTCCAGTGTGTGTTTTTATTTCCAGTGTGTGTTTTAACTTGCTCTCTTCTCTCGTAGTGCTGCGGAGTCGAGAGAAAATAGAGACAAACTGCTATAAATTCAAAACAAAACATGGTTCTTTTGTCACTCTGCAAAGTCAGTGGTTTAGTTTTGTAAATCCCTGGAATAAAGAAGTAGAATACATAGTGTCAACTAACACCGTTATATCGTGAGTACATGGGTTTTTCATGTTTTATTTGTGTCTGAATGTTCGGACAGACGCTAACCAGAGTTTTTCTTTATTCTGTTCCTCATCTGATGTGCAGGCATGACAACAGTCGAACAGGACGATCGGGAAATAAGTCGGATCAGTCAAGCAATTCCAAGATTTCAGAAGGTCAGCTGTCATAATAATAATAAAAAAAACACAATATTTACGGTTTTGACTGTAATTTTCTACCATTCAGTCATTTCTGTTAAATAACCTCGGTCAGACAGTTTGTGGCTGCTGTTGGTCTTAAAAGGATACTTTGCAACTTTTTCATATTTTTCAAATCATTTTCTTGACCCAGTATGTGCTTAAATGTTTACAGGGCTAATGAAAGGCCACACAGCCCCTATCGCCATAATATTCCACTTGCAACTTCAGACTGGCAGTCTCTCTGTTGGGACTTAGAAACATTGAGTTCACATGCCTGATGCTGCAGTCTCGTTCCAGCACATTTTCTGCATGTTTTAGATCATTAACACAGCTAATTTGTTTACTTTTATGATAAACCACTCCTGTAGACGTTAAATAAGGCTGGGGAGACATTTCAGCTGTTAGATTAAAAAGACAAACACACAGCGAGAAAATGAGTTTTCTCTGCAGAGTGGCTGGGCTCTCCCTTAGAGATAGGGTGAGAAGCTCGGTCATCCGGGAGGGGCTCGGAGTAGATTTGCATCTCCTCCACATCAAGAGGAGCCAGTTGAGGTGGCTCCGGCATCTGGTAAGGATGCCTCCTGGACGCCTCCCTGGTGAGGTCTTCCGAGCACGTCCAACTGGGAGGAGGCCTAAAGGGAGACCCAGGACACGTTGGAGGGACTATGTCTCTCACCTGGCCAGGAAATGCCTTGGGATTTCCCCAGAGGATCTGGCCCAAGTGGCTGGGGAGTGGGAAGTCTGGGCCTCTCGACTTAGGCTACTGCCCCCGCGACCGGACTCTGGATAATGGGTGAAAATGGATGGATGGCACAGCGAGGAGATAGATTTTGCTTTCAGTTCTGCAAATGGACACTAGGGGGTGCTAAAAGCAAGCCAAAACTACCTACCGTAATTTACAGACTATAGAGCGCACCTTAATATAAGCCGCACCGGGCTAAAAGCCGCAGATATCTACTGAATTGAAAACGTAGTTTAACTGAACGTAACTGAACTGATCAGTATCAAACAAAACAGAAATTATTGATTAGTTTATTCATCGTCCTCCTGCGCACTGAAACCACTGAAGTCATCTTCTTCAGTGTCGGAGTTGAACAGCCTCAGAAGAGCTTCGTCACACACCTTTTCTGTGGCGATGTCAGTGTCGCTCTCCGTGTTGCTGTCATCCCCGGGTGAAGCTGGGAAAACAAGCAGCGCCGTTTTACTGTGAAAAAAATCCTCCTGGGCGTTTTCCGTAGCACTCCTTTAACCATTCCTTCATTAGACTTTCCAGCATCCATCCTTTCTGGTTGACTAAAGCCGCACCTCATTATAAACCGAACGGTTCAAAGCGTGGGAAAAAGTAGCAGCTTATAGTCCGTAAAATACGGTAGTTCCCCTTTAACTTTTTATTTACCTAGAATTTTGTTTCTAATGAATAAAAGATCAAATCACATGAGAAGTGATTTTAAAAAGAACAGGAACTCATTTAGAGAAAGTCAAAAGTTACCTCCAGCTTTGCAACAAATAATGTGCGCAAAAGTGGAATGTTGAACAATAAAATGTCCATTATAAAGTTAATGTAAACACAGGAGTACAATGCTGGTTAGCTCAGGTACTGTTTGTTATGGTAGGCAACTATTTTTATGACCAGTCAAACCTAGCATAGATCAGTTTTAAATGCAGCCATGAGAATCTTAATTACAAACGGTCATTAAAGTGTTACGATTATTTCTATAAAACTGTAAAAATACCAAAATGGTTCTATATCTGAGATCACAGAGTTTGTGGTCATGTTTTAAATTTTCTTTTCATGCTGTATCTGTTAAGACTGCAAAAAGTCCCTTCCAGTGATACCAGGCATCTCCTCTGCACCTGGAACCATGATTTATGCTGGGAGCATAGGGACCCAGATCGCCAACGAGCTGCTGGATTTTAACAAGTACGCTCTAACTCCGGCAGATCGATAATAACACACAGATAATGATAACATCAGCCTTTTTTTGTTGTTGTGGTTCTCACTGCTGTGTTTTATGATTAGGTTAATTTGTGTCTTTTTTTTTTCCCCAGGCTGAACTCATCCCCTTCCAGTGGAAACACGAGTCCTTTCAGCCAGCCACAAGATAAATCTCCTCAAACACTCAATCAAATCAGCAACAGTGTACGTTTTGTGATATGTCCCAAACTAAAGCATCCTTATCCACAAAACGTCATGAATGTTGTCGCTCAGTCCACATGTTCAGTGTTAGAGTGGCCCCTAGTGGACACTTTAGCATCAAGCTTTCACAGCTACCTCACATTTCTATTTTTAGCGTTGTTGTTAGGCCATGTTATATTTCAGCTGAGACCTGGATGCTGCACAAGTTCCATTCATCACACTCTGTGTTCACAGCAGACTGTTGAGTTTAGAGCCTGTCCAGCACTTTTCACATGGTTTTGATGATGTTTAGCGCACAAGGCAGACTTGACTTTGGGAGTTAGGGGTGCTGATGACACTTGTGTGTTCAGACTGAAAGTCTGAGGTTTTAGAGATGAACTGGTCGGTGTGCACTTGAGTCGCAACAAATTTCTGTTTCAAAGCTAAACAAGGAAATCTACTTGGGAAATGCAAGTAGAAAACTCTCAAGGTGTTTTAAGGAACTTTCAATCCATCAGATTAGATCGGTTGAGGCTCTGCTGGGTCATTAGTTGGTTTTATCCAAAACGCACCAATGAAAACTAGTTTGCTCCTGCTTGAATGTGGCCCTTTTTAAGTTCAAAATGTCACAGATCCTTAATGCAGAAGCTGGTAATTAGGAGAAAACCTGCTGGTGAATGGGTTTTCAATTGGCCTTTCACACGTGCCCTGTCTGTTTGTTACCACCCCTTTTGATAAAAGCATACTTTGATCACTATAAAGCTCCCGTTTGTTTTGGTCCATAGGTGCCAATGGGCGAAACATCTGACATGGAGATTCCAGGAAAGTCGAGCTCTGAGAGTGAGCCTCAGGGAGCTTCATTCTCAGGAGGAGACTCTCTGATGGGTACTCTCACATTCTGTTTAATATACATGTGCTCAGATACGTATGTCTTTGTTTATGCGTTTTCTCTTGGATCTCTTGCATCAGGGGAAAATTCCCAGCTGGATTTGGACAGTGTAGTTGGACCTGGTCTCAACAGTCTTAGTAACGATGAAGCGGCCATGGCGGTGATCATGAGCCTCCTGGAGACGGACACAAACTTCGGAGAAGCCGTAGACTTTGAAGAGATGCACTGGTCTTTGTAAAACCTGCATTACAGCTGCTGGGAGACATTGTGGGACCTTAAAATTCACAAAGCAGCATTTAGTTTTTTTTTAAGGACATTAAATTATTAGTTGCCCCTTTTGAGCATAAGCTGTGGAGTGTTTGGGTGGTTGCTCTGAAAAGAACTGGACTGGTGAAAATAAGGGACACTTAACGCCTTGCAGCAGTCTGTTTGCCCTGAAACACTGTTCCTCAGTACTTAAACCTAGACTTCTTCCTTCCAACAAACATAGATGGTGGCATTACAAAAAAGTCTTTTCACTTGGTACTGTATGATTAATTAAAGCGAAATGTGAGGAAGAAAGCTTGACACCAGACAGCGCCTCTGCTTGGTTAATACCACGCCAGAGCAAATCCTCCGCCTTTTAGAGTAAACCACGATGTGGCGCTCAGAAAGTTTCTCATTATTGGTGGAAACGGCCCCGTCACCTCTTCTCATGCATGCTGACCCAAACACGCTGTGCATGTGTGTCTTAAAGGGACAGTGTGCATCAGAAGGTTCTCGTTCTAATGTGGAAGAAGAGTTTTTTTTTATCCCTATACATTTAGGAGAAAGTAACTCGTTGTATGAGTGGGCACCACAGAACAACTTCATGCAAAGCGGAATAAGGCGCTTTAAAAGTGCTGAAAATAAGGTTCAAATGCAACAGCCAAACAACCGGAGAAGAGGGGACTCAGGGAGTTAACCAGTTTAAAGTTTTACGTGCTTTCCTACCTGCTGTACCTGATACTTGTTGTCACGAGTACTAGTTCACCTGCGCATCCGTCGTTCTGCAGGTAAACCACCACTTTGTGTTAGGGGTTTTTGTTTAATGTACTTTTATTATCATGCACTGACTTGTTTCTGGACACGTATTAATGTTTCATGTGCTAATTTGAAGCACACAGCGTCATGCCATCAAGGAGTTGTGTTATGCAGAACCATCATTCCTTAAGTTCTAAATTAAAATATGTTCATAAAGTTTTTTTTTTCTTTTAACAGTTTGTGCATGATTCCTGAAGTTACAAGAACACTTACTGTCTCATAGGTTTGGGTAGAACTTGGGAGTCCTTGAACTTTATGAATTCTGTCACCTTTTACCTCAAATGAAGTTCTGACCTTTCTCTTAGATCTGCACATTTTAGCTTTTTGATTATTTTGGTTGGCAATCTATTGCTCTGTCATATGGTGTCAAGTCTTTGTTACTACATTGCAGAAACATTTACAAAAATGGTCATTTTCCGTCTTAAATGGACAGTCTTGCTAATTTAGCTGAGATAATATTTTTGGTTTTTACCTATAGGGTCAGTTGAAGAAAGCTAATGTTTTATCTGTTTTCTAGGTTCTAAGCATTTTGTTTCAAATTGTAAAATGTAACAATTCCCATAACTTTAGTTCAATTCTTTATGCAGCTAAGCAGAGTTAACATTAAGCTCTTTGTAAATCCTGGGGACTGCTGTGTATGTGACATTTACCCGTTTGGTTTAAGGTGTTGTAAGTCCGATTGAAAGCAACATTAGTATTTTAACAAAATTTGTTTTTCCAAGTTTTTTTTTTCATTTTACCTTAAATAGTAAGTACATCTACAGCCAAACATGGGTTAGTTTGAACTGTGTTGATATCTCAGGCCACGATTTAGGAATTGCACAAGGACTGTTAAGTAGGAACTCTTGTTTCTACGGTCAAACAAGTTCTTGTGAATTGTGAAGAAAACTGTCTGTTATGCTTGAATTGTGAAGAGCTGGCTGATGGAGCTGCTGAACCCACAGGATCCCTCCTGCCTGTGTCCGAAGTGCCTTTGGTCATTTGTTCTCGGACACAATCCCAGCATATTGACCGGACGGCTGAAATACAGCATCGGATTAAAGTGATACTGGCATTCGTCCTAAATGACATGGACGAGGAGACTAAACACAAGCTGGACATGTTGGTTTCTGTACCAAACATGCAATGCTATGGAGCCATGCCATAGATGCTAACTGGTAATTTTTAAAGAAAAATGTCAATTTTGTAAACATATTTTTGTTCTTCCTGTGCATATTCTTCCATGATTTCAGTGTTGTGGCTGTCATTTCCCTAGAAAACTAATATATAGCCCAAATATCATTTATTGAAATTTTTGTCTTCTTTTTCCACAAATGTTTTTGTCTCCATTTGAAATAAAAAGTAGTTTTTCAAAAGCCAGAAACCTGTTATTTTAATGCTTTAATGTAATGTTACGTTAGTAGCATTGAAAACATGGACTAGTCTGTACACCAGAGGAAGGATTTTATTTGGGATTATTATGAAGTTTGTTTCTAATTTCCATTCTTGTCCTTTCAAGCTACAAGGTAATTGTCTGCATAAAGGAACCCCAAAGCTTTTGTGTTGATCATTATTCTAAATTATGAATCTTTTATTGGTGGGAGTTTCCTGGTGTTGCCAGGCCAGTTATAGGATTCATATAGCTGCTGCTTCAATCAAACCCAACACACTTCAGCAGAATAATGCACCTTTATAGTTGTTTGAACGGATAATGGTGGGAAATGTTTGGATTTTGTATGGGACTGGCTATATTAGTGCAAATATGTAATCAGTAAAAGCCTCTGTGCATGGAAGGGGTTTTGAGATTAAAGGGGATACCAGTTTAAACTCTGTTTGGATGCGTTCATAAAAGGAGCACTGAGTGATGATTGGATAAGAGACATGGTGGAATGCAACCCCAGCATGGTGAAGGTAGAGAGGCCCCACAGGAGGAATTCTTGCAGAGTAAACCTGCAGACACATGGATGACCTGATCTTTGGTGTCACTGAATAAACTGTGTGTGAACAGATACCCACACAAACCATGTTAAAGTGCCTTTTTCAATATGATTTAATTCTATTTATTCCAATATTTTATCACTAGATAGTTATTGTTTTTAGTGCATCAGGGATGACCTGAACCCAATTACAAATACTCACCGGTAGATGTCGCTTTTTGTCATTTGATGCAGATAAGAATGCTTCCTTCTTGTTCCAGCACAAAATATCGGGGGGAAAATCATACACCTTTATTTTATCAAATGTATGTCGAAATTGTCCATTGTGGAAGGAAATTTGAACTACATTACCCCCAAACGGACGAATGAAAATGTACTGAACGTCAAACTGTGAGATTCGCGCAAGATTTTTTAACAGGTAATAAAGTTTTTGTTTTTAATTTTCCTGGGAAAACTTGTTTCTCCCATGTTTCACCTACAATGAACGCCCCGTCGGGCGGAGCTTTCCAGGCGTGACGTCCCACTTTTTCCAACTGCCGTGTCACTTCGATATCATGGCGTAGAGATGTGGAGGGACGTAGGGCTGTTCTTGTGGGCACGGAGAAGTTCACAAACTAGCTCCTGTGGATGTCAAAGTTCGCGAAAAGGGTTAACAAACCAAGGGGAATCGTATCTTCTTCGAGGGGAATTGTGGTAAGCGTTCCTGTTGCTTTACTTTTTGTGGGGGTTGTGATTTATTTTAATATTTAATTTAGCTACTGGGTTTAGTAGGGTTGCTGAATGCAGCAAGGCTAATCGTTGGCTTTTAACACGTACCCACTATTACTTATGCCTCCCAGGTATTTTGTTTGTTTATCTTGGGTCAGTCTGGCTCAGGAAGAAGTTGATCTTATTAGCATCGAGAGTCACGTTTTCCTCTCTTTCTGATTTTAGTACAATAACTGAAAGTTTTGAAACGAATTAATCAGTATGACTCACATCTGATTTCCAGATTTATAACAAGTGTCAACTGCAGAAGGGACTTTTTTTTAACAACACAAAGTTAGATTTTAGCGGTTAAATTGTTAGCTTTTTTGTGTGTGTGAATAACCCAATCTATAATAAAGTTTACTGTCTGGAAATGGATCTATATATTTATTTTCAGACATGTAAAGTTCGATTAGTTCTTATCTTGACATTATTTTTGTGATGAATCACTGTCCAAAACAACAGAATAATCTATGAATCTAAATTCACATGCTTTCAACATCACAGTTTATTAGTGGGGCTTTTTAACTACGTTTAGGAAAACCTCCCACGATCCTTGTTGAGTTACTTTCGGCTATTAATGCAGTAAAATGCAAGGAGTTCATGTAAATAGAATGAAACATGTTCCAAAACAAACTAAATATTTGAGTGACCCCAGATTGTTACGCATTCTTCAAAACAACTGCATAAAACGCTTGTAATCTGGGCCACATGTGCACAGTGCAGTGTTGAATTTCACTTTGCAGCAATCTCAAGAATGAATGCCCCTTTTATCGAATTAAGAGACAGGTCGTGAGTAAGATGAAAAGAATGCATGCAGCTATCCATCATAAAGGGAAGTCTGAGCTAGTGCATTCATGCTGGAAAAAAGCACATTAAATTTGATTATCCCTTCCATTTCATTTCCATCTTGGGTTCCTTGTTTCACTTTTTAAAAATAGTTAGTTTATTTTAGTTAAAAATTTGTTCTTGGATATTATACAATTAGTGATGATACTTTCTGCTCACTAACAGTTTGAAAATAGCTACTGGTTATTCTGGTGCAGCGTCCTGCAGGCGTCTGTATGTTTACTAGTGAATCAAAAGAGACAGCCTTCTCAATGTATTGCTACAAGCCACAGTCTTTAGTGTGGAAAATATAATGACTGTTTATATTTAGGTAGAATAGGATAAATTATTCAAGGTGAAGTTGAGTTTTTCTCATGGAATCCCTGTTGAGATGAAACTGAGCTGAGGCCTGCATGAGTCAAAACATAGAAAGTGTCATTATGTGGAAAGACTTGGCTCTTCCTCTGTCATGGCCTTGGAAATCCTTACGGTTAGCCGTGTAAAAATAGAAAAAGCTCCATGATTTAATGCTCAGTTTGTAAATTCTTCTCTTTCCAAGCTTTTCCATAGTAACTGGGTTACAACCAACATGGGCTGTTAAAGTCAGCGGCTTCGTGGCTCCAAATTCTCTTTTCTGCCCTCCCCTTTTGAATAGATGAGACCCCGAGGCTTTTATTTAGTTTTCTACTTCCTGTGCATGTGTAGAAACAAGTTAACAAGGGATTATGGGACCTTTTTTTTTCAAGAATACTTGAGATCTCAGCTGGTTGTCTTGTGAGGATGGGCTGTAATGGTATTCTCTGCCTAAGGGACCACCTCTGAAGGATCTTACAGCAGTTATTGCGCTCCACTACCCCTCTAGTATTCATTATCTACTTGATGTCTTCGTACGCAATGTAGCTATTTCTTTTACCAAGGGGCAAGATTTCCTTTTGCAGTTGTTTTTATTTATTATATTTTTGTCCATTTTAATTTAGCTTTGAGAATCTTTTGGTTTAAAAAGCTGGGAGATGGTATTGCAAGCATTCGATGTGTAATGCAGCTTTTCATGCCTCTTAGTCAAAATACCCCATCACGATGAACAAGAGGGCTCTCTTTGTGTCTCATGGTTGGTGTAATGCTCAAAGACAGTGATGCTTTGTTTTTGAGAGAGGTGCTTGGTTGTTGAGATTTCTGAGATGTCGCCTTTTGACAACAAACCTGCAGACTAAAACTAAAACTGAATAGTTGGAACAACAGATCCAAATCCGTTTTTGGTTCTTCAGTAATACTTTTTCAGAATCAATTGATGCATGAATTAAACTCATTGTTTAAGTTGTCTAACATGTCTTTTAATTTATTTCCTAACCAAGGAAACAAATCGTATTTAAGGAATTCTGGCCTTTGTTCTGGAAAGACACCATCTCTGTTTGCCAGACAACTCTCATGTGTTTACATATGACAACAAACCATACAAGCCTTTCAGGACTTGAGGACGAAGTGCACCTCTCTATAATTAGATATTCTTTGAGTTCAGCTCTGAATGAAGATGTGGAAAGGCTCAGACAGGTACTTCACACGTTTAGCACTGACTGACACATGGACAGCAGGTTTCACAGCAGCATGTCTGGACCTGGTCGGCTGTGTTTGAAGTATGTTTGCTGAAAGCCGCGTGTTAACTTTACCCATATTTGCTTTACTGCAGTGAAAGAAAACTGACTCGGTCTAAAGGAAGAAAAGTATTACCTACAGGCCTTCATTTCAGTTCAGTCACAACAAACTCTGCTTTGCTTCAGTTACTGTTGAGTGCTGGAGTTGTGATGTTGTTGTAAAGAAGTGTGATTGACACAATATTTTCCTAGACAAAGTATTTACAGTAAATATGGAATATCCAGTATGTGTTCAATACCAGATTTACATAGTGTGTCCTTGTCTCTTGCAGTATGCTGCATAGTGTTGGAACCCAATTGTTTTCCTTTTATATTCGTGGTTTTTAGTGGTCAATTTTAGACTACTGCCTATGTGTATATACATGCATCTTTGTTATTATTTTTCTTCAAATTATTCCCTTCAGTGTTGGTGCTGCTCAAACAAGTGAATTTCCTCACTGTGGGATCAATAAAGTCTATTATTCTATTCTAAAGTCTTCTAGGTTCTGTTTTGTTTTAGTTGGTGAATTAGAGGAAGTAAATATGTAATGATTTGTCCAAATTCTTCTGTTTGATTTATCAAAATTTATGACAATATTGTTTTTCACAGAAAACCTTTTTTTTCTGTGGTTGTTTGTGCATGGTGGTACTGCTGGTAGCACCACTGCTTGCAGACAAAAGGATGTTTTGAGTCCTGGTGAGACGAAGAAGAAGAAATTATCATTTCTATAGTGCCTCTCAAGATAAAAATCATGAGGCGCTTCACAAAAACAAAAAATGTAAAAATATAAAAAAGCATTTAGAAAATGTTTTAAAATATATTAAATGAGCAAAAATAGGCAATTATGATTAAAAAAATGTTAAGAAAGAGAGAGAGTGAACAGGAAAGAGGGAAATCAGTGGATCCAGAGGAAGGTGGGATAGGTGGGGAGAGCAGAATAAAGAGAGAGTGGTGAAGAAGGTCATACAAAAGCCAGCCTGAACAAGTGAGTCTTCAGCTGCTTTTTAAAGGAGTTCACTGAGTCCACTGATCTCAGGCTCAGGGGGAGAGAATTCCAGAGTCTGGGGGCCACAGCAGCAAATGATCCGTCACCTTTGGTCTTTAACCTGGTGCACTGCACAACCAGTAGGCTTTGATCACTGGACCTCAGGGACCTGCTGGGGGTGTAGGGACTAAGAAGATCACCAATGTACGATGGTGCTTGTCCATGTAAGGCCCAATAGACCAGAACCAGGATCTTGAAATGAACCCTGAAGTTGACTGGCAGCCAATGAAGCTGGAGGAGAAGCGGGGTGATGTGGGTGTGTTTGGAGGACTTGGTCAGAAGCTGAGCACAGGCATTCTGAACCACCTGTAGACAGTTCAGGGAGGTTCTGCTCAGACACGTGAAAAGAGAGTTACAGTAGTCTAAGCGTGAGGAGATGAAGGTGTGGATAACTGTCTCAAGTTCAGAGCGGGACTGAATGGAACTCAGCTTAGCAATGTTCCTGAGCTGGAAGAAGGAAGAGTGAACAAGATAACTGACATGAAACTCCAAGGTGAGAGTCAAAGGTCACACCAAGATTTCTGACAGAAGGTTTGGTGTGAGAAGCAAGTTGACCAAGAGAGTCTCTGACTTTGGAACCAGCTTGTCTGGGGCACAGATGAGGATCTAAGTCTTGTCTTCATTCAGCTGTAGAAAGCTCCCAGCCATCCAGGTTTTTTGATAGAGTCTAAGCAGGTGTGTAACAGCTGCAGCTTAGACATCTCATGGGGCTTAAAGAAGATGTACAGTTGGATGTCATCTGCATAAAGATGGTAGGAGGTTCCTTTGAAGGAGCTCAGGATGTGCTGAAGAGGAAGCAGGTAGAGGAGGAAGAGCAGAGGCCCCAGCACAGAACCTTGTGGGACACCATGGGTAAGGGAGGTGGTGGAGGACCTAAACTTGGAGACGGCCACAGAAAAGGAGCACTCAGAAAGATAAGAGGAGAACCACTCCAGAGCAGTTCCTGATAGGCCTACCCAGTCTCTCAGCCTCTCCAGTAGCAGGTGATGGTCAACAGTGTCAACGGCTGCAGTCAGGTCCAGCAGGACCAGAACAGAACAGTCCCCTGCATCACCGTGAGTCAGAAGGTCATTAGAGACCCTAAGAAGAGCTGTTTCAGTAGAATGAGCTCTACAAAAACCTGACTGTAAGCTATCATAGATGTTATGTTCATCAAGAGCAGCTGTGAGTTGTTTAGCCACAACCTTTTCCAAGATCTTGGAGATGAACAGAAGTTTAGAGATGGGTCTAAAGCTGCTATGGCGAGAGTTGTCAAGACTTGGTTTTTTAAGAAGCCGGTGGATTACAGTGTTCTTAAAGTAAGCAGGGACCTGACCAGAAACCAGAGAAGCATTAATTATAGAGAGCACGCTGGGATCGATGGACTGAAAAGCACTTTTAAACAAAGATGAGGGTAAGATGTGGAGGGGGCATGCAGAGGTCTTCATAGAGTTAACTAGTTTGG